AGAAAAATAATCGCCAGAGTACAGTAAGGTGCTGCACCAGGGGTGCATTCCAGGCAGACCCATATCAGCTTTTTTTTCATCCGACGCCATGGATGTGCTTCAGGAGATAGTCCGTTAGGTGACTCAGTTTGGTGTCTCCGTTCATCCGCTGGCTGTTCTGCACCCGGTGCCGGTCCTCATGATGGGCTCCCCCGCCTGGTGGGTGTGTGCGGGTCTGTGATGTGCAGTCATTTGCTGCACTTGCCCGGTGGTGTCGTTGTGCTTCCTTTCGTTGGTGATGGGCTGCATCCGAGCTCCGCGTCAGGTGTCCGTCGCCTCGGCTTAAAAGGGACACCCGCGGGTGCCCACACGCTGTGCTTTCTATCCACTATCTGCTCCTCTCTGAGTTTTAGTCGTTTATAGTGTGATATTCTGTAGTTTAGGCTCAGATGTGCAGGAGCTGAACAAACACGTCCAGCTATCTTGGCTGTCAGGCCCCGCCCCACCTCCACCATGTTTTAAAGATAAGGTGTGATAATCTTAATCATGTACTGTTTTTATTTCCTTTCACAGAGTTTAATTCTTTCCATCATTCCAATCAATAGTTTTAATTTCAAGGTAAACCCTCTAAAGAATGTGTGTGTCCCCAAGTCTTTTCTTTACTGTGATATTTCGAAGTTTATAGAGTTCTTCGTCTCTTCGACCAACATGTTGTTGTTCAAAATTACAAGCCTTACTTAGTTCACCATTGCCTTATTACTTTGTATTCTTATTGCACTGCACAGATGATTTTAGCATACCTAGTGTTTTGGCGTAGTGCCTCATTTGCAAAATTTAAAGCTTAGTGATTGCCACTGACAAATCTTTGATCCACATATTAACAGAAAACCACAATAGACGCCTTTTCAAAATCCTGGTCCCAGAATAAGCTCCAGACTTTGTGGCAGTTATCATTTGCATGTACTAACATTGCAACGACCTCCGCTTGGCCAAGATGCACCTAAGCAGGCAACTGTCAAATTCAGTTTGATCCCCTAAATTAACTGTATGGAAAGTGCTACATGCCTTTTGGTTTATGGATTTAAATCCTGTCAAATTAGAGCTGACAGGCTATGCTTTATCCTTTTTAGTCATTGTTTCATTCCGAATTTTTGATGTGCTGAGCACAGAGGCACAAGAACAAAACTTTGTTTTGTTTTAATTCTGATTTAGGAATTGCACGCCAACTTGTATCAAGATTAAACACGTATACTCATGGAAAAATCACAGATGACAAAAATAAAATTAAATATATATACGTGTGTGTGTGTGTGTGTGTGTGTGTATATATATATATATATATGGTATATCTCTAAAAAGACATGCTGTAGAATCAAATAGTCATCGTGTAGGTGACACCCACTGCCAGGGTTAAAGCTGGTCCTTATAGTAAAGCTCCCTATCTTTGGTCGAGATAATTGAGATCCAGTGGTCTCCCATAAGAAAGCATTGAGAGGCTAGTGCGCATGGGTGACAAAACATTGCCCTGCACCAATCAGATGCTCTTCCTGTTCTCATCTGATTGGAATAGTGGAGTTTTATTCTACTATTTTGCGGAAACGCCTCTAGTGGCCACTTGAGGCAGGTTAACCCTGAAATGAAAAGAGCAGCAATGTTTTCAGCTAATGCAAGTTTAAAATAGGTGGGCATATGGCACCAAGACCACCTAATTGAGATCAAGTAGTCTTGGTGCCTATAGTGTCCCTTTAAATATATCCTGCTGTCTAGATGTTTTAGCCAAGAACTAACGGGGCCTTTGTAGCTTTATACACCGAGCTGTCTCACTGCTAAATGACTCACCCCCCTCCTTTTTCCAAATTAAAAAAATGCCAACCAGTTATTATTCTATGATTTGTTAATATTTAATACACACAGATGTAGATTGTAAAACCAAGTATTCCCTATACTTTAAACATTCTAACGTACAGCGTCTTCTTGCTGGAATACGTTCCCTGCACTATGGCTTTAATTTTGCTAACATAAATTTAACATTTTGCCACATGCTTCAGAATTTCTTCAATACCCCTGGATTTCAGAAAATAGTTTACCTTTTAATTATAGCTATTATATTCAGTGTAATCTTGCATTAGCAGCTTCAGCATGTGACAGAAAATGTCAAGCACCATTTTTGATATATAAAGGAATCCATTATTCTTCAAACGCTTTTTTATTTTTATTTATATTATAATTATTCATTAACCTCAAGGTCTCATCCTATTATCCACACCTTTAGTTCGCTGTAATATTTTGCTGGGGGAGGGGGGGGGGTTAGGGGAGGGGGTTAGACTCACACATACTCACTATTTTTTGCCATTGAGTGTTTTTTTAAATATTTTAAATATATATAAAAGAGCTGTTTTCAAACTGCAAATCCCATAATTCTTTGTAATCCCATAATTCTTTGCTATGGCAGAAAATCATAAGCAATACAACACAACAGCATCACTTTTGATTCTAAACCCCTGATATAAAGGATAGTTTAATGAAACATCCTTAAATATGTCCCGCCACTGAAAGATTCTTTCTACAAATAACATTGTTGGATTAAGACTGCCTCTAGTGGCTGTCAATCATACAGCCACGAAAGACACTTCCTCCTTGTTAGGTGACAGTTGGTCACCTAACTGGCATAGGGATGTCCTCATGCTCTGCAGGTTAAAATTCCCCATAGGAAAGTATTGAAGCAATGCTTCAAAATAGGGGAGAGAGGTGGGGGAACTAATGTGCTCGCATTTCCCCCCCTGCCCCCGCGTCAGGTGATGTCAGAGGAGGCGGAATGCCGACCCTGCATCGAGAACATCAACCCTGGAACCGGGTAAGTACAGTAAGGGTTTATTAACCCTTACACTGCCGACTGGGGGAGCTATAGTGCTAGGAATATAGATTTGTGTTCCTAGCACTATAGTATCCCTTTAACCAGAAATATTTTATTTATTTTTGTGAGTAACTGCAGAGCTGATTTAAGACTGTCATTGTCTTGATCAATTGTCAGCATACTATATCATGGTGCAATTTGTGATACCATTGCTGCTTTAACCTTTTGGACCAATGCCTATCCCCACCATCGACACGATGCATCTTATGTGGTGCATCATTTGTGCTTAGTGCAGCTGTCACCTGAGTTATAATTCTGTGATCGCAAAAGTTTTATTCTAAAAAGTACAGTAGTCAATTATTAGTGCATTTATTTTTTGCCTGGTTTCCAATTTCTAACCAACGGCCCTACCAAGGCATTATGGTACTCTGCGGATGCAAACCCAACTCTGCTGGAGACATTATTAGCTTCAGATGTGTTCTTATAATGGCATCACACCAATGAATGTCACCTTCAAATTCCACCTGATCATTTGCTGCCAGTACATCACCTGAAAATAATTTGGTATTGAGTTGGGTTACTGCAATAAAAACCGTTAATTATAGTAAAGTTAAAACCAGCTTTTACAACTTGGGACACAAACAAAAATCCAAACCCTGGATTGTCCCAAATACCTCTAAACAGAAGTCAACATGAGCGTGAGAAAAATATACTATCTCCATAGAACCCTCTCATTCACAGCAAATCAAACAAGGCTCCGAGGTCACGTCTTGACACATTCTGAGGACTTTAACAAACAACCTTCTGACTTGGTGGCCATCCAGTACTTTACCTTGTAATGTCTCTGGAATCTCATCCTATCTTCACATGGACCATCGCAGTCACAGAGCACGTCACATGCTATTATAGACTGCTTATCTCCACTTCATTGCTATTATTTCTTTACTTGATGTAAAATCTAAAACTGTCTTTCACTTTATTGCTAAATATTGCGAAATATGGAAATTCCATTTGTCTATTAAAGGATAATGTATTATAACCTACGTGTTTATTTCTTGTAATGTATGCATAGAAGTAAATACTTATTACGTTGCTTCTCCTGTCTAAATTGTTCACTGCGATGGCAGCGTTTTTGTAAATGGTTGGGTTTTTTTGGTCGGGTAAACAAATATCTGCCAAGACAAGGCCCACATAGCTGGTTACTTGCTTGGGCTTTGGTAGGATAAGTGGTGCAACTAACCAATCAAGACTTAGAGATGGCAACCTCTCCAGAGTAAGACAGAAGATGTAAAGAAACGTGGTGTATCCATTTATCAAAATAGCAACAATATAGAAAAAAAAAGATAAATAGCAACTGATTAACACTGCTTGAGAGAATACACACCAAAAGGAAAGTGTTAAACAGACGCTGTAACCTGGGGGGGGAGGGGAGGTTAGATCCCTAGATGTTGTAGAACTACTACTCCTATGATGCTTTGCATGCCTTTAGAATGACAAAGCATCACAATAGCTGTAAATCTAACTTTTGGGCACCCCTGCTGTAACCAGTGGTTATAGTTTTCAGAGTTCAGTGTTTAACCGTTTTAAATGCAAAACAAAAGTCCCTGGTAGCACATTTCTTATTAATGAAGGATTGGCCTGAACAGCAAAGGGTGGCTGTGAGTGTCAGCTGACTGCATTCAGCCTATCACAGATGCTCATTGATGGCATTAACTTGTACTGCTAGAAGGAAGTGTATAATCTCTGGCTTAGCCACACCCCCAGTAGGGGTTGGACTGTAAATGGCCATTGAACCTTATTTAGTTTTAACCTGCTTGAAAATGGCTAAATCTGAATGGAAGGACGGTGCAAGGGGTCACCAGGCATTATAATCAATTCAATGAGATGTTTACAGTGCTCACAGTTTCAATGTCTGTTTTTTTTCTGCCTGTATTAGGAAACAAGAGATTTACTTATATACACAAATTCTATGAATGATTCACACAAAGTCTATAATACATGCAGTTTTTATTTGCAATAAGTTTTATTTTTTTAAATTTAAACAGAATGCTGTATACACACACAAAATAATTTGTTAAACTCCACATTCACACAAGATTGCTCTGTACTATTTAAACAGCGACGTTTGAGCTACAGCAGTATATATGTGCGCGCACAGCCAGACACAGCAAAATGTTTTTCACATACTTCCAGAAACCCACATTGAACAAGAGCAAGCATTTGACACAGTAACTTTTAATTAAAAATGGGAGAAAAAAAGATTTTGGCAGGAAATAGCTTGGCTCCCTAACTATCAAACAGGAGGCACTTTCTCTAGCTCTGCATGCAACCTTTAGTCTGAATAAATAGTACTCTGAGTGAAAGAGCAATCAAACCGTTCAATCAGGCCGGATTCACAGGAAGCCTAATATGAAATGCCATCATTGGGGGGAAAATCCTCGGCTGAACAGCGGGCATTGCAAATTCCACTGGGTACTTCACGGACACTAGGCACATAACAGGCTGTTTTATAGAAATTCATCTCAAGCGATCATCATAGAACAAATTGGGGCTTCAAAGGAAATGTTTGGACATGGTGAATGAATGGTCTGAATGGGCCAAGCCCGGAGTATTTTATTATATCTTTATTTGAGATATCTTTGCCTGTGGTCTTGTGGCTACTGGAGCTTCAATTTCTTTATAATTAAGTCATCAGCAGAAATCTCTTGGGAGAGATTATCAAGGCATTCCAAGAGCTCTGAATTAACAGAGCGTAGATCCAGAAAAATCTTTTCAACCAAGAAGCATTTCAAGGAGAGTGGACAGGGTTCGGTTTATATTGCAGGAACGCCTTCGGATTAAAAATATATCAAACCACAAAAAAAAATTTAAATGACGGTTTGTGAGCAGAAAAAGGATGCTCTGAATAGTGGTTATCAAAGATGTTAGGAGGCTTAAATTAAAAAGTGATGCAACATCCAGGCCACAATTGTGACATTACTAGTACTGACGCACTCTTTGCTGACCGGCTGATCAGCATGTTCAGGGAGTTAAACGCTTTACATTGTGTACATTTTTAATGCTTTTAAAATGTTATTTGTATGTTCCTATTGCATTCCCAAAGCATCTCGTAAAGTCAATGATTTGTAACGATTATTAAAAATTATTTTGTACCATTGATGGCATTAAAGCGGAACGGTCACCCCCTCCCCTGAACAAATTAGTATTTGATAAAGATAGAAACTTTATGAAATACTCCTATTGACTCTGTTAGAATTTCACTGAAATTGCAACGCAGTCGAGGGATATAAAGAGGCAAATTAGGTACTTTTGTTTCTGTATATTTCCCTAGCCTGAAACTTCTGGACACTGGGCGGAGGTACCGCCGTAGAGAAGTGTCAGTTGCCCCAGCCGTCTCCGGTGATGACTGCAGGGAATTGATTTTATCTACGGAGGATCTAGCGGACTCATCCATAGCCCTCAATGCTATACTCTTGCACATGCTGAGTCGCCAGTAGCTGAAGTGGACCCACTGGGAGAAGATGGCAGCACACGCGTAGAACCGGTTCAGGTAAGTAAAACCTTTGCAGCCATCACCCCAATCCACTAGACCACCAGCGGCAACGTCACCATCAGGGGTCTTTGCAAATGCTGTAACGTCCCAAAACTGTGACAGTGCCGCTTTAAATGTGTACCACACTCAAAATCCCATCTGAGGTTTGCTTGACATTTTTCATCTTTTAAGAAACATTCATCTCATTATTTTAAGGTTGAATGCCTCAGTGGGGACTATCCGCACATCTTTCATCTATAAAGTTTCTAGAAAAGTTTATGGAATGCTATGTAACGGTTTTGTAATATGTAAGAATTGTTATATACCACCGTTGGTTGGATTGTGTCCAGGCACACCTGTAATGCAGAGTCAAATGGTCCTCCCCTCTCCCCTCATTAGGTCTTTGTCTATTCTTTTGCATGAGTTTGATGCAGATTTTTTTTGTTTTTTTACATAATGTTGTGGGTATATTTTGTATATGCCTTAATTATTATTATTAAAGTAAAAAAAAAAAGGAAAAAAATGTATTCCTTAAGACGCCAACCCATAAGAGTGCTCGGACAGTCAAGTCACTTCTTTCTCTCAAGACTTGGCTGTCAGAGCACTCTGGTTACTAGTCAACCAATCAGAGCTGTAGGTGATCTTCTAAAGCGATGGACATTTTCCCACTCTTTGGATAGCGGTCTTAGCGTAGGAAAGCCTATAAAAGGGCTTTTCCCGCTAGGAGCACTAATTCTGCAGCGAGCACTCCATGATTAAAGAAATTGGGCTTTTTTTTTTTTTATGAAATGGGGTATTTTCCAGCAACTTAGCAATAATCTCTGCCCAGCAGCTAGTTTTAAATGTTTAGTAGACATGCTCCCACCTGCTGGATGACAGTTGGGTACATTACCTCCACTATAGCGAAGTGTTTTTTTTGTTTTTGTTTTTTTAATTCTTTTCACTCTGGGGCCGGAGCTGAAGCCTTTGAGCCGGCGTTCTGTTAGACTGAACACAAATTCAGGCACTGTTCAGAGTCTGATTTACAAAATCAGGACATTGTTGAATTCCATGAACAATGTCCTGATTTTGCAGTCCATTCAGACTTCAGGGAATAACCCTGTAAATCTAGATTTTATTTTTGTTTTACTCTGTAATCTCAAACTGGTCTTTAAGAAGAGGGCAGAACAAACTTGTCTTGTAGAAAGTTCTATTTTTCCTTTGATGTTTGATACTTTATTGTGCAGTGTTTACCCATAGCAACCCTTTCCCTCGCAGGATCAGGTATGTATATACGCCCATTAAGAGATGAGTACACAAAGCTGCCACTGGGTAATTCACACCGCTGTATGTTTGCATAGAATAAAGTGTAAAACTGTTCAATTTCACAAATATTTCCATCATCCTTAAGAAAGCAAAACACGAAATGTGTCACTTATTTTGAAGTCCTCTACAAAAAACAAACAAACCATAAAAAGCTGTAATTACCTTGTGATGGCGAAAGAGCCCCCTCTAGTGGTGGTTTAACCAATTTTACTTTGCTAATGCACAGTGCATGGAACTACTAAATAGAATACATCATTAACCTTTCTATACAAGTGGCCTTTAGAGAAATATAGTTAGCTGCATTGTAAATAAGAGCAATATTTAACATATTCAGTTCAGCATACTCAATTTAAAAAAAAAAATATATAAAATGAACGGTAGTAATTTAACAGGTGAAATTTTTCTATTTTACAAATATAAACTTCTAATTAGTGTTTATTAATAATTATATGTGTTTATAATGCCACACTAAATATTGTGGTTTTAAAATTAACCCATTGGTAATGCCAACACAAATATATTTTAATTAAACTGAATTTATAAGGGAACGGTCAGTTTTTCTTGACAATTACCATAATTTAAAAAAAATAAATTATGTGAACCTTATATTAAATGCTTTAACAAGGTGAAAGCCTAGTATAAAGGTGAAGTATCAAGGTAGTGAAGGGGTTAACCCTAAATGTAAATATAGTTGAGAAAAAGGAGAGAGAGCACTACCTAAAAAAAATATAATCTAAAATTTAACTTTTAATGGTGAACACAATACAGAGTGATCATTTCACACATAGAATCTTAGTAAGTCTAGATATATGCATACCAAGACACAGAAAGATAATATGAAAAAATGTAAGATTTAAAAACCAAAAGACAGTATCTAAATAGCAAAGATGTAGTTAACAATGTTAAATAGACTTAGATATCCAACTTTGAATAGAAACTGTCTGCTATTATGATACTGTTGCGATATGTCTAGAGTATTCTGTTACAGTTAATCAGGCTTTGCAAATAAAAAGAAAAACGTCTGCTGCTGTAATTTGTGAAGAATACTTTGTTATAAATAGGTCATAAACGAAAATTAAACGCTCTAGCGGTATGACAACATAAGAATACTGTCTAATTTGACTGTTAGGCTGCAGTTAGGTATTCACAAGTGTGATGTAGAAAATATGCGAGATAGCACCTTCTGGGAGTAATCCGTTCTATAAAACCCCAAAGTAGATGTAGTTAGAAAGTAAAGGTATATCTGTGCCTTCGAGGGCACCTGTCAGACAGAGAAACTAACTGCAAGTAATAGGGAAAGGAGGAGAAGAGAATTATTTTCAGTAAATAACTGTGCCTTCAAGGGCACCTCTCTAGTAAGTATAGCAAGTAGTAAAGCTAACTAGCCAGCATCTAAATACCAGAAGCCTTAATCAGTATCCTGTAATATATTGTTAAGTGTCAGTACACTGCGAGCGTTATAGCCACAGATAATACGAGCGGCTAAATCCTTGATTAACCTCCCGACATGCCCAATGTCTAAATGATTCTTAACCGAGATATAGGTTTTTTGAAGAATAATCCCTGCAAGTGCAGAGTATTTTGGTGTTAGGAGGGATCGAAGAAAAACCCCGACGCGCGTTTCGCCGGCTTTTCAAGGGGAACTTGGTCATAGCCGGTTAGACTTTTAAATAGGGCGCCCAAAGGTTTGATTGGAGTCCCGAAGTTGTTAACGTCATCAGTTCTGGCTGACGTAAGACGGTGGTCGGAGAAGACCATTTGATTTTGCTCAAAGTTGAATTGTATGTTTGTGTATTTCTATATTGAAACAGGAGATATAGAAGGTATGGGATGGATGATAAGGATTTATTGCAATCATGAATGATGTATAGATATATCGCAATTATCATGCTTGTCCCTTATTTGTCTAATAGGTATGTTGTTAACATAAATTAGTATAATATAACTACATGTGTATTTTTTATTTATTATTATTTTCTATTATTTATTATTAATGTTAGGCAGATGCCATAAAAGGAGCTAATCACTCTGCCCCTCCCTATGTTTAACGGCAGTGCACATAGATGTGTTAGGTAGAACAACTGTGTTACACTTCATATGTGGCTCATATATAGTTTTAAAAGGGAATACATATCTTTAAAGTACAAGGTTGCACATTAGTGGATACATGGTAGGTATGATGCCTCCAGATCTATTTAATTTTGTAAACGGAACAGGAAAGTATCCTGAGGGTATGATGTACGGGACAGGTGCTGCTTAAAGATACAGCAGGGGGCGCTATAGGTGATATTATCTCTATAATATCTTGTAGTTCGAAGTGATAAATTGTTGGTAATTTGGAGAAAGTCAAAAAATCAGTATGGGTTGTTAGTCTGAAAGTATCATTATATACATATAATTAAATGTAATGAGAAAAGTGCCAAAAGGGAAAGGAAGGGGGCAGTTGTTATCATGTCTTGGAAACTGGATTAAAAGGTGTAGGTTTAGTGTATAAATGGTGTGTAGTTGAATTCCTCATTAAGTCCCTGTGGTGTGAGGGTCCTAAATGAGTATATCCATTTGGATTCTTTTTGCAGTAGTTGTTGGTTGAAGTTACCTTTTCTAGGGTTAAATGTCAGTTTCTCAATAGCCTGAAACCTTAAGTTATCAACACTAACATGATGGAAATTCATGATATGTCTTGCTACAGGTGTAGGGGTTATGGTGTTTATCGAATTAATGTGTTGAAGGATCCTTCAACGAAAGGGTTGGATTGTCTTTCCGATATATTGAATACCTAATAATTTGATTGTGATCAGATATACTAACCGAGTGGTGCTGCAGTTGACCAAAGCATTAGTTTTAATGGTAATTTTGGATTGTGTAGACGTTGTTGATTGGGAGGGAGTTATGAACTGGCAAGCTTTGCAATGGCCACATCTATAGGTTCCCTTGGTGTTTGTAAGCCAATTGAGTTCTGCTGGAGTGTGGGCCAAAAAGCTATGAACAAGAAGATCTTTAAGATTCTTAGATCTTCGAGCAGTAATGGATGGATAGCTAGGCAGTGATTTCTTCAATGTGGAATTGTGTAGAAGAATAGGCCAATGGTCGGAAAGTGTCTGTGTCATTTTTTCCCAACCGCTGTCAAAAGTGGCAATGCATCTTGGGGTCGAGGGGCTTGATTTTGGACGTGTAGTCTTTAGGCTCTCCAGTCTGTTTGTCTTGCTAGCACGTTGATATGCTTTCTTGAGAACTTTGTTGGGATATCCCAAGGCTTTGAAACGGAGTTTCAAAGATTGACATTCTTGATAATACACTGAATCCTCAGAGCAATTCCTCCTTGCTCTTAAATATTGTCCATAAGGGATGGAGGCCTTCAACCTATAAGGGTGGTGACTCTCCCAATGGAGGAGGCTATTAGTTGAGGTCAACTTTCTGAAGAGTTCAGTCTGAATGGTACCATCCTCCATTAGAAGGATCTTTAGGTCAAGAAAAATCAATTCTTTGTCATCAATAACATGGGTAAGTGTTAGATTTATTTTATTGTTGTTCAGAACTCTGACAAACTCTTCAAAGGTTTGTACCGGACCGGTCCAGAATATTAGCATGTCATCGATGTATCTGTACCACTTAAAGATGTACTTGTCGTACAGACTATACTCAGGATCTTTCCACATTCTGTCCTCCCACCATCCTAAAAAGAGATTTGCATAGGTGGGGGCACAAGTCGTACCCATAGCGGTCCCGGTCTCTTGCAAATAGTATTTGCCATTAAATATTAGATAATTGTGGGTCAGAATGAATTCCAATAGGGACATAATAAACTAAATCTGTGCCTCCTCGTATGAAGCTGTTTCTAGAAATGAGCGACATGCTTGTATACCCGCTTTGTGCGGGATGTTACTATACAGAGATACAACGTCTAGGCTTGCTAGTAAAGTGTATGGTGGTACTTGAAGCCCTTCTAAGATCAATAGAGTAGACTTTGTGTCCTGTATGTAAGAAGGCAGATCCGTGACGTACGGATATAAAATTTCATTGATGAACTTGCTAGCTCTCTCGGTCAGGCAGTTATTGCCTGAGACAATTGGTCTCCCAGGAGGGGTTGTGATGCTTTTATGCACTTTTGGTAAGCAGTATAGAGTGGCTACAGTTGGATGTTTATGTGGTAATAGGTATTTGAACTCTTCCATGTTAATAATTTTTTGTTCCAAAGCCGTGATGAGTAAGGCTTCAAACTCTTTGATGTACATCTCCGTGGGATCAGAGGGAAGAACACTGTAATTAGATACATCACTGAGATGTGCCATGCACATATCGATGTACATGTCCCGATTTAATAAGACAATGTTACCACCTTTGTCAGCTGGTTTTATGATAACATTATCTAATGATTTTAATTCTTTGAGAGCTTTGCGTTCATTGATGGTCAAGTTGTTAGTTAATGGACGTTCAAGATGCATTTTTGCCAGGTCGCTGGTGGTCATTTCAACAAAAAGATCCACATGTGGAGTGTCCTTCAGGTTGGGGGTAAACCAACTCTGGGGCTTTAATTTCGTAAGAGATTTAGAGGGGTTCTGTTCCTCAAGTCATTGTGTCAATACTTTGGAGAACTCAAAATCCTCCAAGCTTAATCCCAAATAATTTGCCATTAGTAAATCCCTTTTAGAGTGCATAAGATTTAATGCTAGTTTCCTACCAAACAAGTTTATATCCTTTGACCAGTCAAACTTGTTATACCCAGGAGTGGGTACATATGTAAGGCCTTTATTTAGAAGGAGATGTGGCGTGGTTGTAGTGGGAAATTAGACAGATTAATGATTTTATTAGATATTAGAATTTCTGACCCCGTCCTTGTTTCTTGTAAGCCAGGCGCCCCTCTGTTCTCGAGGGAGATCCTGTCCTAAAAAAGTTTTAGAGGTAGTCGAGTTTATACTGTCAGAAGTAATTGGGGCATCTAAGAATGCAACCGATTAATCGGTGCTCTTCAGAATGCCCCTCGTGGGTGAATGATTTGGGACTGGATTGTTGTTCCGCGTGTTCCTGTTGTATTGCCTTTGTCTAGACCTAGAGGGACCTGTATCTGAATCCGACCATTCGGTATCCGCAGATGTGGAACCTCTCTGGCTACTTGTATATTTACGAAACTTACGTTTTTTTGCGAAAGATTTCGCCTTCCTTAAAGTCATTGAAATCTCTTTGAAATTTGGTGTGTTTCTTTATTTTTATATTCTGTCTAAAATGTTCAATTTTTTTTGCAATTTTGTTTCCATAGGTAAAAAGATTATCTGTTTTGAACCTTTTTATTTGTGTGATCTCATTTTGTAATTTGGTATTCGTTTCCTCTAGGTGTATGGTTTCTAATTTCACCAGGAACGTCATTAATTTAGCAGAACAGTCCAGTAGAATAGCATTCCATTCATTCTGTTGTTCCTCTGTTTGATTTTTATCTGGTACAAGACCTCTGGGAACTAATTTTTGTTCTAAGTATTGATTTAAACTGGTTAGTTCCCAGAAGCTTCTGCTGTGTTGATACAGTTTCTGTATTTCAAAAAATGCATCATTGATATTGGTGTTGTTAGAACTATTCGTTAAAGGATTTATAGAGAAGACATTCTGAATGTCATCTAGGTTGATAGTAGGATCTGATAGTTTATCCAAGAGGTCAGTCATTTAAAATGGCACTTAGAGAGTGGCTTTCTTGGAGATCGGTATTAAAACCTGATTTTTGAAAGATTTAACAAGGTGAAAGCCTAGTATAAAGGTGAAGTATCAAGGTAGTGAAGGGGTTAACCCTAAATGTAAATGCCATCAAAATCCATGCACATCCAGAGCACGCAATTCAAATCAGGAGAAGAAATCTAAAAATTGCAGTTTTCTCTATTATGACTTTTAGGTACAAAGGACAGAGCTTATAACAATGATTAATATGGTAACCAGGTGCCCAAATGCAGGATAAAAAGGTTTGGATTTCTATGGTCTACATTTAAGATTGTTCACACCATTTAAAATAAATTTAGAACGGTGTTAGCTATAAGGGGATAAGGAACTAAACTTGAAGGAAGTGACAGTTCCTATTTAAAAGCCAAACTGAGATAAAGAAATAGTCGAAGTTCCTTGACGGCTTACTGTGGGACGTTGTTGGTCCTGGCACAATAATGGTGGTTTAATAGTTACGGTGCTGCAACTCTATGCAGCAGAACCACAAAACTTATTTACTCTTTATCCATCCAAATATTGCGTGTCGTAACCACAATTATAGTCTTAGAGCCCTGGGATATAACAGTTTGGCTATGCCCAAAATCAATCATCTTGATTCTTCTGAACTTGCCCTTTATGGGATGTGGAGATATGGCAGAGCTGAATCCTGTAATCTAGTGCTCCGAAACTAGACTTGCATTAACCTAAACCTGTACCCCATGAAATTTAGTCAGTCATATTTATCCATCATGGTCTTTAAATTTCACATCATCCTATGCAATAGTTAAGCATTCCCCACTGTGTATTAAGACCACTCTGGGTACAAGCCATTTCACATCAATGAGGTGGTTATGGTGCCCTCCGTTCAAAACAAAACAAACACACACACACACACACGTTAGCAGTCTCATCTCCCCAGTAATACAAATCGTTATTTCTTCATTTTATTTTTTAAATAATGTAATAAAACAAGTGGTAGATACACTATCACAGAGAATTGCAAGTATTATAGAAAAAAAAAAATCCTGGAATTTTTTTTAATGCAAGTGGACATTAAAAGTTAACAAAAATAAGCATATTACAGAATGACAAACAAAATTATATAAAAAGAAAAGTCCAACAAATTAGATGCTTTGTACAAACTTAATAAATGGCACATGTTAAATTTCACATGTCAATGGGAGGGAAGTGGTTAAACCCTGCGTATAGACATTATTTGTAAAAATTGAGTTACACAGTAACAGGAAATTGAGAAAGGAATGAGCCTCCCCTCTGCTTCCAAACACACAAAATACAAAACATGCTTTGTAGGCTTGTTAAACACAAAACACAGATTCCGCACATTCCATTATTATTGTATCTTTCTAGAAGGATGTATAGGTCAAACGTCTATACCTACTCAAATAATCACCAGTAAATGTATTCACTAATTTGAGATTTGTCTCAGCTGGTACCAGATATCGCGATCCATTAAACACTTTACTTCATTTTGATATGAAGAGCACTGCCAAGCATTCATGTACTGCGGGATGGAAATATATTAACTAAACAAGGAATTCTACAATAACTGTCTAGAAACCATACTGCAGCACATGAATGCCATAAACTAGAGGACCCATTCACATGTAGCAGTTGTGGTGTGTATTCAAGAAAACACACTGGGCTTTGCAGCCGTGCGTCTGTCCCAAATGACTAGTGGGGTTTCCTAAATGTGGGCGGAAACTAATGCACGTGCATTAATTTGGGGCAGAAATTGGTAGTTTAAACATTATATCGATGAATAGATTAAATCTCATCTAAAAGCTTTACACGTGCTAGCAATATTCCTAGAATAATGGATTGACATTGTTTATAAGGTGACACCAAAGACAAGTGGCTCTTAAGGTCTGTTACTGTAGAAATGCAGGAACAATAGATGTGTACTGTATTTTTCGTACAATCTACTTGGAAATAGGCCCTCGAATCATTAACATGAAGTATGTAAACGGTCAGCGAGGTGGTTTTTTATTTAAACAATGTCCCCCCTTGGGAATGTTCAGTGGCAGAGTGGTTCTCTCCTTGATAAACAGTGCATTAGAGATTATAGGTAGAGAGTTATCCTAATTGCATTGGACTTTCTGTAAAAAGTCTGTGAAAGGTATAGCTGCATTGTTGAACTCTGGGACTGCGTAAATTACAGACTTGCGTACATAGCATGAGATTCCCAAAAAACAAAACAACTGACACGCAAAAGCAACATACACAAGTTGCATAAGTATTGCGCAACAGGATAGCCTGTAAAAAGAAATGAAAAAGTATCCTAACATTTTAACTGTATCCATTTACTTTCCCAGAACTGACACAAATTCTGCGTAGAATTAAGTCCATCCTCTCTCCTGCTCTGAAGTAGGCAGAGGCAGCCCCTGACTAAGAAGTCCTGCAATTCCCATCATGCCTTGCCTATCTCTGCTTCATGGCACATGCACACATTTCAGGGAGACCGTTCTGTTGGATAAGAATTTGCTCCTGAAAGATTACGTAAAGAGCAATTCTAACACCACCAGTAAAGGTGACACTTATTGTGTAATTTCTCTTCTTTGATTGAACAGATTCTAAGATTGTTACATAAATTCACATTTGAAAAACGGGGCTCACTTTTTCCTCAAAGTGGTCTCAAAAAACAGAAAACAAAATAAATAAAAAATAAACCCACATTCACATTTCTGGTTTTTGAGATTTCTTGACTTAAAGTGGTCACGGTGGTTAGAGTATGTATGTGCAGCATTTCAAACTTAAATAATTAAATCAATTAGCCATTTGAGGTGCAACTCCACCCAGACAGGATTAATTCCAATTCTGTGCATATTTGGCATCAGTTGTCAGCAAACATGGCATGCTGGCGCCACATGACCAATGGTGGAACCACCCCTATCATCCCTGTACCTCCTAAGTCCTCTCCTCAGCTTGTCCTCTGGGAAAGGGGGTTGACTATGCCAGTTTTTTTACTAAAACCCTTTTATCTGGATATCATTCCCTTCAAAGTTAAAGGCTGAGATTTCCCTGACGCTTCCTTTTGGCATAACAGTACTTTAATTTCACTGGTACTGCTTGGAGCTCATTGCTCTGTACATTCTGAGAAGGGGCCCAGGGGACAAGGTGAAGTGTCTGACGAATTTTGTGATTGCCGTTTATGGAAATATATGCCAGCTGAAGAGACATACTAAAACTATTCTGTTTCATGTCACTCTGTTCAAATAAAGTGAAAGAAGGCAGCTGGCTGCCCTATGCTTACACAAAGATAGCATTTTTTGCCATAAAAATTAAAATAATTTTACAAAAAAAAATTTCAATAAAATATATATATAATTTTTTTTTTTTTTTTTACAGTTTCATTTTTGTAGCTGCCCTGCAATCTCAAACAAAAAGCAATTTATTGACAAAAAAAAATAAAAAAAAAATTATAATATATATATATATATATATATATATATATATATATATATATATATATATATATATATATATATATATATATATATATATATATATATATATATATATAAAAATAGCAACAGACTAAACAGAAACTTTCAAATATCTGTTTTCCCAAATAGGGATAATAACAGTATATCCCATCTATCAGTTTTTCAACATAGCAATCCCTTCAACCTCCACAACAATATAACGCCATTAACAAACTCCAGGCATCATGCCCCCTTAATATGACTGCAGTGGTTATGGTGCTATGAGTAACCCTTTAAGTAAAAATATCTAAGCTGTGACAATAAGAGTTAGAGATATATCATCATCCATTCTTCTAATGTTTATACTAATTTAGATCCTCATTGCAATCACAATGAAGCTTGTGATGCAACGAGCAGTTATTGTGCTGGGATTAAATGGGTACAACATATAGTGAGATGACACCTGACATCTTACAGAGAGTAGTCATGATGCTAAAAACAAAGTCAGCAGAGAAATGGCTTCGCTCTCTGCAGAATCTTCTCCACTCATTCAGAAATCTACTTTTATTGAGAACTAGACATGTTCAAAAATTTGTTTGAGACGATTTTTCTGAATCAAATTCCTGGCAATCATCGAGTAAACAGATTCCGAGTGGTTTCACCTGTACAGGTGTGATCGATCTGGAGTCTGTTCCGATCAGGTTTGATCAACAAGAATTTTATTCCGACAAATACATTTTTGCACAAGTCTGTAGATAAGGTCACTCTATAAACATTTAACTAAGAACAAAGGGCAACAATAAAACAATTTATCAAGTTATATAGCTAAATCCAGTCAAGCTCATGAACACTAAACGTTATATGGAAATTGAAAATCTTAATAGAGCGATTGCCTAATTTTAACACATTTCAAGGAAAATCCCTTTTCTCCAGTTATTTCTACAGTGAATTCTCTCAGAGCTATAGAATGTGTAGGTCATTTAAATCCTGAACAAAATCCCATGGGAAGAGCAAAGCTTACATAAAGACCTTTAACCTGCTGGATACAGCAAACACAAGTGATATTTGCAGTCCTTCTCGTGGACAAAAGACTGTCTGTGACTTGGTCAAGGAGGGAGTTTGCTGTTCTTATAATAAATAGCTAGCCATCCATTCAAATGGGACATGTCAAGAAAAGTAGTGCAAAAAATAAAAAGTTTCACGATGTCAAAGAATGCTCTTCAATCACGTATCCGAGCCATGTATCAAGGCGAGTTACAGGTTTTGGCATGTCAGAGACAGACGTGCCGTATGCCCTGCTGTATTTAAAAGTGTTACATGAGAATTTGTCATAAATGAGAAAGTCCTCCCCCTTCCTGAGACTCAATTTCCCTGCGCCATTGGCAAATGAAATGTAGCTTTTCGCAAGTATTTCATGGGCTGTCTGAGGTTTGCAGCGGTAAGTAACTAGTAAGGGCTGGCTAGTAGGGCAAGACGTGCAATTTTAAGCCGTGATCATCAAACTAAATTAAATAAATAGAAAGAATGTCCACCTGCAGATATTACTTCACATTCTGAAGTAAGCACATGGCACAGTGCATGCTTGCATTTAAAAAAAAAGGATACTGAGCATGATCACAAATACAGCTCATTTTAACAGTTATGGGGCAATGAGTCTCTCAGTGCAGTCTCCCCTAGTTCGTGTAAAATATGGCTCGTGGTACTTATTGGGGAAATGGTGCCCCAAGACACTTGCGTTATAGCCATTACAATGAACTGGAGAGATTGTGCTTTGAGAGCAGTTTTAAGAGAGTGTACTATAGACATAAATGTAATGCCACACTAATGTCAACAGAAACACCTTCCATATGATAAAATCATAAAGTCAGGAAAATCGAAGGTCGGAAGCTACTGGCATCATTTAATTTCCCTATACCAGGGCTGCGCGATAAGTAGATCCCGAGATGTAGTGGAACTACAACTCTCATGATGCCAAACCTATTGGGCAGCACTGCACTAGACCATAAGTCAACATAAAGTCATATAGTAACAGGAAAAATAAATAAAAATACAAGTAACAGCTGTTTTTGTGCTGGATTCAGAAACCCTTTTAAACCTGACAGTTCCCCAACATAAAGGAACATTAGAAACATGTATTCCTGACACTATAGTTATGAAATAACTGTTAAGGCGTTTCTCCCTCCCCGATCGCAGATAAAGCATGATTAACAATAAAAGGACTGGAATGATTTTTTTTTTTTTTTTTACTAGCCAAGCTATACAATGAGAGTTACATTATGCGAGTAGCTATAATTCTTATGGTTTGGTATGAATAAATCATAGCAAAAAAAAAAAAAAAAAGATTTATAATCCTATAGAATACACAAAATATTCAATAGGAATTATTATTGCGTAACATTTTGCAAAGGAATGGAAGTTTTTACAGATTTGTGAATGGTTTTCAGCTGTTCATGTTTTTATCCCAAGTTTTCTGAGTTCTATATCTCCCGCTGAGCATCGCAGCAACAAGCTTCTTAGAAAGTGCACACAACATTTGTTCCCTTGCCTACTGGAACACAGCCATGTCATTCCAAAGATAGCTTCAACACCTTCAGAATATACGTTATAGCACATAAACTGGAAGAGTCAAAATAGATTCCATACAAAACCAATCCGTTTAGTTAGTTAATCTATAGAAAAGGCCAGCAAAGAAGGAGTGCTCTGGTTTTATAAGACGTGCCTTCAAAACTAGGGAATAAAAAGGGTACAAGCTGAATGTTAAATTGTCAAAAGATTATAAAATCAGGTAGGGAATCACTTGCTAAGACCGGTCCGATCTCCATCAATAAAAGTAGACCAACTGCACATCTGGGTTGGACCCATGCAGTTCTAATTTAGGGATTTTTTTTTCTGGCAGGGGGTGGGTGGCAAGATAATTCCGTAAAAATACAGGATAAAAATTAAACTAAACTAAAACAGTTAAATCTGGAGCCAACCAAAACTAGTAAATGTAAAAGCTTCAATTGCTAGATAATTATGGGATGGATCTAAAATGAAACATTGTGGAGTCAGAGTTTGGGTGGCTGTGGTCTTTTCATTCACAATGCAGTACAATATATCAAATAGCTTGGACTATAAATTAAAAATTTAAGAGTCAGAATGCCTAGAACCTGTCCATTTTATTGCCCGATCATTTTAGAAGGTTTTGGACAGTTTTAAAAAGTCCCCAAAGTGCTTGGCTTTCAGCGAAGGAGCAATAAGAACATTTTTGCAAGTCCCTGCATATGTCTAAAAACATATGATTAAAGAGTTACTCAAAGCATCATAAACACTACAGCCCGCTCTAGTGGTTATGATTCAAGGAGTACACTAGCCTACTTCCCAGGTAATGGGAAAAAACATTAAGCAATGTTTTCCCCCCTTACCTGGATCCTTACCAGGCTCTGATGCTCCCTCGTGATCTAATGTCACGCATCTGTCTTTTGCAGAGCTGCACAAACTGGAAGGCAAGGCGGTCAACATTCATTGGCTAAACGCTCTCAGCCAATGACGAACATTCTGTGCAACAAGAGTTTTTCCCGGTCTGGCTGATGACACCCCTGTAATGCTGCCTGAGGTGGAGTTACATTTCAGGGAGACGTGCTGTGTTTCATAGCAAGAACACCGCACACACAGACTTCAGGCACCGTGACTACTTCAAATCACAGAAAAGGTCATGGTGCTTGGAGTAACTGGCCAGCAATAATCTTATGGCGGAAATATATGTTTATAAACCCCCATCACCCCCCCCAACCAAAAAAAAATAAGACTAAAAATAATATAGCTTTTTACAAAGTGAGCTAAAATATAAAAAAACATAACTCAATGGAGTTAAAAGTTATAAACATGCAAATGGGGCTTGCCATACAGTACCAATAAAGCACAAAACCTAACAACTTCACAATCACCACATCCAAAGTCCTCTTTCCATATTCCATTACCTATACCGCCTTCCTGCATGTGGAGCCCAGGAGGACATGTAAACATTCCCTGAAAATAATCAAATCAGTCTTATACGGAATACACACTTATCGTAAAATCCATCTAAACATCATCACCCTTACATGAGCAGGTTTAACCCTGTAAACAAAATAACCATTGCCCCAAAAACAAACCTAAAACCACTTAACAGTTAAAATAGATGGGAAACATCCCAGGCTTACATCCATGCATAACTGGCAACAACTTGTCAAAGAATGAAAGCATGATAAAACAGGAAAGACATTCAAACCTCTAAAATATACAAGTAGAATACTAAATAAAGGAAAAAGTCATTTAGTATCAGAAAGAGTTTCAAGTTAACACCTACATCAGTCCATGTAATATGAAGGATTCACAAAAAGTCCCAATAACCGGAACACACGGGATTGGTTAGTTCACAGCTTGATGTAACATTTGTCCACAGGATGAGATGGGGGGATGGGAATATAAAAAAAAAAAAAAAAATTATATTTACATAGCTAAATTTTAAGAGGGAACAAACAATTCCATGTTTCTTAAATTGACGTCTCTTGCGTAGACATCAGATGACGACTTTTGGATTTGGTTGATGCCTGCTGGAAATAAAAAGAATTTAAAAAAAAAAAAAAAAAAAAATGTATGTGCTCATAAAAATACATATTATGCAAACCATTATGGTAATAAATTAAAGTAACAGGATATTGGCAGACTAGCAATATTTTGGCAGAAAAAAAAATAAAAAAATACTACAACTTTTTTTTGAGTGCAAAGAGTTTAAAATAAGGGGCTTTTTGTAGGTACGACAAGTTTTCCCTTTAATCTTCTTTTAATTCAAACTTCTGTGTGATGTAAAGAACTCAGACTGACAACAACTGCAAGCTAGAATTACTACAGGGTCCCCAGGTAAAGAATAATGAATAGCTATTACTTAAGGAAAAAAAACAAAAAAAAACAAACAAACAAACAAAAAAATGTTCTAAGTGTGATGGAAGAACCTTTTTAAGTGTGAGATATTCCAGCTGCTGAAAAGATTACAAACTACCTGTATACATTATTGCGTTAAATCCAATGGTAACTTTTATATTTCATACTGACCTCTTTCCTGCTGTGAAATTCATCTGAAAGTTTTAACTTTGCCCGCGTGAAATAAACTGCAGGAGAATCCACGGCCATCTGAAAGAAGAAAGTTAGGTTTGGTTATTACTATACAAAACAATACTTGTTAATGAAGAAACTGCCTGGGATTCGCCCCCCCCGTAAGTTAGGGCCTCCACCCGACACTCATGGATGGGGGCCGGGGAGGACACTAGGTCCACCACCCCCCTTTTCATTTAGGGTCTCCACCTGCCACTCACGGGTGAGGGGGTTCCTGACAGAGGGAGAGAAGAGGAATCGAAGAAAGGCAAGTTCGGCATGACAGTGCCGCTTTAATAACAAAGCAACGGCACTGGAAAATTTCTCTAACATGGACTTCTTATATGCTCTCTCAAAGTGGTTTCCTGGCACTATAGCTTCCAATAGTCCCCCTCTCCCTCCCCATGGAGCTTGGGGTGGAGACCTCATGTGCATGAAGGGCAATGGCCGAGCTCACATTAGGACTTCCCCCATAGGAAAGCATTATACAATGCTTTCCAATGGGGTTTCGGGTGATTGACATTCTCTTGCATATTATGAGGACATCCAGCATCAGGCGACCAAAAGTCGCCTCTAGATCCTGGAAGTCCCTCTAGTAGCTGTCTGGTAGACAGCCACTAGAGGTGGAGTTAACCATGCAAGGTAATTATTGCAGTTTCTCAATAAATGCAATAATTACTATTACAGGGCTAAGGAATATGCACCCAGACCACTTCTGTGACATAACGCCTGCGTCAAACAATGCTCCTAGTGCTTGCCAAGGAACACCAGCACCGCACTCGACACCACAATCACAGCCAACCCCACAAGCCGCCGCAGCTTGGTTTGGGGTTTCACCGTCCTCCACCCACCCTGGACCCAAGACCGGGCTCCAGCTTCCAGCAGGTGAACCTCTCCTAAATCCAGATATGCAGGAACCAGGAACAGGAACAGCTCTTACAAGAGCTAATGATGATACTCTGGGGAGTATAGTGATTATAGCAATTCCCAGAGTGTAGGTCTCAAATCCCCCAAACATGAGCCAAGACTTCATGAAGGGGTAAGCAGGTCTGTTTAATGAGCACAAAAGGCCTTTCTTTAATACACATTTTCCCACAAGGTTACCACCCACGTGGCCTTGTGGTACACAGGACACAGAGTTACAACAGCCAATCAACACTGTACAGTACAGCACACAAACCCCCCCCCCTCTGACTTTGATATAATCACCAACCACAATGGGCTAACTTAATCACAAGCAGAAAATATACAGTTTTTACCCAAAACACAGAAACACCCCAAAACAACCACCTATCCCCACAAATTATACAGGATAGCCCTGATCTTGGTGAACAACATATCCAAAAATCACCCAGATCAGAGCAGGGGTTCAGCATGGCTTTCATGCCCAAAAGAGTTCCACAGATTTAGGCTGTGCAGCTGGTATATCTTCTCTTCTATCCTGGAGATAATTGGCTGTGGCAACTTAATTATCTCCAGGTACAGAAAATATCTCTAAGTACAAAAACTGTTACAAAAACCACATAAAAATACATAAACTCATATAATACAATGTTTAACCAGATGTCCAACATATCCCCAGATAGCTTGGATCTGAGCGCTCAATATGTCAGAAGCGCTCAGATCTCACGAATACAGTTGGATCGCCATGCGGTTAAACAATAGCAAGGGCTGATGAGAGATTGAGGAGGGACAAAGCAGCCAGTTTCAACTGGTCTGGCAGTGTCCCTGGGACAATACCCTGCTGGAGAACAATAGGACAGGAAAAGGGGGGAGGGGAAGAGGCACATTTTCCCATAGAAGTCATTTTTAAGCATGGGTTTTTGCAGGGCCCATAGTCTTGGGGCAGAAATAGTGTATTAAAACCCCATAAGCCCAAATATAGTGTTTAAAGGGCAATACATCCCAAGGGCCAAAGTCACAAGGCAAGAGGCCGGCAAGCAGGCCTCTCCAAATCCCAGTGACAAAGGTGCTTTCGTCACAACTTCAATGAGCTGAAGTGCTCTGTGTCCCTATAATGTCCCTTTAAAGAGGGGGGAAAAAAAGTTTCTCTCTCTCTCAACCCTATAGGGTTAAAAACACCAGCTAGCCCCCTGCCCTTGATCTGCCTTGGCTGACATCATCAGAAGTGATCTCAGTCAATCACCATGCATTCCCATAGGAAAACATTGGATTGGCAGAGATTGCCAATTCTGGTGATCTCAGCCAAAGAGGCAGGCCGGGGGGACAGAGCCAAACACCTTCCTGACCAATCAACATCTCTTCGTAGAGATGCATTGAATCAATGTATCTCTATGAGGAAAATTCAGTTTGTCCATACAGAATTTGGAGACACTGAATGGCAGTCACACTGTACAGCACTGCCCCCAGGAAGCACCTCTAGTGGCAATCTGAGAAGTGGCCAGTGGAGTTATCCTAGGCTGTAATATAAACACTGACGTTTCTCTGAAAAAAAAAAAATAATTAAAAAAATAAACAGCATTTACTGCAAAAAGCCTGAAGTGACGGCTTATACTCACCAGAACAAATACAATAATCTATAGTTGTTCTAGTGACTATAGTGTCCCTACACGGACTACAAGATTTTATTTATGCCATACAAAGATAACAGGTTATACATTTTTAAAATTCTGAGAGTAAATTCTCCTCATCCTTACAAATAAACCATATAATTAGAGATACAAGTCCTAAAAACACACACAGAGCTTCTGGCCAATCAAATCACACCGTTTCCCTGTGGATAGCAGAGACCCAGTGCATCCTCTGATGTCCCAGCATGGTCACTGCCAGCTTACACACAAATATTTATTTATTTTTTTTAAAGTAAGAAAGTTATGGTCAAATTGTTTTGTGTTTACAAAAAACAAAAACAAACTTAAATAAGACAGCATATCAAAATGTTGGAGAAAAAGAAAAAAATCTGCAGAGGTTAAATCTATTGAAATTATTAGCTTTTTCACCAGGCATTTGGATCACAAGCTAGCTCAATTTCTCTCACCAAGACTGTAAGAAACAGAACTCAATCCAACACAATACTAGTTTATAGTCTCCGTGCCAAGTGTCAGGAAATGAAAAACGGACAGGCAGTCATCCCTTTAAGCTTAAGATTGGCCCAATGCTTCAAGAACTTGACTTTGGCTGATAAACAATCACTCAAAATCAATATGATGATTGGTCTGGGATTGTGTCAAAGGATCGGTCAGAAAAATCTCACAAGAAATGGCCTATGCGCGGTCATTGGCTGCAGCATCCTGTGCGTAATCCAAATGAACGAAAGGCATTGAAGTAAATTTGTTCATTCAGTGATTTCTTATGATTATTGTATGTGAATGTTGATAGGCACTAGCTGCAGTTGCACCAATAATCCAGGGCTTAGACCAACTACATAAACTAATAGGCACAGCTGCTAGGGCTATTAAGGATACTAAGTTTACTAGAAATAAAGAGAAAAAATTAAAAGGACTTACATATTTGAGGTTTTCTTTGGCATAGTCCGACCCATCTGATGACGGAGGGGTTATAGTTTTGGTCTTCTTTTCTGAAGCAACCTGGCCGCCCAAAACCTTGCGCTAAAATAATATCAGTTTGTCAATGCTTTGGAAATGTGACCAACAAGAATAAGTGTGCAGTCTTAAATACTAATGTAATGTCTCCATCGTCAAATAAGCAAATTACAAAGTTACCGTGAAAGCCCATTAAAAATAAAATAAAATAAATAAAAATGACCATCTCTGTCAGCTACTGCGTTTCTGTCTTGGGCAACATAAATGAATAAATAATCTTCAACAAAGCAGTAGGCTTAAAGGGATACTATAGGCACCCAGACCATGTCAGTTCATTGGTCCTCAAACTCCGGCCTCCCAGATGTTGGTGAACTACAACTCCCATGATTCTCTGGCTATGTAATTCAAAGAATCATGGGAATTGTAGTTCAGCAACATCTGGGGGGCCGGAGTTTGAGGACCCATGGTCTAGGTGCACTGTCCCATTCCCCTTAACCTTACAGTTGTAATTATTGCAGTTATTGATTTACTGCAATAATTACCTTGCAGGGTTAACTCTACCTCTAGTGGCTGTCTACCAGAAGGACTTCTTGGTGGTTAGGCAACTTTTGGTCACCTGACGCTGGAAGTCTTCACTTTGTGAGCCTAGCAGTATAGTTTATCTTTAAAGGGACACTATAGCTTATAGCATGTCCCTGCAGGTTCGGCAATGTAAACACTGCCTTTTCAGAGAAAAGGCAGTGCTTATATTGCTGCCTAGAAACCTCTAGGGGCAGTCACCTCTAGATGCAGACACTCAGACGGCCAACAAAAGGTGCTTCCTATTTCAGCTACATTGTGTGCACAACTGCGTTCGGTGTCTCCACACTGTGCATGGAGACGCTGAATACTCTCCAAACAGATGCATTGGATTGGTCGAGATAGTCAAGATTGATAATCTGAGCTATGTAGGCAGGGCCAGCCTGCTGAGACCAGCAAGGCAATTAAGAAAAGGCAAGTTTAAGTACCTTTTTACTATAGTTTGTATTCCTAACACTCCTTTAATATGTGATATTCAAATGAAGAAAAGGCATTAAAGCATTCCTTTTTACGGAGACCCTAAAACAACAGAGTAAGCTTGCAAACAAGGCCCTTCAAACTGAGTGTGTCAGCCTGCTCTGATAACACATCCTATCTATCTCTATCCTGTCTATAACAATGATAAATGAGATGCTGTCGTGCAAGGTTCACCAGAAATCAATGGAGCAATAATCTTTAAATGGTACAGTGTTGCCAAACATACTATATACGCATTGTAACTTACCTTAATCATCCCACTGAAGGATCGAGAACGAGTGTGTTTCTTTTCAGAAGGCTCTTTGGAATTAGAGATGGGGGTTCCAGGATTATGCTTGTGGAACTATAAGGAAAAAAAAAAAAAAAAATAGATGAAAAGTATTGTAATTTTCATAATGTTGCAGCCATCATAATAAAAAGATTTCCATTTCTTTGTTTCCGAGCACTTTAGCTCTAAGTAGTGGTTTTGCAGCCAGGGGAACTTTGGCACACCTCCCCCCTATTGAAAGGAATTAAACAGTTTTGAACGGTTTGACATCTTACCTAGGATCAGCTACCTACATCCACTAAGAATGCTGGGGAGTCTGAGCAGGAACTTTACAGCTTACCGTAATTAGGATTGGATGGCCACACTGAGTTACCAAGCAGGAACTTCCGTTCGTTCTCCTGCCCCAAGCACTGCAATGCAGAATTAGCCATGCTTGGGAAAGTCTAGCTCTCATAAGTAGTGGAGATGGGGAGAGGCACCTGGCAGACCCTCGCTTATAAGTCAAACCTTTCAAAAACGGTTTGACTGGCACAATAACCACTACAGCAAACTGAACTTGTTATGCTGCTTGGAATGTTCCATTAAGCTATGGTAATGCCATACCTTTCAGAGATCAAAATGTTTACTAAATAGTTCACAAGCTCGTACAAAAAGACACATTTTCACTTTCCCCCTTCTTATTCGCCATGTCCCTGGAGCCCTTGCTAGAAGCGATCTGGTCCAGTCCAGGCATAGAGGGGATTAACGTCAGAGGCCAGCTCTATAAAGCCTCTGCATATGCAGATGACGTCCTCTTAACCCTGACTAACCCGGCCACCTCCATAGCTTATTTTATTACTGAATAACTGATACACTCGTACTCCCTTATCTCGGGGGATAAGCTGAACATAATGAAATTGGAGCTCCTCCCAATCCACATATCTAGCACTGACCTCACATCTAAAAGCAAAATTTACCCTACGAATATGTGAGTCTGCCATCGCCTACCTAGGCATACAACTCACCCCAGATGTCACATCCCTGTACCGAACAAACTACGCTCCAATGCTTGATAAGTCATACGCTGATCTCAAAGCATGGAAATCATTGGGGATCTCGTGGCTGGGCCGTGTCACTTCTGTCAAGATGAACCTCCTACCCCGTTTTTTTTTTGTTTTTGTTTTTTTAACGTGTTCCGGACCCTACCGGTCTCATTCCCTACAACGGACCTTATATCCCTGCAGATAGCAATTAATAAATTTATCTGGAATGGCACCAAACCCAGAGTTCGCAGGGAAACATTATACCGGCATGTCCCAAGGAAGTCGGGAGGGCTGGGCCCCCTAACTTGTTTACATTATCTTTACGCGGCACACTTGACCCAAATTCAGATGTGGTACCTGCCACCCATGAAGAAACGATGGGTAGATGGTGAACATTCAATCTTTGGGTGGGACCACCCTTCCCTCTACATGTGGCTCCGCAGACAGCTTCGCCCCTTACCCCCTCCGACGGCACCTACAATTACTCACTCACTTGACCTGTGGGATAAACTACACATTAAATATGACCTAGCCTTGGCTATCACCGATGACCCCCATTCTCCGGAACAGACTGTTCCCGCCAGGACTCACGTCCAAACATCTTGCCCAATTCGAGAGAAGAGTAATAACGAGACTGGGTAACCTGTTCACCAATGACCAAATCATCTCCTACACAGACATTACAGAAGCGGAGTCTCTCTCAACATTTGATTACTTTCAATACATTAAACTTCGCAGTTTTGCAGCCATACCCAGCATCCAACAAGCAGGCAAAGCGCCACTTACTAGCTTTGAGAGAGACTGTATGGTAGCTCCTACCAGGAAAAGCCATATATCAGACTTCTACCTCTCATTTGCAATGCATGCGACCCACACCTCCCTCCCATATATATCACAGCCTGGGAGGAAGACCTGGGACCATCCGAGGACACAGAAGACTGGTCATATATATGGGAAGCTATATCATCCCTCACAATTTGTGTAACCAAAATGCTTTTCTGATGGTACCCGACCCCACCAATGACTGGCTATCACGCGTTTCTTGCCCACAAATCACAAATGGAAACAATGCGGGGCAGTGGGAACATTTCTCCACTGCTGGTGGACATGTCCTAAACTTGCACCAACCTCCTCACAAGAATTTTAATCCTTGGGCACTACTGCTATCCAAGCCACTGGACACTTTCACAAGAGCCAAAAATAAACTAATAGCACTAGTAGCCCTGGCCACACGTGGGGCAATTGGAGAGGTATGGTCATCCACCAATATACAGCTACAAAAAGTAACCCCCCCCCCATAGCAACACCCTAATGACAACATATACAAACATCCCTCATAGGACCAATCGCAAGGGCTGTGGAACATTGAAAACAAATAAGGGTATCTATGTTACAATTGCAACCTTAAACATAGCTCACTGACACCCCGCAGTATTACAGGCCTGCAATGTTATGACCTGTATCATCTGTACTGTTCCTTACATTTGCCTATATTGTAAATCAATTTCTTGTTACCTATTGTACGTTTGCCTATGTTACCTTTACATAAGTGAAAATGAAAATAAAGTATTATATATATATATATATATATACACACACACATATATACACATACATACATACACACATATATATATATATATATATATATATATATATATATACACATACATACATACATACATACACACACACACACACATATATATATATACATACATACATACATACACACACACACACACACACTTTAGGCATAAACCCAAATTAAATGACATTAAACAAAATCATCAGAACCACCAAACTTTGCTTACATAGCTGCCAACCGCAAGTGAGATCACTGTACAACTGTAAAAATCTCCATGTTTTCTGGGCCTTGATGAGATACAATTGGTTTGTTTTTGTTTTTTAACTTCATGTTGGTATTTGATTAGTTACTACACAGCATCTCTCATATTTCTGATGGCTATTTGAATGAAGAAATTGACCCAGCTGCTCGAAACTAGCTGCACCTTTTAACCATATTGCACAGTCTAAAAATACAGTAAGCACTGTATTGACTGCTGTGTAAATTCTAGTCATCTAAAACCCACACACGAGAACGCTGCAGTTGTTAAGAGAGCCACTAGAGGTCAAAGTGTGTGAGATTATTTTTCTCTTTATCCCAACAGATGTGTCAGACAAGTAGAGACGCTGAATTTAGAAACTTCAAGTAAACATCTGTTTTCTTGCCGCCCACCTCCACCACCCAATTTAGTTTTCCTGACTTTTTATGCAATGCCAATCATGAAAGAGCTGGCAATAGAGGCGTGCACCCACAGAAGGGCACAGCTACCAGTACATTTTAGCAGAAAGTGACTAAAATAAATCTGAAACCGCCTAAATGGCTAAAATAAAATGAACTCAGAACGGTGAGAAATATCTGGTCTCGAGAAATTCTCGTGTTCAGCTGTAGTCACAGCAGAATATTTCAGCCTCACTTTTTGAATTGACTAAAATTCAGAGTTTAAATAACAGACGGATAGCATTTCTTGCCCATTGTTCCAGTCTGTACATTATTTCTAGAACATGCATCACAACCACAGTTCTACTGAAGAGAGCGTATATTTCAGAGGGCATTCGGACAGCCTGTGTTAAACGTAACCTGACTTCCTGATCATTATTACTGAATATAGCTTAATAGTTTGTGGTTCTTTTAGGTCTCCTCACATAGTTGTAGCTTTAGCTGTCCTTTTTTCAACATCTACCACAATCACAACTTAAGCACCATAGAGAAAATTACACTATTTCAGAGCTGCATTATGGTACCACGTCACACGGTCAAACAGATATTTGCACCTTTCACTGCTGCACTCTTTGCGATTGGCAGGTCTGTTTAGCGACACCCACTTTCAATCAGCAATTATACAGATCATTCACCTGGTCCTTAAATTACTGTTACTATGTTTAAAGTGGACTACTTGTCGGTACTAGTCTACTTAAAAAGTTAAAAAAGTGAGCACAGCATTCCACAAGCCCTGTGAACATCCACACACTTTATTTTAGGGAACAGAACATTCAGATCCAAACAACAAGAGAGTCTGATTATTTGCCATCAATTTACAGATTGCCGTTTGCAAAAAGGTTTATGGTGGACAAGTTGCTTTTATTTTTTTCAATTTATATTTTTATAGAATTTTCGCATATAAGCAAGCATTCATTCTCGTCAGAGTATGGCATTGGAAAATAAACAATACTTTTCTATTGTGGGTAAACAAGTATTTTGTGGGTTCTACACCCGGTTTAGAAAGTGTGTAAGCCAGTGGGTGAGTATGTGACTGGTTCCCCCTACCTCCCCAAACTTAGGGACTCAGATCTCGCTGTGTGATATTGTTCTTGCCTGGAGGTCTGGGTTGTGGGCACAGAGCCACGAATGGCAGCATTGTCTCGGGAGGGGACGGGCCTATGCAACTGGTTCATGTGTGCCCTGCCCTATATAGTGGGCACTTGTTCAGAGTCTTGGGACACCAAGTCTGGTCGGCTGAAGCTGGGTCGGTGAAGAGCCCTCTCCGGAGCCTCCTTGTACCCTCATGCCATTACTCCATACTAATTCTTGACCTCTCTTGCCTTTGGTCTCTGCGACACGGTCCTCTTGTGGTTTTCCTCCGATCTCTTCCAACGCTCATTCAATGTCTCCTTTTATAAAAATAACTCCCCCTTCATCCTGTCTCGGTTGGAGTCCCCCAAGGCTCTGTTCTTCGCCCCCTATTTTCTCTTTATACTGCCTCTCTTGGCAAACTTATTAGCTTATTTGGATTCCATTACCATATCCTCCCGCTTTCTGAAACAATCTCTCAAACTGAGCTTCTTGTCTTTTCTCCTCATAATACTTATTGTCCTCTTTCGCTCTCCCTTCAAGTTGATGGTACCCGCATCAGGCCATCCTTGCTAGCGCACATTCTTGCATTTATACTCAATTCTGGCTTCACATCCAGTCTGTTAACAAATCTTGTCGATTCCACCTAAAAAACATTGCCCGTGCCTGACTTTTTCTTAACCCAGATGCTTCTTAGAAACTTGCCCATGCTCTAGCAATTTCTTGCATTGATTATTGTAATTATCTCCCAATTGGTTTTCCCCAAGAAGCCATACTGCCCCGCTACAGTCTAATGAATTCTGACGCCAGACTAATTTTCCTCTCTAGTCGCTCCTCTCATACCGCACACCTCTATCGGTTCTTACATTAGTCCATACCTAAAAAGCATTGAACAACTCTAACCCCTGTTACATCTCTTAACCGATTCACATGTATGCCTCTTCTCAGTCTTTCCGCTCTGCCCCTTCTCCTGTCCGCACCCATATGGCTAACTCGTGCTTGCAGGATTTCTCGCAGGCAGCTTCCTTCCTTTGGAATAGCCTGCATGCCACCATCAGACTCTCCTAGTCCTCAAAGTGCCTCAAAACACATTTCTTCAGGAAAGCTTATGGCTTCCCAGAGTAACCTCTACCTGACACACCGGTCTCTTGTTCTCTCCTAAAGGGCAGCACTCTACTCGCTCCTCCAGCTCTGCTTCACTCCCACCTTGCTTAATTGTGATCTCCTGTCCTATATAGTGTTTTATACCCCACCTCCTATAGACTGTAAGCTCATTTGAGCAGTGTCCTCAGCAACCTATTGTTCCTGTAACATTTTGTAATTGTCTCATTAATTGTTAAATACCCCCCTTTTATAATATTGTAAAGCACTACGGAATATGTTGGAGCTATATAAAGACCAATAATAAGAATATGATGTGTCATGTAGGTGAAAAAAAAAAAGAAAGAAAATTGTTTGTACCTGACGAATAAGCTTCTTCTTTTTAGCAGAATCTGGCATACTGTGAACATGCCGGAACAGCTCCTTTAAGGCCTCCTCTGTATGCTGTTGTGTTTTTTCCTGGAGTGATGAAGATGAAGACGTTGAAGAAGGAGAAGACCCCAATCTGCTGCGCTTTGGGCATTTCAGAAACTGGAAATCACTAGAAGGTGGTCGAGCAGACAACAATTCCAAGTCATCCTGAAAGGAGTAAAATAAATAAGAAGCAACAAAAACCCTGTTTAGGGCTACAAGGTCACTGAATAACTGGTATGGTGGAGTAAACCATGGTACAGACATCATAGTAAAAAGGTTATCAAGCTGTGGAAACTTACACATATATAAAAAAAAACAACTCTCCAATTATTTATGGACGTCTTCTCTCAAGGTCACAAGAGGCAGACAAGTAGACATACATATTTATTATACTCAGAACATTCAGTCCATTCTGATGTGCTCCATCTACATATGTAGATATAATATTTTTGATTTCAGTATTCCTTCTGTTCTATGCTTTTCTTGGATACCCCTATCCAAAACCTCTTTGCTGTGGTGTAGTGGACAGCCGCTAAAATGATTGTACAACTAGCGTTACCTTTGACGCTGGTGCTTTATCCCCAGTGAAATACAGTCGGCAGTATTCTCTGATATATGGAGGAGCCTGTAACAAAACACATCAAACTCAAATTAATCTGTGTCCAATAGTCTAATAGCTTTTCAGTAGTTTTTGAAAATGTAATCACTGTAATGGCTGTCAGATTAAGACTAGGACGCATATATGGGAATAGGTTTGCAAGCAGCAATTAATATTTCGGACTTAAGTGAAATTTCTTTGTAATAGAATAAAAAAAGTGTTTCGTTATCTCCTCCTTTAGTAAATGGGAATTTACTTGATATGATTAGTAAAGGAATTACACAATCACGGTATATAGTTTAAATTATTCTGTAGCCTTTATTAAAGTACCAGCACATTCACTAGAGCTAAACTATCTAGAATAAACTGCAAATTAAAACAAGCCTTGCAGTAAAAAAAGGAAAAAAAATAAAATAAAATAAAGTTAAAATCCACCACGCATCTGGAGGTGGTTTGAAAAGCAAGTTTTAAGATTGTATTTTTTAAGGGGCGCACATTCCTTCTTCACTTCAAGCTGCTGCAGCTTCACTCTCTTTAAATGCATTAAAACAGTGGCTCCCAAACCGGTCCTCATGGCCCACCAACAATCCAGGATTGATGCATTTCCCAGTTTTATTTCAAAGGAGATACGGACTAATCCTGGACTGTTGGTAGGCCATGAGAACACTGCATTAGAGAGAATGCATTCAAATCTCACTTTGAATCCAATTCTTGCTGCAAAGCCCAAAAATGTGTAGAGCTCGGCACATATGCCAGAAATATCAGAGGCTGACCAAGAAGCACTAGAAACCCCCATTACGCAGGAAGAAATGGCATACGCCATTAAGAAGGCAAAAACAGGCAGGGCACCGGGACCAGACGGGATGCCCCTTCAATACTACAAAGTTGTCGCACAAGACGTCATGCCGAAACTACTGAAAGCCCTGAACTCCATACAAGAGGGAGCCACACCAACCGCCCAGTTCACCTCGGCGAATATCACTCTACTCCCAAAGGAGGGAAAAGACCCAACACTATGCTCAAGTTACCGCCCAATATCGGTGCTGAACACGGACATCAAGCTTCTGGCCAGCGTACTAGCGCTACGACTGGCGCCATTACTACCGGCCACAATACATCTGGACCAAACGGGGTTCATCCCAGGCAGGGAGGTGAGGGACAACACCATCAGAGCCCTGAACATCATAGCGCACATCAGAACCCAACAGAACCAAACCCTTCTCTTGTCCACAGCGCGGGGAAGGCATTTGACAGGGTGGACTGGACATGATGATGGAAACCCTCCACGCCATGGGAGTAGGACCGAGGTATGGCATTTGGGTGAAGGCACTATACACCAGCCCGACGGCGCGAATCAGGATTAACGGTGCACTGACAGACCCATTCCGGATACATAACGGGACCAGACAAGGCTGTCCACTATCGCCATTACTCTTTGCACTGACACTGGAGCCATTCCTAAAAAGGATCAGACACAATGCCGCCATCCAGGGGCTTACAATCGGAAACACACATCACAAAACGCTAGCGTATGCAGACGATATGCTGTTCGTAGTCACGAACCCAGAAACTTCCCTACCAGCGATACAGACAGAATTTGAGGAATACGGACGAATCTCAAACCTCCAAATTAATTATTCAAAATCAGAGATACTGAACTTAACCATCAAACACACGGACAGACATACACTTCAGAGGCACCACCCATACCGCTGGTGCGACCACCGCATGCGATACCTGGGGGTTTGGCTTACTTCCAATCCGGCAGACCTGTACACACAAAACTACCTCCCCATATTAAAAAAAAGTGACGGAGGAACTGCATAGATGGAGCCCATATTACATCTCATGGCTGGGGAGGATAAATGCGGTCAAGATGACACTACTACCCAAACTACTCTTTGTGTTCCAAACAAGCCCCACAAACATTCTTCAAGGCATTGAAGGCAGAGGTCCGCACGTTTATATGGAAAGGCAGACCCCCACGCATAGCGTATACCCAGCTAATCCTACCCAAACTCCGAGGGGGCCTAGCGCTCCCCGATTTTGAAAGATACTATCACGCAGCACACCTTACACGAGTCATCAGCTGGACGGTAGCCAGCGGCACAAAACCATGGACCCAACTGGAATCCGATACCACCAACTGTGACCGCTGGACACTGCCTTGGATATCCGCGGCGGCGTACAGGCGCAAACGCATCACTAACTTCGTGGCGGCAACCATGAGGGTCTGGCACAGGCAGGGCACAAAACACTACCTGACGACAGATCCAGGCCCGCTGTTGCCACTAAGAGGCAACCCAGACTTCCCAGCAGGCGACCTTGGCCCCACACCGGGCCCAGCAGGACACCCAACAATTCCTCGCATGACAGACGTCCTTGTGCACCCGTTCGGCATTCGGCCATTAACAGAACTCTTCCCGGACAGACCACTCACTTTCTCTCACACACTGGCGAGAGCGCAAATCTCCCAATATGCCCGATCCATCCCGCAAAAACCATCCCTACTGAGGGAAACTACATAATTCGAAAACCTGTGCACACGAACCACCCCGAGCCATCTCACAGGTATACACAATATTGGTCACTAGTAGGTACATATTGGCACCGCCCTGCATAAGGAACTGGGAAGAAGACCTAAATGAGACCATGTCGGAAGCGGACTGGGACAAGTGCATCACCCTAATACAAAAAACACCAAGCTCAGCACGCCTGCAAGAAAACTCTTACAAGATACTCACCAGATGGTATCTGACACCGACTGCGCTCCACGTCAGGAACCCAGGTATACCAGACACCTGCTGGAGATGCGGGGAGGAAACAGGCACGTTTCTACATATCTGGTGGGCATGTGCACGGCTCCGGCCCTTCTGGGACACCATTAGAGATATAATATACAAAGTAACAGACGAGATGCTCCCGGGGTCCCCAGCCACCTTTCTCCTCCATCACACCAACATGACCGCGCAGACATACATCAGATCAGTAATACCGCAGTTGCTGAACGCAGCCAAAACAATCATCCCCATCTACTGGAAGCAGGTAAACGCACCTCCGATAACACGATGGCTGGAAGAGGTGGAAACCACCAGGAAATTCGAAGATATAAAGGCAAACACTCCGAAACTTAGGGACCGATACACCAAACGCTGGTTTCACTGGATACGATTAACCGCATCAAATGACTTTCAACGCCGCCTGGTCACACAGTAACCAGAAAGGATGAGACAAGGAAGGCTGCAATCGGGGACCGGGCGGGAGGCGGAGGGAGGTGGCGGCGGCAGGGGACGGAAACACTCATAACCCCCCAACACCCTCTCCCACCCCCCCCTATTTCAAACCCCAACCACACCTCGAAGGACAGACACAGTAGCAAAACATAACCGAAAGGCCTTAACAAGACACCCCCACACAACGAGACTGACAGGCGACACTACCAGAATGAAGCAACCCTACACAGCGCCACAAGAAACTCAACCCTCAATGGACCCATAGACAGCCAAGACACAGAGTGGGGCAACACCGCAGACAGCACAGGAAGGAAAAACACACATGGGAGACACAGAACCAAAAGTTGGCCACGCCACATACACACACACCTAACCGAAGCCCTTAAAACCAGACACAAAGGGGAACACCCATCAGAACACGTACAGTGACAAACGCAGTGCACAAATAGACACACACGACCATGGAACACCAAACTACACAAAGCAACAGATATTCAGACGCACAGGCAGCTTGCAAGCACAGGCACCAGAGCAAAACCGTACAAAATTAAGCAGAAACACTCAAAACAATATTCACAGATGCAACTGTAATATAGATACACTGCAAGTCATACAGATGTAAAATGCGAGTAACTAATTATACATATATCTGCTGTATTATGCATGACCAACCAGCCTCTGTGTAGGCGACTTAACGCAAACAAATGTATGTAATGCAACCTTGCGCCCCTGCATGGGCAACCTTTACTTCACTACTCACAAAGATGCTACCTGCACATGTGTTATGACAACAATAAAAATATTCAAAACAAAAATGTGTAGAGAAGGATATTTCGCCAAACTATAGTCCTTCCATTGTTTTCACAGACAGCTCTGCAAAACCCAACATGTAGCGTCACATGTTCTTTAAATGACAAAAATAAAAACTTTACGTTATTGGGACACTATAGTCACCAGAACAACTACAGCTTATTGTATTTGTTCTGATGAGTATAGTCAGTCCCCGCATGAATTTTGTAGTAAACATGGTCTTTTCAGAGAAAACACGGTGTTTACATTACAGCCTAGCAATAACTCCACTGGTACTTCCTATGGCAGTGCTGCACATTCAGTGTCTCCACTTCTGATAGGTGTCCAACCATTGAAAATGGCTTGCCATTTAACTCCATTTGTTATAATCCCTTTAATCATATTGCTGCAGCAAGCCTGCATTACAAAAGGATGGCAAAATACCAACGTATTCAGAAATCTTTTCTGAATTTAAAGGTAAGGCGAGGGACAAATTTTCTGCAAAATCTCCTCACTGTCTAAAATAAAAATACATAGAGCCTTCCAAACCATGGGAAGGAGGTGGGGGGAATAAACACAAAAAAATATTTTAGATTTGTTTCTCTCCCGTGTTAAAATGGAGGTTCCCCTGTTTACTAGGAGAAGGTGGTTAAGGACTATTCATCATTATGTTCACAGCTGCCATGTTACCCAGAGTTCTCTCAAATGGTCCTTAATATACACCTTCCACTATTTCCCTTTCCTGCTCTCCAATAGCAGAGGATGCGACGCAGAAGACAGTGCACAGATGGGTGACTAAGTATCAACATACATCTATTTATTTGGGAGTCTAGGACAAGGTTAACTATGGCCCTGGAATGAGGCACTGGTGACAGGTAGGGGTGCAAAACTGGGCAGTTGGCCTAGAGATAGATATGATTTAGAGAGAGACCCAGGAGGAAGCATTTCCCAAGTAAGTGGATTAATCTCATAAGAGCAAACATTAGGTTACAAGGATAGGACCTGCCAAGAATGGCGTACATTGGCATTGGGGTAGGCTTATGCCTAGGTGAGCCATTACATTATATTAGTCTAGTAAATGAGCTAATCAGAAATCTAAAAAAACAAAAAAAACAAAACACACACAAAAACAAACACACAACACCCATTTAAAGTGTTCATTTAACTATATAATTATCAGGACTTTAAAATGACTAAACCAGGCCTTAATCTGAAGTGCTGAATTTTCACTCACCTGCGGCCATAATAAAAGATATAAGTGCCAAAATGGAAACTTTAATGTGCCCCAACCTATTCCATTCAATAAAATCATTTTAAGTGGACTCGTAACCCCCTCCTTGTCAGAAGCCGTGAGAATAAAAAGGTTGCTTTAGAAGGGTAAACTTGGCTATGTATACAAAATATATATATTTATATATATTTTTTTATTTATTTTTTTATTTTATTTTTCATGATTGTACATCCTTCAAATGTATCCAGAGTCAAAGTACCTAGTGAGTGGAAGCTACAAACCATTTAAAATCTGCACATGCTACACCGTCCATGAGATTACAGGCTTTACAGCAAATTCTACTTTATTTTGAAAGTTTTATTATTTTTATTTCAAACTGACCTGCAAAACACACATTAAAGGTCAAAATTAGTGTTGGTTGGATATTTAATATCTTTCTTTGACAGACCAGACAATACAGCTTTTTGAAGCAGAGTTATACACAATAACAGATAACTGCATGGTCCTGGGTGGTGCAATTTCTTCAGAGCATAAAATACTGCAAATGCCGGCATGTTAAAAGCACTTGCATTTTAAAAATAATGAAAAGTGCCTTAACAAATGGCCATAAAAATTAAATACATTTAATTAAAAAAAACAAAAAAAAAAAACAGGAAAAAAGAGGTTTTGTGAATAAGGGGACACTACCATGAAATTTAACCTAAATTAAATACTTCAATAGTTTAAACACAGACAACGTAGGCTCATTGCACAGGTTATGAAGGAGACGCCCAAATCTGTCTCCACAAAGTTGTTTATAATTGCAGCAAAAATCCACAAGCCTGCAATTTTTTTTTTGATCTATATACAAGAAGACCATACTACAGCAGCTGTGGGATGGTCATCTGATCCTCCATAGACCACTAACACAGCTCCTGATGGGTGAAACGCCAAGAACTGAAGGTAGTAGAGCCCGCAAGGGTGAACGTCATGTAAACGTATCAACTTTCAGGTTCACTTCCTTGCTGCCCACAAATATGCAAAGAACCCTAAAGGTGACAGAGCACCTTTAAAAAAAAAAAAAAAATTTTTAATTGATATTAAAGTAAAATATGAGACGGGAGAGGGAAGATGAACTTTGTGAAAGCGTCCAAAATTAATATTTCTGGCATTTATAAAGTGCCAACATATTCTACATTGTTGATATGATGTAAATTAAAGTACACTGTGCACTCACAAATCCAGTCTCATGCTAACAGACTGTAAACAAAGGAGGGATCCGCACTCATCACCTGTGGACCTCAGTGCACTGTACCTAGGGCTGGCTAACCCCCAAATCCATATAATATGAACAAAGTAGTCCAGGCACTCAAGATCTTCATAAAGCAGCAGATTTAATAAGGTACACGCCTGCACACCCATTTTTGAACTAGTTTTTACATAAATAAGATTAACATTCTTGCAAAAGACTAGCATTCTCATGATGCTCAGCAAACAAGTTGCTGGCCAAGATTCATTGGAAAGATATAACACAACACTACAGAAACCAACTTCTGCAGTTAGCATACGGCCCCGGATTTGTTCCAGATCTGTCAGGAGTCAGGACCCATAACAGAACATTCAAACCTATAGTTTATCAGTAGTGATGTCCCGAACGGTTCACCACGGACTCATCATTGAGTAAACTTTGACCCTGTACCTCACAGTCAGTAGACACATTCCAGCCAATCAGCAGCAGACCCTCCCTCCCACCTCCTGGACAGCATCCATTGTGAAGCTGCATTCTTAGTGAGCTGTCCAGGAGGTGGGAGGGAGGGTCTGCTGCTGATTGGCTGGAATGTGTCTGCTGACTGTGAGGTACAGGGTCAAAGTTTACTCAAGGATGAGTCCGCGGCGAACCGTTCAGCGAACAGTTCGGGACATCACTATAAAACACCCAGAAAAAACTGCATTTACCAAAATTCATTTACAGCTGGTGGGAATGAAATATGAGAAATATCACGCAGAGCAATGTTCCAGTACCATAGATTTCTAGCTGTATACCTAATATTTTGCATCATATCGTTTGTAAGAGGTCACCATCAGGAAAGTGATCTTGGGAAGCTATCCACTTAAGTTAAGTACTTTACTCTTTATACATTATTGTGTTTAAGAGAGTATTTGTATATTCTACAATGTTACAGTAAGACTGAATTCCCACCCATTACTCTCAGCAGGAAATCCAAACTGGGTCTTGCTGAAAAGTGGCCACAAGATATATTTTATCAGTTACTCCAGCTCACCTTAAAAAGTTTCTGTGAATGCTTAATCATGAACGTCACGCCATTATTCAGCTTTATTATATGTTCCTGCAGGTCATTTGCTGTAAGCTAGAAAATAAATATTTTTAAAAGAATCAGAAGAAACACGGCAGACAGGAATGGTACGACCAATGTATACTTCAATGACTGTGTGTTAACGTTGGCATTCAGCGTAAGCCATCAAGGTGAACTGAGCAGCACTTACATTTTTGGGCCACATGATGTGAGGTGCAAACATCAAGGCTAAATTGTGTGCAGACATCTTATTGCGGTCTTGCTTTTTTGCAGTCTGATAGAGAAGATCCAGCAGGAGTTTGAGAAGATTTCGGTTTGGTGAAGGGAGAAGCAAGAAAAGAAGCTGCAGAGCCTCAATTTGTCTCTCCTTATCTGGTACTCCCGTCCTGTTGCCCTTGTCATCAAGAAGCAGAAGGCCTAAAAAGGTTAAATTTAAGTCAATTGCTGGAAAGGAATTATTTAACATTACTCTTCAAAGTTTATTTAATCAAATGATCCCAATGGTGTTTATTCCTCACCAAACATGTAACTGGTACTTTAACTCACAGATCAGTGGATTGAAATATCTGTAAACATTGTGAGCATTACACAAATCACATTCAGGTGTCAGATTGATATCCTGTCTCCAGCCTTCATAACCTATTTTTGCCACTTCTGTCATATCTGGGCTGCTGCAGACTTGACGGACTTTAGGTGCAGAGGGCATGGTTTTATCAAACCGTTTGTTTGCTATGATTGGCCATTTTCTCTGCCGATCAGATACTCCCCTTACCACAATACGGTATATTACAGTATTACAATATTATATGCCAGATTTTTTATTTAGTACTCCATAATGCAGTCCAAAAAAAAAAAAAAAAGTATCCTACAGGTCTTGTGTATCAAAACAACAAAAACAGAAAAATACAACAAACTGGAGGCTGAGCCTTACCTGCAATCTGAGTGTTAATCTACATGGCCAACTGGTAACTCAGTCTAAATCTGGCAATCTACTGCTGCTCGAATTAAGGTGCTCAGAAAGCCTGCACCCCAGACCTTACAACCATTGGGGAGAGCCCAGGGGACACAACTAGGCATGCCTTGTTCCTCCAAATTCAACACTATTGTGAAATCTTTGTTTTACCATGCACATTAAAAACCATCATATTTTACCTGCAACTTTCAGATGAGCATTATAATGCCGGTGTGTCAGTAAAGGTTCTGGTAATTCACCAAGAAACATTTTTAACAGTGTGGCAACATCGTTGGGATGAAATTCACCAGACTCCACATCAATATCAATCCCACTGTTAAGAGCGTCCTTCAGAATCTGCTGTCGGTTGCTGTTTCCAGGAATACGAAATAACCCTTCTGTGCGTAAATCTTCCGAAACAAACAAAAAATATTTGTAAAACTAAATTTGAGCAATAAAAAACTGTCAACAGATATTTGCAAATTATACATTATGAGAGTCTTCAGTTAAAAGAGATAAAATTAAGAAAATACACATTCCAAGAGATTTTTGGAAATTCTAGTTTTTCCTTTTTGTTTCATAGCATGTCCCTAGTTTTTACATGAGCTTTTAATAGCTCAAATATAGCAGTGAGCAGTCTAAAAGGGCTACTCCAACCACCACTTGATTTGAAGAGGTTATGATGGTAGGAGTCTGTACGTTCTGCTTGAAATACTCCACAGAGGGTAAAAAGGATACTGGCAACATGCTCGAGTATAGTTGTCTACAAGCCAAATATTATGGCAATCAAACTACATTACTTCACAGGGTCTCTAGGCCAGCAATCTAGGGATCGTCTTATGAGTGAGGACCAACAAAGCACTTAGTATAGACCGGAACTTTTTCAGTATAGATATTGGCAGGGAAATAAGCATATTTCTTTGAAAGCTCGACACAGAACAGGGAACCAAGATACATTTCAATAATGGTGTGAGTTCTGGACAAAAACATAGAAACCACTTCAGTATAGCAAAACAGGGCAAACAAACAGGCAAAATAGGGTTGTCTGCCTCAGCCCCAAGCCAGATCAAGCCCACAAGCAGAGCAATTTGTGACAAAGTGGGCATTTGGAGGCCACTCGCCTCCTACATCCCCGAAGCTCCTGTCTCTCTACTAGCAACAGCCGCACACTTGGGAACGGTGAACGTTGTTCAGAGCCTCTGGTATACTAAAAGGTCCACATAATCCGGTCCCACAGGGCTCATGGCACAAGGGACAATTCTTTCTCCCCCCCCCCCCCCCCCAGCGGCCACATTTAAGAGCTGGCAAATCCCAGGCGCCAGGGCGTTCCCCCAAATAATTCTAGTACTTTCTTTGGCCAAGATCTCATTGAGCATGAAATTTGCCTTTTTAGAGGCAAAAAGAGACTAGAGCCTACAAAAGGTGTCTGCCACTCAGCTCTGCAGCCCAACCCTGCACCTCCTTTCTGACATTTTTTTAGATCAGAAATGGTGACAGGAATTTTTTAAAATTGTGATGCAACAGCAAAATGGCCACATCCATTAGTAACTAAAGATTTGCCATAGCTGGGTCAGCTGGAAAACGATTTGTATTACTGCTCTAATTTCTGCTTCAATAGTTATTACATTTATTGGTACCCAGAATGAGATAGTACATGTATGTCTGAAGACTAGCTGATTAGATTGTAGGCACACAAGGACAGCATCAGAGTGTGTCCTGAGCAGTAGCACATGTAATAAAAATACATTAAGACAAACTTTAAAAGGACTTTCCAGTGCCAGGAAAACAAATCCTGCAGTGCCCCCCATTCCATGGTGCTGAAGGGGTTAAAACCCCTTCAGTGACTTACCTGAATCCAACTCCAATGCTGGGTCAGGCTCCACCCACGCTTCTCCCCCGCTGTCAGCTGATGGGGGAGACTGCATGCGCGGCAACGGCTGCGCATGCATTAGACCTCCCCATAGGAAAGCATTATTCTCGGCTTTCCTATGGGGATTCTGGCGACGCTGGAGGTCCTCATGAAAATCGTGAGGACGTCCAGCATTGTTTAAAACACTTTTCGTGTTCTATGAACACGGAAGTCTCTCTATTGGCTGTCTGATAGACAGCCACTAGAGGAGGACTTAACCTTGCAAGTTAATTATTGCAGTTTATAAAAACTGCAATTATTACACTTGCAGGATTAAGGGTGATGGGCAGAAGTGGTCTGAGTGCCTGGAGTGTCCCTTTAAATACATGAAGTTTATCTGCCTTTTAATTAATTACAGTCCATATAGGGCAGCATATGTGACTTTAATACTTACTTTTGTGTAGGTATTCAATAAGCTGGTATATTTGTGCAATGCCTTCTTCTGTCAATGGTGCTCCAAATACAATCCCCTTCTCTAGAAAATAATAATTGAAAGAAACAATGGGAAAGAAAGAAAAAAAAATACTCAAAAATGTATATCACCCATAAAGTTTTTATTTTTTATTTTAAATGTGCATTTTCACCTTTTATATAAACAAACATAGCATAAAAGAAATAAACTGTTAAAGAGCTATTTATTACTACAACAGTCTAGTGAGTTTTTTTTGGAGCTTTTTTATTTTTTTAGCAGCAGCACTACAAATTGTTTTTCTTTCTGTAATGTATTCCTTGTGGCCTATGTATCTTAATGATTATACTCTGCCCTAGCCCCCTGCACTTTCGATGTATCTTTCCTTCCTTGGATCAGAGCTCAATGTCCAGGAACTGCCATTGTGTTCACCTCTGTCTATGTCATCTTCGGTTTGCCCTTCTGTGGGATCATTTTGATTGACAGGTAATTGTTAAGTTAGCCTGGAACCGGAATGGGAACTTTGCCAAATGTATGCTCAATGTCAAAATGACTGCTTTTTCTAATGTGTAAAAACAAATCTAGGGAAGTTTAAAAAAAAAAAAAAAAAAAAATGTAATTACAAAACGAGGGGAAGGAAGGGGACAAAAATATAAATGTACACGACCACTTTATTTTCTATTATAACCATAGATATCTGTGTATAAGGAGTGTGGAGGAAGCAAATGTAAGAAATGCTTTATACATAAAATCTGCTTCGCCAATCATTACTAATGTGACTGACTAAGCAACATAAACACTATAATGGTTATGTTTCTCGTAGCCCCTGGAAGACCCTGCAAAGCGGTGGACCAGGGTGCATGGGAAGGTAAGTTTCACTTACCATGCCTATCCAATGGAATCTCCACAACTCCTGGCAGTTCATCTGCCAAGAGGCCACATCAATGCTGTACTCTCGCAAATTCCCACAAGAGCCTCTAGTGGCAGTTGTGGGAAGTGAGAAGGGTAACACTGCCTTTTGCCAAGTGTAGGAAACATTCATAATAAAAAGTAGCCTCTAATTTGTCATATCTTGATTGCTTTGGAATATCAATCAAATTCCAACATGTAAGCATTTCAAAAGATTTAAAAAAAAAAAAATTAAAAATAAAAGATTTTATCTATTTAACTTAATTTCTGGTCTGAAAAAAGTCCAAAAACAGGTATTTAACAAACCTTTACGTTTAAGGAAGTTGAGAGATCTGAAGAATGACGTGGAGGCTCCGTTAGTTCCAGGAAGTTTGGGCTCTACCTCTCCCATGAGCTGAGCAAACTCTGTACCAGGCAGATCTATTAACCGGGTGATGTTGCTGACCACAAGCTCGGTAAAGGCCTCTGGATTCTCATGGCGCAGTTTCTCCACAAAAAAATCTGGGTTATAAATAACCGGCTGGCTTCGGAGTGAGGCATCATTGCAGATAACGATGCTGCACAGCGCATCTCTGCAAATGGAAACAGTATGCAGCAGATATTGTGAAAGAATAGCATTGGACCATTATCAATATTAGAAAAAAAAATACAAAAAGAAAAGTCTCTCTTACAGTCTTGTTTAACAGTTCATGCTGCTGTCTGGTTTCTTTAACCCCTTAAGGACCAAATTTCTGGAATAAAAGGGAATCATGACATGTCATGTGTCCTTAAGGGGTTAAAAAAGGAGTATATTATTAAATGGGCACTGTAAGCACCACAACCACTACAGCAAAAAACCTTTCTGAAGACATAACTTTCCTTCTACCATGTGAATTCATACGTTTGCTGGCTTACAAAAAAAAAACAGGTGGAAATTGAATTTTGATGGAATGTACAAAAAAAATCCAAAACATTTCTTATGCTCATAACAGTCCAATATAAACATTTTTTTTTTTTTTAAACCACTTCAGGAAAAGATGCTGGTCATATTGTTTGAGTCTTGGCATTTAATCTGTCATTAAGGAGTTAATGTAGGATCACAATTCAGCTGCTTATTACATGGTCAGCAACAGAGCAGGGAATTCCCCATTTTAGATTAAAATAGCCAGACTCACTGAGGAAGAAGGGAGAAATAAAACTGGCGAATTAGATAAATATTTCTATTTTGTCCCCATATTTCTAATTCCCTGGCCTATTCCCCAGTTTGGTATAACAGGGGGGCTGTTCTAGAATAATCAGATCATACAATTCGAAGCAAAAAGAAATTCCATTGTAAACAATGAATAGGCAAAGACATGTTTGTAGAAATTAACATTCTGGCAATCCTAGGTTTTGTGTAGATTTTATAAAAATGTATATTTACACCAATTGTTTCTGTCTTCCCTCAAATTATTTACAAACAATACAGATAATTCAAGCAGTTGTATTTTGATTATATTAATAAAACCGGATAGGATTTTATAATGCTAGTTTGTGAATTGCTCCCAATATCGGAAAGGTAAAGATAAATGTAAACATATAAGCAGCGTGTGTACAGATGACAAACACAATTTATCTACATTACAAATAATATACATACATTTAGTGAAATTATTAGTGGATCAGAAAGAAAACAGAGAGAGTAAATAAAATAAAGACCCTTACATGAGAGCAGATAGCTTTTGAGGCGCCATTCATATGTCAGAAAACTAATTTGATCTGTGCGATATGAAAGCCGTAATAAACACATACAGCCCATACACATTCCAGACATACTACAGCCTACAATAATACATTGTACTACAGTAGCTCAGCTCTCTGGCCACCCTAAAGTAAAGACCACTTACTACATAGCATTAAAAAAAAAAAAAAAAAAAAATCTACTGGTTTTGGAAATAAATATAGAAGGGCTGGAATTTTCCACCATTCTGAGATGACAAAAAAAAATAAATATGTATTGTCCAGTTCTAGAATTATACTTTGTAACTATAATCAAGGAGCACAGACGAGTCTTGTCTGCCAAACTTGTAATACCAGCAGTGAGAGGGTTTAATGGTTCCAAGTATTGTAGTACCCATAATCATAGGTTCTGCAACAGTGGTAGACAATATTCAGAACTTCAGATGTTGCAGACTACACCTCCCTAGATGCTTTGCCAGCATTATAGCTGTAAGATCATTAAAGGGATAGTATAGAGCCAGGAATACAAAGCTGTATTCCTGGCACTATAGCACTCTCTCTCCCCCCTCCCCCCCAGTCGTGAATAAAGAGTTAAAAACCCTTTACTTACCAGATCCCAGCGTCAATGTCCCTTGTCTATGAGTGGCGAGTTCACCTATTCTGAGGTCCCTCAACAAGCGGGTGCCAATTTGCATGTGCGCGGAATAGGCCTCCCTGTAGGAAAGCATTAAATCAATGCTTTCCTATGGTGAAATAGCAGACGCTGGATGTACTCATGCACAGCAGGAGCACGTTCGGTGACAGTTACCCGAGCAACAGTCCATTAACATCCAGGAAGCGCCTTTGGTTGCTGTCTGGTAGACAGTCACTGGAGGCAGACTTAGTGCTACAATGTAAACATTGCAGTTTCTATTGAACTGCAATGCTTTACATTGCAGCACTAGGGGCAATAGGGACACTGCACTAAGACCACTTCAATGAGCTTAAAAGGACCACTATAGTGCCAGGAAAACATACTCGTTTTCCTGGCACTATAGTGCCCTGAGGGTGCCCCCACCTTCAGGGTCCCCCTCCCGCCTGGCTCTGGAAGGGGGGGAAGGGGTTAAAACTTACCTTTTTTTCAGCGCTGGGCGGGGAGATCTCCTCCTCCGATCCTCCTCCCCATCGGCTGAATGCGCACGCGCTGCAAGAGATGCGCGCGGATTCAGCCGGTCACATAGGAAAGCATTCACAATGCTTTCCTATGGACGCTTGCGTGCTCTCACTGTGATTTTCACAGTGAGAAGCACGCAAGCGCCTCTAGCGGCTGTCAATGAGACAGCCGCTAGAGGAAATAGGGGAAGGCTTAACCCATTGATAAACATAGCAGTTTCTCTGAAACTGCTATGTTTATGAAAAAAATGGGTTAACCCTAGCTGGACCAGGCACCCAGACCACTTCATTAAGCTGAAGTGGTCTGGGTGCCTGTAGTGTCCCTTTAAGGGAGATATAGTCGACAACACCTAAAATTCTCTTAACCCTGCAATCTAAAACATTGCAGGGTTAAAGGGCACCTGTAGGCCGCTGTGGTTGTTATAGAAACCCCCAAGACAGCACTGCCAGCGCCTGCTAGGGGGTAAAGGAAAGGTGGTGTCACTTAACTCTGTTCAGATGCCAATGAAGCATGTATGTCGGCATCACTTAGGAGGGTTGCCCTCCCGCAGGGCAAATCAGTGATCAGAGGAGAAGCGTGGGAGGACCTGAGAACAACAGTGGTGCATCTCACTAATGTGATTGTGGTAGTGGAGCAGAGGCCAAGGTAAGTGGCTACAGGTTCCATTTGAGTACTCCCCACAGGAAAGCACTGATTCAAGTCTGAATGTGTGAGTTCGCCGTGCATGTTCATTAGGTCCTCAATGCTTCGCTATGAGGAATAGGAATACAGATTCTTAAATACATGTTACAATTACATATTAGAAAATTAGCAATTAAGTTATTAAAGGGACACTCCAGGCACCCAGACCACTTCTGCCCATTGGAGTGGTCAGGGTGCCAACTCCCAGCACCCTTAACCATTCAAGTGTAATTATTGCAGGTTTTATAAACTGCAATATTTACTTTGCACGGTTAAGTCCTCCTCTAGTGGCTGTCTCTTAGACAGCCACTAGAGGGAGTTCCATGTTCTTAGAACAAGAAAAGTGTTTTTAAAAACGCTGGACGTCCTCACGCTATGCATTAGGACCTCCAACGTCGCCGTAATCCCCACAGGAAAGCATTGAATAATGCTTTCCTGTGGGGAGGTATAATGCGCGCGTCCATTGCCGCACATTAGGTCTCACCCGCCGGCTGACGTCAGCGGGGGAGGAGCCTGACCCAGCGCTGAGGGACATTGGCGCAAGATTCAGGCAAGTCACTGAAGGGTTTTTAACCACTTCAGCATCATGGGATGGGGGTGGGAGGGAGAGGAACAGATGTTTTCCTGGCACTGGAGAGCCCCTTTAAGTTTATGGGGTTAAGAGCCCATCAGCTTTACCTTTTTTCCTATCTCCAGAATATCTACACGTGCTAGATTACCAGTTGTGTAACTGTTGTCAGTGGTATAAAAGTATGCCCAATGTACTGTGAACATGGAAATGGTAAGTTTTTCCAGAAGTTAAAACATTTACTTTTAATTTACCACATGAATTAAGCAACGTGCAAGTGCCCAGCCAAATTTTTTTTTTTTTTTTTAAAAACCTCAAAAGTAGTTAAAATTGCCTTTGATTAAAAGTTTTCATATATTAATGGCAGAACGTGGCACATTTTGTCAGCATATTATAAATAAACGTACAAACTCCAGCAAGCTTATTTTGAAGGTTACAATTAATAGCCGCAGTATAAGGGGGGAGTGGGGAGATGAGAAATATGCTCTGACACAAATGTAGTCTATAAAAGGTATTTTAACGATTGGAATTATTTCAAGCACGTAAAGTGCATTCCATTTCACATAAGGTTTCAGTTAGCTTGCTCTAGCATGACATTATGTTTTAATTAAAATTGTAGTTTCCTTGGCATTTAATGATTTAAACATGCATAACCCAAACGTAAATAAAAATAAATAAAAAACAGCTATAGAAATAGAGACAAGCCAGAACCGATACCATTCCATTTTTAAAGGGACACAATAGGCACCCTGACCACTTCAGCCCATTCAAGTGGTCTGGGTGTATTTGCCGTACATGCGCATTGGACCATGCTCGTCACGGGACGGATGAGGTGGCGGAGCATCAACCCAGCGCCGGGAAAAAGTAAGTAAATAAAGGAAGAGGGGGGCAGCGATAGTGCCAGGAATGCACCTTTGTATTCCTGGCTCTGCAGTATCCCCTTAACCACTTAAGGACGGAGGCAATTGTACACGTTCTGATCAAAACAAACCCTCAAATTTATGCAGTTTGAATTGTAACTCACCGCTTGCATATTAAGTGCACCCACTCCCATATATAATATTATTAAGGCGAAATAGGGCTTTCATTTCACATCCTATTTTTATAAGAAACAATTCAATATGAATAAAATCTAAACAGTTTGAGAGATTAAGACATTTGTTATTTTCCAAGTTCTGTATGGCATTGTATCTGTAAATACTGGTAGTTTTTAATTGCAATAAATTACACATATTTGTGTTCAGCGATGTCTCACGAGTACAACAGTACTGCCATGTACAGGTTTTATGGGGTTTTGTAACGTTACAGAGTCAAATATAGGGATTTTCCCTCTTTCTTTCATTTACTTACCTGGTCCCAACGCAAATATGTGCCTTGGCACTGCCTCTTCCAACTTCGCTGCTAATGCGCAGCAAGTGACGCGCACATTAGGCAATCACCATAGGAATGCATTGAATCAATGCTTTCCTATGGGGAAATAGCTGACGCTGGATTTCCATATGCAGAGTCCGATAACATTCTGAAAGCTCCTCTAGGGGCTGTCTGGTAGACATCCACTAGAAGCTGTCTTAGTGCTGCAATGTAAACATTGTAGTTTCTCTAAAACTGCAATGTTTTGCATTGCAGCACTACCTGCAATAGGGACACTGTACCCAGACCAATTCAATAAGCTGAAGTGGTATGAGTGCCTGTAGTGTCCCTTTAAACAATGTGTTTACCAGCCAGGTTACAAACAGCTGGCTGATAAATGTGTGGGATCCTGTGAAAATTCAACTGTGCTCAAAGGGTTAAAGGTGTTTTAGCATGCTTGAATCCTATTTACTCACAAAACGATATTTTGGACACCTGTTTATGCATGATAAACGTATAATGTGTGGTGCCATCCCATGATAAGTAGTCAAACCATTTTCAAACGGCTAGCCACTTACACAAGTACCTAGGGCACATCGGGTCCAACCTCCTCTTACCATAGATCTCTACTTCGGCATTGTGATGTCAATTACACCTGGACAAAATGAATTGGCTGAGAGCATCACCTGACGATCCAATAGGGGCAAGCTTGATATAACAATTGAATAAGGGGAACGTTTGCTGTATGCCCCTACTGGATCTTATTCAGTGTGATGGAATGATGCAGTAACCACTTGCTAAACATCTGATGTAAAATCTAATTCCAGTCAATCTCAGCCAGGGGTTGACCAAGCCTGATAAGATGTTAACACACAAGTGATGAGAAGGCACTCATAGTAGAGACCCCCTGAGTGCATCCCGCCCAATACATACTTCCCTCACAGATCCAGTGGCAGAAAAAACAGTGCACAAAATTCAGGATTGCGGTTCAAGGTTAGATTATAGAAAAAAAATAAAAAAAATTGGAGCCTCCATCAAGCTTAGTTTTTCATAAAAAAATAAAATAAAAACCATTTTAAAAAAAATAAATAAAAACAATCTGCCTCTGATAACATTTCTTAGTTTGTACGCAGCCCTTTCTACTATTGGCTCTGATGAGAATTTTAGACAATCGCTTTATAGAGCAACTCATCGTTATAAGAAGCTTTGGAATGAATTTTCTTTTCCCCCTCGGTGTTTCTCTATGGGGCAAAAGGGCATTTCCCATTTAACAGAACCAATAAAAATAAATTTAAAAAAATAAATCTGGTATGGGAACGTGTACAGTCACCCAGATTGATGTAAAGCTCAGAGAGTTGTCCACTGGGCCAGGCAGGGGCCTGTGCTGTGTATTATATCATTGCACAGTTCCTGGAGGTAAATGAGACTGACTTGTACAGTGCAAGCAGCCGATGTGTTGTGACAGTGAAAGGGAAGCTAGACTCACCCACCTGTCATTAGCAGGCAGAGATATGGGCCCCGGGTAAAACGAGTAAATTTCAAAAATAAGAGAAAACCGACAAGAAGCAAAAAGGCAAGAATTCTGAGTCTGCTTCCTTACACTACAACAAGCTGTAATAATTATTGTAGCTTAGTGTCCCCTGTAAAGTGTTAAACTGACAGTGATGCCAAACCTCCATCACCTCCAGCTGTTGCACTACACACAAGCACAGCCAGAAAAATAACTGTCTGAGCATTGGGGAAGTGTAGTCAGAGACTGCTGGGTGTACCAGGCTTTACCCATTACTTCACAGTCTTATTAATATTACTGAAGGGGATATCTCGGGCTTGATTACAGTTTATAACAGCTTATTCTCCAGTTATACAATGGGTCTCCCACTGGAGGAGGGGACACAAATCGCCATAACACTGGCTGGCTGAGAGTGATGGGTCATGAAAGGAATCAGATGGTGTAATTATATTACTGAATGAGATATCTTGGTTGGGATGACAGTTTATAACAGCTTATTCTGCAGTTATACAATGGGTCTCCCAGTGGGGGAGGGGACACAAACCGCTATAACACTGGCTGGCTAAGAGTGATGGGTCATGAAAGGAATCAGATGGTGTAATTATATTACTGAATGGGATATCTTGGGCTTGATGACAGTTTATAACAGCTTATTCTCCAGTTATACAATAGGTCTCCCACTGGGGGAGGGGATACAAACCACCAGAACACTGGCTGGCTGAGAGTGATGGATCATGAAAGGAATCAGATGGTGTGATAACATTATGACCTCTCCCTGCCTCAGTTAATGAAGCCTCCCAGTAACACTCCAGGTACAGATATAATAATAATAATAATAATAATGATAATATTTGGGTCTGGGAGCAGGATATTCCTATAAACAGACAGACAGCTCTGACACCCCAGTCACAGAGAGACCCATAGAGAGCTCTGACACCCCAGTCACAGAGAGACAGAGACACTCCAGTCACAGAGAGACACACAGCTCTGACACCCCAGTCACAGAGAGACACACAGAGAGACACACAGAGAGACACACAGAGAGACAGAGAGACACAGCTCTGACACCCCAGTCACAGAGAGACAGACAGAGACACCCCAGTCACAGAGAGACAGACAGACACAGAGAGCCACCCCAGTCACAGAGAGAGACACACAGAGAGACAGAGACACAGAGAGACAGACAGAGACACACAGCTCTGACACCCCAGTCACAGAGATAGACAGACACACAGACACCCCAGTCACAGAGATAGACAGACACACAGAGAGCACCCCAGTCACAGAGAGAGACACACAGAGAGCAGCCATTAATAAACCATCCCAGACACTAATAACTGAACCCACAGCCCCTGCTTTACCCGGACTCCCACACCCATCACTCACCGCTTTAACCCCTTACAGCTCTCCTCTCCTTCCTCAGCAGCTGCCATTTTGTTTTGAAATTAGCCGCTATCTCTTCCGCCCCGCCCCCTCGCTCTCCCATTGGCCTGCGCGTTCCCCCGCCCCCCTCGCCTGATTGGCAGATTTGAATAGTCTCTTCAAAGAGGGCGTGGCCCTGTCGCGTGCGCCCTTTTGTATCGTGCCCTGAGCGGGGGAGACGGGGAGGAGAGGATGGGGGCGGAGTGTCGCGCGAGGGAGTTCCGGCGAGAGCAAGGCATGACGGTTAATGTAGTCCCTATTGCTATATAGCCCATGGCAACAAGACATGGCTGGTTGTAAAACTAAATAAAACAAATAAAGCATTTTCTATCCTCTGGTGTAACCTGTAAATCAATGCTACAACACTTAAATAAATATGTGATCCTGGTTGTGTATTTCTATAATATAGTTTTACATCAGGCTAGTTTATCACAATTTTTTATTATTTTGTACTTCTCATGTTTCCATGGAGACACAAATATTTATAGAAACTGCATTATCTCTAGATTGTAAGCTCTTTTGAGCTGGGTCCTCATCAACCGATTGTTTCCGTAACATTTTGTAATTGTTTCATTTATTGTTAAATTTACCCCGTATAATATATTGTAAAGCGCAGCCGAATAAATTGGCGCTATATAAATGCCAATAACACCATTTTCCGATGTATAAAACCATTACGTCACTCTTTATACATTAGGATGCTTTTTTAGGGGTCTGATATGTTATGTTGATATGTTACGTTTGTCCTGATCTATTTCCGCTAATTTACCTGCATAGAAAAGTCCCCCGGATTGAGTATGGTGCACTAAAATATCAAAGGAAATAGGCATGGATGTGTGCCTCAGTTGTATATATAAATAGTACAACTTTCTGTCTACAAATAAATATATATATACCCTGTATAGGCACAAGACAAAAAAGTCAGTGCCCTTACTAAAGAGGAAAATTCTAACACAAAAAAAAAAAAGAGAAAAAAGAAAAGCCCACAATCAAAAAATGCAACAAAACAAAGACGTAACTAGATATGCAACATTATATAAAATGTACAAAAGATATAGTAAATAATGGGGGTGCAATTTTACAAAACAAATATGAAATGTATACGTATAAGTGTGACATAAAGTGTGTAAAAGATAACATAAAAGAGCTCATAGCATAATACTGTTACTTAAACAATACAGATCTTATTACGGAGGTAATGGGTAACTCGCACTTTGCAGAGCCACATATAGCAGGCTCCAGCTTAGATGGCAGGCGAATAATATGCTTATTCAAGCAGTACTGATGTCTCCTTCTCCGGTACCCCAGAAAGTATAATGATGTCCACAAGCAATATAAGTAAAAATTGCTTTACTGGATACAAACTTGTAAAAAAAACAGGTACACGGAAAAAATACAGCTTCAACTACAGTAAACGGAAAAGTCCTCATACACTGACGCGTTTCGATCTGGATCAGTCTTTCTCAAAGTGTGTTTTGGACTTCTCTAATTGTGCTTTATATATCTTGAATTTCCCGTCGTTAGCCGGCGTCTTGCGCTTACTTCCGCATTGCGATCTTTCGTGACGTGATAGATGACGCTCCACGTCCATACGTGATGACGGTATATCCGGAATTGCCGGATAGCTTATTCCGTTGTCAAGGGTAACCGGAAGTCTATATTTCTCTCTCTTTTGTACTGTATATTGTGTCAGTTAGAGTGGTTTTAGGCACTGGGGGTAGTTGCACTCTTTCTTGCACGTTTAGCGCCAATCCACCACTATTTTATCCTTCTGGATTTAATATTTGTTGTTGTAATTATATAAAATGTGTCAACAGGGGAGAGTCCTGGGCACAATATTTAGTGAGTATGCCCTTTCCACCCTCTCACATAGCCACATTATAAACGCTCACAGGAAATCTGTAACTATGAGCCTTGCCAAACCAATTTAGAACAAAATGCTTCACATTTAGCTTGTAACCCCTCCCTTTCCCCCTACTGCTATTATACAATTTTAAAAAAAACATTACATAATAACAAAAACATTTTAAAAGGAGCCCTGTGTTTGAAGTTGATATGGTTAAACACATATATACACATTTGCTGGTAACGTGGATGCTGCGGCTATTCTACATGGTGTATGGGACCGAGCACCTGTTTGTACCGATATATTTTTCCATTTTAGCTTTGCTGGCTTATTTCCCCCTGCGTAGTTGTTTGGGCCATTGTTGACCTATCCAGTGGCGTCTCTAGGATTCAAATTTAGGAGGATAAAAGTAGGGGGACAGTTATAAAATGTGTATCTGTGTCTGTGTGTGTATTATTGCTACACTGTAAGCTCATTTGAGCTGGGTACACACACTCCCTTAATCCCTCTGCAAACTGCAGTCTAGCCAGACTACACCATGGATTGAAGAATCCATGTCTCTTCTGCCCCCCTTCCAGCCATGTCTCTGTTTCCTTCCCTTTAATGTCTTTTCCTCCCCCTTCTTCCATGTCTCTTTAGAGGCGGAACTAGAGTAGAAAGGGCCCTGGTGCAAGGGTGGCCAAGAGATAGATCGCCATTTGCCGTACAAGTCCCACAATACGTTGCCAGCTTGGGATCTACCATTTGCACATCCTTGCAGGGTTGTATTTAGCACTGAGCAGTGTTTGTGTTTTTGAATGCAAGTATATTTTTGTATGGAGTATGTGTGTGGGAATGTAGGAGCATGTGTGTAGTATGCTTTTATTTACTGTAGCCATTTGAAAGCAGTGGTTTCCTTGTGTGTAGTGTTTGCCTTTAAATGTAGGGGTGTGTCTGTATGTAGTGTTGACATTTGAATGCAAAGGTTTATTTGTGTGTAGTGTTGGCATTTGAATGCTGAAATGTATGCACATATACACAGCCATACACACATACTGATACACATACACATGCTCAGACACACTGACACACATCCAGATACACACACATGCAGATACACACATTGACACGCATACATATGCAAGCACTGACACACAAACACAGGTACAGACATGCAGATAATCAGACACACAAAGATACACACACACGGGTGCACACATATCTATATACACAGATACACACTGACATACATACAGATACACAGACGCACACATACTGACACAGACACAGAGACGCACAGAGACGCACACACAATAACACACACACGCAATAAGACACGTGCAGATACACAGACACACACAATGACACTCATACAGATGCAAACACGGACACACATACAGATGCACAGACACACAGGGGCACACACTGACAGACATGCAGGCTAAGGCTGTTCACTCACACACTGATGGCCCCCGCCTGCTCTTTTACCTATCATGGCAGGAGAGGGGGCCTCCCCGATGTCTGGCGAGCTTTTGCAGACTGAGCATAGGGTAGTCATAGAAACATAGAAACATATAATGTGACGGCAGATAAGAAACCATTCGGCCCATCTAGTCTGCCCAATTTTCTAAATACTTTCATTAGTCCCTGGCCTTATCTTATAGTTAGGATAGCCTTATGCCTATCCCACGCATGCTTAAACTCCTTTACTGTGTTAACCTCTACCACTTCAGCTGGAAGGCTATTCCATGCATCCACTACCCTCTCAGTAAAGTAATACTTCCTGATATTATTTTTAAACCTTTGTCCCTCTAATTTAAGACTATGTCCTCTTGTTGTGGTAGTTTTCCTTCTTTTAAATATAGTCTCCTCCTTTACTGTGTTGATTCCCTTTATATATTTACCTCTCTCTGCCTATTACATGGGGGCTGGAAGGGGGAACAGTGTGTAGAAAGGTGACAGTTTAAGGTTTTTTTTTTATAGGATGGTGACAGTATACTGACAGGCACACAAACACTCAATGACAAACACAGACTCTGACTGATCTGACAGACACTTACAGACAGACACACAAATTCACTGACAGGCAAACAAACACTCAATGACAAACACGGACTCTCACCGATTTGACAGACACTCACAGGCAGACATACACACACATTCACTGACAAACACAGACACATTAACTGACAGACATACACACACATTCACACATTTACTGACAGACACACATACATTGAAACATTCACAGACAGACACACACATTAACTAACAGACACACACACATTCTCTCACACACACTCACAAATCACTAATTGTATTACCTTTGTAGGAGCTGGAGTGGATCTTTTCAGTGGGGCTGCTGTAAAGCCGGAGGCTGTGATCACATCAGAGGCAGCGAAGGAGCTGTAATCTCCCTGCTCTGCTCCCTCGCGAGCCATCTATTGATGCCGGAATATGACATAGTTACATAGCTGAAAAGAGACTTGCGTCCATCAAGTTCAGCCTTCGACACATTTGTTTTTTGCTGTTGATCCAAAAGAAAGCAAAAAACTCAGTTTGAAGCACTTCCTATTTTGCAGCAAACTAGGAAAAACAAATTCCTTCTTGGCCCCAGAATGGCAGTCAGATTAATCATCAAAAAGCTATTACCCTACATTGAAAAATTATATCCTTGAATATTCTGTTTTTGCAAGTATGCATCTAGTTGAGGTTTGAACATCTGTACGGACTCTGATAAAACCACTTCTTTAGGCAGAGAATTCCACATCCTTATTGTGCTTATGGTAAGAAAAACACTTTTCTTTGCCTTAGACAAAATCTTCTTTCTTCCAGTCTAAACGCATGAGATGGTGTCCCAGGTAAAGTCCGGTTTGTGAATAGATTTCCAAATAATTGTTTGTATTGGCCCGGATATATTTGTATAATGTTATCATATCCCCTCTGAGGTGACGTTTTTCTAAACTAAAGAGGTTTAAATTTGTAAACCTTTCTTCATAGCTGAAATGTTCCATTCCTTTTTATTAATTTTGTAGCCCGCCTCTGCACTTTTTCTAGTGTCATAATACCCTTCTTTAGAACAGGTGCCAAAAATTGCACAACATATTCAAGAACTGTTTTGATGGGGAAAGGAAAAGGAACTAAGAGTATCAGGAAAGCTGTGGAAAGGAGAAAGGGGGTAACCCTAGGTAAGAAGTAATTGAATAGACAGGTGCTTGCCTACAGGTGTCAATTAATTAAAACATAACATTTAATACATTTGTTTAAGAGTTTGCCGTTGAAAATCAACAAATAAACCAAAAATTATTACTAAATTCTAAAACTATTAATAGTATAGAGCAAAAGACAAAAAAAACAAATGTATAAAGAAAATGGAAAAAGGACTAATATAGAATAATCCTAATTGTTTCTGAGATTACAGCAAGAGTCCAAGTTTAATCAATAAGTAGCGTAGAGTTAGAAATGCCAGTGAAAATGAAACTGGCAATACTAAGAGACACAAAGTATTAATAGAGTAAATATAACCACTAACTATAGTTTAGTATACTATTGTATCAATGTCCCTTGAAGGGAACTATCAGTGTAACTGTGCTTAGGTTATAAACTACATAAAAATGAGGAACTCAGCCTAAAATCTCTTATCAGATACAAACATCGAATTGTTCAATGCATGACTGTTTTCCCAAATAGTGCTGTTAACCAATCGTCCTGTAAATTGCTAAGCTGTGCCTTCAAGGGCACCTATTCTATATAAGAAACTGTCTGCTAGTCTAAGGTAAGCACTGATTTGGGAAAAAGCAGAGTTTTGGGGAAAACAGTCATGCATTGAACAATTCGATTTTTGTATCTTCCTGGTCTGTGCCGGGGGCGCGGGATCCGGGGGGCTGTCGCTGCGGGGCAGAGGGGCCCCAAGTAGCCAGAGCCATACACCTGGTACGGAGGGTCACACGCCAATAAGGGGGGATGGCCTACCGCAACGCACCAATGTCTGTCCTCACCTTAGATTGTAGGGGTCTCAATGTCCCAGAACGCCGAACCCACCTGCTAAGGGAACTGAAGAAGAAACACATTGCGGTAGCTATGCTCCAAGAAACGCACTTTAAAGAAGGCGCAGCTCCTCAGCTGTGAAACAGGTCCTACCCGAATAACTACTTTTGCAACCACCCCTCAGCCCGTAAATCTGGAGAGGCCATTGTGCTAGCAGCTGACCTCGAATTCAAAGAACTGGACCGGGCTCAAGACGGAGATGGGCGCTTCCTCTTTTTGAAGGGCAGACAATATATACACACTAGCGACAATCTATATCACTAACAGGCGCCAAGCACCATTCCTCAAAGGCGCACTCACTCTGCGGGACTTCACGGAGGGTGTGCTAATAGTAGGGGGGGACTTCAATGCTCCCCTGGATCCAACACTTGACTCGTCCTCGGGACATAGCTGTATCTCCCAGCGATGTATCCACTCCATTCGCTTGCTGAATAGCCTGGGCCTGATGGATTGCTGGAGGACCATCAACCCATCAATTAAAGACTGTCAGGATCGAGACAGGGATCCAACACGCAGAGTACTAACAACTATAAAGACGTATAGCGGACCTTAGAGTGGCCGGACTGTCACACAAACAAAGAATGATCAGGAACAAGCCGAGGTCGAGGGAACGAGAAGACAGGTAAGCGAAAGCCAAGTCGAGTACAAGGGTAGGAGAAAGTAGCAAAGTCAGAATACAAAGCCAAGTCAAGAACCAAAAATCAATAACAGAAATAGCACTGAGGGAACAGACAAGCTGGAACCACGACAGGGAAATGGCTCACTGTAAGTGAGTACCTTTTATACCTTGGCTCTTTAAATGATGTCCACGCCCCCAAAACGTCCTGATTTGAACTTTTTGGCGGGCCGTGACATCATCGACGTCATGACGTCGGCGAAGTTGCACCGCGTCATAAAAGGGGGCGGGTCTATTGCAGACGATGTCTAAATGGACGAAATTGCTGAAGAAGATGGGTGCATGTGTGCCTTCCTGAGAATGAGCGTCCAGATGCTCAACCTCCTCTACAGTGGCTACAACAGGTATCATGACAAAGACTATACACACTATTCCGCACTCCATAATTGTTACTCACGAATTGATTATCTCAAACAGGAAGGTCTCTCTCGCTTATTGAAAGCCACCATCACACCTGCCATGTGGTCGGACCACGGCCCCGTCAGAATATACTTAGAATCCCCTCTGTTTCGCCCCTCAACCTGGACGTGGAGACTTAATGAGTCGCTGCTCCTTGAATCGGAGACCCGGGAACAGATTAACCAAGCCCTAGACCTCTACTTTCGGGAAAACGATTCGGCAGAAACATCCCCCATCACAATATGGGAAGCTCACAAGAGCGTAATCTGTGGTACGCTTATTCGCATTGCCTCTCAGAAGAGGAAGGCGGCCATACAGGAGATAGCTGACCTATATAAATCCATCTCGACACTGGAGCAACAACACAAGCGGACTCAACTGAATGCGATCTACAGCGAACTCATGGGGGCCAGGAGGACGTTGAAGGACCTCATAATGAGAAAACACTTCCGCTCCTTGCAACACTCGAAGGGCTTTCTTTACGCCCATGCAAATAAAGGGGGTAAATACCTGGCACAGCTCCTGAAAGGCACGCAAATACGCTAACTACACCTCATATCGGGAACCGTTTCCCCCTTCCCACAAGAGATAGCGGAGGAGTTTAGGAACTTCTACCAAACCCTCTACAACCTTCATACACCTGGAAGGGACGACCGAGATCTAAACAAGCTCACTTTGGTGACCAACTATCTACACACCAATGTTACGACAGTTGTTAACCCAGAATCAGCAACGGCTATGGACACACCAATCAGCACGGAAGAACTAACCGTGGCCTTGAAAGCCGCTAAAACTGTCAAAGCACCGGGACCAGATTCTCCACTATTATAGGCATACAGAGGCTTCTCCCGTGGATCTCAAACCGCGGGCATCAGTGAGGATTAACAGGGGTTAAAACAACTGACTTTGAGATCAGCAACAGAACATGTCAGGGGTGCCCACTCTCCCTGCTATTGTTCGCCATGTCTCTGTAGCCACTGCTACAGGCGATCCGATTGAACCCAGATATTCAGGGATATGAGGGGCAAGGAGTAACCCATAAGGTTGCTGCTTACGCCGACGACCTTCTCTTGTTCATCAGGCATCCTTGACTTACCCTACCATGCCTTCTCTCGGAGTTTGAACATTTCGGTAAGCTATCCGGATTCAAACTCAACCTATCAAAATGCGAAGTACTGAATTTCACGCTGCCCACTGAAGAATACATGGCACTGGAATCACAATTCGCGTTCCACTGGTGCTATGGCAAAATGAAATATCTTGGCATATGGGTGACCACCGATCCTTGAGAACTATATAGCCATAACTTCCAACCCCTACTGCAAACATTACTGGCAGATCTAGCTAGATGGGCATTCCCTCACATAACCTGGCATGGATGCATAGCAGTGCTCAAACTGAACGTGCTCCCGAGAGTCCTATACCTCCTACAGACCATACCCCTCACACCACCGGCGACCTTCTTCTCCTCACTGAAACAGCAGTCATTCGCTTCGTGTGCGGGCTGAAAGATCTAGATTATGGAACTAAATATTATATCTGCCCAGGCCCAACGTGGGATTGGCGTTACCCGATTTTAGGAAATACCATCAAGCCACAGTTCTGCAGCGCATCCTGGACTGGCACTCGGATCTCCCACAAAAACAATGGGTGAATCTGGACAGAGAAAGCATTGGAAAGGCACTGAAGCCTGTGGTTTGGGGGGGATCGCAGGATCAAGGGGTCGGCGAGGGACCGGTCTCACAGACACTACGCGGTTGTAAGTCGTTAAGGGAACAGTGGCACATCTGACCCACACCTAGACCCCGGAGTAGGGGGCGACGCGCCCACGGGCCCCATCTAGAAGGACCACGGCTCGCAACATGATACACTGAATTACGCATCACCCGCTAACCGTGGGATAACGCACACAATGACTGACACCTGCCTGGATCACACTGTTTTCTTCTCAGTTACTTATTTCTGATGTTAAAACTCTCAATAAACACAGATTAAAAAAAAGTAGTGGGCGGAGTTAAGATGGAGTGGGCGGGGTAATGATAGGGGCGGTATTAAGATGTAGTAGACGGGGCGGGGTTAAATCAGGGGCGGGGTTACGCGATAATGGGCGGGGTTAACTGTAGTGGGCGGTGCAGCGTTATGGTGGAGGGGCGGGGTTGACACATTATGGGCGGGGAATGCAGGCTGGGAGGGAAGAGAGACGGAAGTGACGTCCTGTGAGTGGCAGAAGGAGGGCGGAGCCTGAGAAGCCCCTGTCACCGAGTCAGCCATCGCTCCGGGATTCGGTGTCTGAGATTACCGGCCGGATCACCATGACCGCCCACTCCTTCACCGTCCCCATGATCATCTTCACCACCTTCTGGGGCCTCATCGGCATCGCGGCTCCATGGTTCGTCCCCAAGGGCCCCAACCGAGGGTGAGTGCGGCCGGCTGGGGGAAAAGGGGGTTGGGGGAGAGAGAGGGAGAGAGAGAGAGAGAGGGGGCTGGGGAGAAGGGGGCTGGGGAGAGAGAGAGAGAGAGGGGGCTGGGGAGAGAGAGAGAGAGAGAGGGGGGGGCTGGGGGAGAGAGAGATATATATATATATATTTACTATTTCTATAATACTGGGCATTTAACACCAGCTGAGATGGTTACCATGGAAGGGGTTAATGTATGGTCTTGGTTTTATAACAGTGAGTTACAATGTATGTTTACAGTACTGGCAGCCAGTATGTACAGAGCTGTAATAATATTTTCCATATATCATGACCTGTGTGTAATCGTGCAATATGTAACAATGATGCACTATTCTCTTCTCTTTCCAGTGTTATTATTACCATGTTGGTAACTACAGCTGTCTGCTGCTATCTCTTGTGAGTATCCTGCCATTCATTAATATCAGTCAGATAGCCATGTACATAAATCTCTCCCCATAGGCCCTGGAACTGGGGGCAGGATTTAGCGATTCTGGACACAATCATTAACCCCTAGACACTCAGATGTGTGCTTTATTGTGATGTCTCCAGAACATCTGTGATATTATATTCCAAAAACACACTGTTCCCCATTATGCATTTTCTATCTATGTATTATATTCATATATTCATTATTTTTAATTGTTCTCTTTAAACCATACACCTCATTTCATGCACAAGTTTTATGTCTCCCTATTCGTAGATTACTTCCCTGCACTGTTTCAATAGGGCACGGTTTAACAATAAGCTACAATGTATTTTACATGGAAATTAATTTGAGCTCATCTGTTGTAGCTGGCTGTTAGCCATTTTGGCTCAGCTGAATCCCCTGTTTGGACCCCAGTTGAAAAATGATACAATTTGGTATGTTCGGTTTCTGTGGGAATGAGTGAGTGAATCTGAAAAGCCAAGGTAAGTCCTTCACTGTGTGAAATGAATTGAGTCAATAATCGTATCTTCCTGGTAACATTCTGCAGTATCTTTCAAGGGCCAAAGCCGTGGTTGTTCACCAGGACAGGTGTGTGTTTGCTTAATTCCTTAATGTGCATACAATTATCAAATTGAGACCACAATATCTACAGAACCAAATGCAGCCCCGCTGAGGTTCTCACATCCACGTTGTTTTCCCGGACCCGTCACATATGCGTGAAGGCAGCCCAACTAGATGCCAAATGGGCACAGGGAGTGCTACATATAATTTATTTGAAGGACCAAAAAGAAACAATCATTTCAGGTTCCCCTCTTTTTTCCTTTAAATAAATTGTATGTAGCACTCACTGTGCATACTTGGCATCTAGTTGGACTGCCTTCATTTCTTTAATGATTGTACTATGTGATCCTGCTTTGAGCAACAGGGTGTGAGGTCTGCATTAAAGAGTTAACAGACTTTTCAATTAATTTTTTTTTTTTTTTTTTTTTTGCTACTGCAGTAATCCTGTCTTGCTCTATGAGATCAAGTCATTAAGGTGTCTGGAGTTGTCCGTGTTTTTTTTTTTTAAGGGACACTATAGTCACCAGAACAACTACAGCTTATTGAATTTGTTCTGGTGAGTAGAATCATTACCTTCAGGCTTTTTGCTGTAAACAGAGAAAATGCAGTGTTTACATTACAGCCTAGTGATAACTTCACTGGCCACTTCTCAGATGGCTGTTAGAGATCCTTCTTTGGTCATGGCTGCCTAAAATGCATCCAAACATTTAGTATCTCAGCCCTCTGCATGCAGACACTGAACTTTCCTCATAGAGATTGATTGATTCAATTCATCTCTATGAGGAGATGCTGATTGGCCAGGGCTGTGCTTGAATTGTGCTGGCTCTGCCCCTGATCTGCCTCCTTGTCAATCTCCGCCAATCCTATGGGAAAGCATTGTTATTGGATCAGGCCACCACTTCTGATGATGTCAGCAGACTGCTTGTTTTTCTGAGGCAAACAGCATGCAGATCTACAGTTTCAGGCTTGAATACGGTAAGATGTTGCTATATTTATGGAGGCATGAGGGGCCCAGGGGGGCTAGATGGTGGTTTGAACACTATAGGGTCAGGGATACATCTTTGTGTTCCTGACCCTATAGTGATCCTTTAGAAGCAGGTTTTAAATTCCTAGATGCATCTGTTTCATAAATCCTGCTCCTTTAGAAAATCTATTTAGAAGTGCTAACATGTATAATGGGATATTTACATGTTTTTTTTTCTTTTTAAATGATACTGCCCTCTTAAAGTACACATTTAAAATGAATATTTGTAGTATATTACTAATCCTATGGGAAAACTGACTTAATTTTTTTTTAATAAAACTATGCATTTAATTTTCTCCGATTTACCAGAAGGGTACTCCACTCCCTGTGACACTCTATTTGAATTCAGGTCCCTTTCCTTGTTTTGCATTTCTAGTGATTAATTTCACTAGGGGTCAACCCCCCATACAGGAGAAAACCTACTGCATACCTTCTCTCTATTGCCTACATTTAATTTTCTCATCATAAAATACATTTCTAATTTTATTTTTATTTTTTTCTCTTTTAGGATTCCCTGGATTCCCCTTGTCCACATTTCATAGTAAATGCCTCCATCTTCATTCCTATACCTAATTTGTCGAGATGTTATCCATTCTCAGGACAGAAAAGCAAATCTTCGTTTAGATCTTAACTCCCCACCTTGATCATATATTCGGTTACTAATCCAATCGTAATGAAGATGTAATATAATTTATTGTTAAAATATTATGTACTGTTTATGGTTTACATGCAATCACGATTGCCAAAATTAAGTCACTTCTATAACAGTGGTTCCCAACTGAACTATGGTTTCAAGCTTTTCCTATATTATTCTACAGGAGATAACTGGAGGGGGGGAAAAAAAATCCTAAACTGTGGGTCTCATGAGGACTTGGTTGGAAACCACTGCCAATCTCTAACATTTATTATCACAAGCTATTTCTGCCCAGTAGGTCAAGCATAGCTGGCAGGTCACATTTCCAGACTGAATCTTACCAAGAGAGGGGATTGTTAATGATTGGACCCCAAGTTGTTATTTTGCTGAATCTCACGTAAAATATATAGCAGCCACTATTCTGTAGCAGTGAACCTGCTTATGACAACCCTTGCCCTAAGCAGAATTATTGATGAGAATGATGAATCCTATAAAGGTTTATCCATTCCCTTTTGTATTACATTCCTATCATCCTGTTGCCCCTGGTTGGGTTAAATTAGAGATATTTAAACAAACGTGTTGTAACCCCTCCACCCATCGCCAAGTGATGAATCTTTATTCTCCTGTACCGCTTGGCACTCTAGATACATGTGTTCAGTTAATTCAAGTATTACATGAGTAGCAATAGCCATCTTAAATTAATGAGATGTACTGCTCCCCATCTATGGCACTATCCACAAGATTAATAAATGTATAGAATGTACATTAATTTAATTACTTTGTGAACCGTTTGTTCATAGAGGCCATACCTTGAGGTTAAAAAACAATTTGTATTTAATTTACTGTGATGTAAGATGTAGATGTGTACAGCACGAGTTTGTATTTATTTTAGTTATTAAAGTGACACTTTATAATTTATACTGCAGTCTAATCACTGAGAACCTGTGTGTTAAACTGTGCAATGGAAATGTAATAGAATAATATGTATATTTATTTGTGAAGATACCTGTGTGTTAATAAACTATATGTGAGTAGTGTATTTGATTGCATGTTAAAGAAGAGGACTGAATCTTTCATTTCTCTTTATCTCTTAATTAGTAGGTGTACAACACCTTACAGATGTTGCACAAACTAAATCGAAGTGTGTGTGTGGCCAGAAACAGAGCTTGCAAAATAGGATTGTAGTTTTTATCACATGGTCCCACATTAAAATAAAACATCAGTACATATAAATTATTTAATTGGTAGGTGAGAAAGTATTTAAAAAAAAAAAAATCTTTCCTTACTACTTTTGTACATGAAAGGTAAAGAGAATTTTTTTTTTTTTTTTTAAATCAACTAGAATTAGTATACTGTGGTACAAACACTGCTGAAGTCTCTATACCAGTGCTTCACTTGGCAAACATTGTAGTGGCTGCCAAGATATTCCTTAAAGGGACACTATGGTCACCAAAACAACTTTAGCTTAATGAAGCCGTTTTGGTGTATAGATCATGTCCCTGCATTCTCACTGCTCAGTTCTCTGCCATTTAGGAGTCCCTGCATGTGACTTGCATAGCCTTCCTGTAAAGAGTCATCTAACTTTTATCCTTTCTTTATTTCAAGTTCGGTTTAATTTAGATTTTATTATCCCCTGCTATGTTAATAGCTTGCTAGACCCTGCAAGAGCCTCCTGTATGTGATTAAAGCAATTCAGGATATGTGTAGCACAAACGCCAGTCAGTATGGCATTAATGCCAAATGTCTCATATTTAAATGTACTTTGCAGTTTTGTACTTTTATTTGTATATATTCTTGGCACATTCTAAGAAGCACATTTCTCTGCTATATCTAAACCTGCTCCCTGGTGAGGACAGTTACACCAATGCTGATCCTGCTTTTTCAAAACTTGTTTAAATGTTTACCTTATTATTCCAGTTTTTAATGGTACAGAGAGCACTATATATTTTCCCTTTTTATATACACATACGCTGCTTTAGAATCTGTGAAAATTTGGGGCTTTATGCGAAAATTCTGTGTTTGTACGTCTTATTCTTTATATAGAACAATATTCACTTTATACTGGCAATTCTACTCGCCGAACATACAACATGATGCCACAAGCATTTAACTAAATTATCAAATGTTATTTAATTGAACGTTCGGTCATCCTGACACTGCTAGTTTAGTGATTTTCGTTCTTTGTCTAATTCACTAAAAAGCGTAAATGTCGGTCATTCTGCGATTCGCTGACCTATACCATATAGTAAACTGAACTTCATAATTTAGGTTAAATTCCCCAACACAGCTACCGTTACAGATTGGCTATTTTTACCATTCGGTTTCCAGTTTATTATTATTCGGTGGCCAGTAAATAAAACTCAGTGTGCCAGAAATGCAACAACCTCGTAGTTCAACAAAACAATCAAACCCAATTTTTTTATTTTTTTCCATTTGTTTTATTGTTTACTTACACGACCATTTTCAGTAATCATAGGAGAAAAAAAAAATAATTATTCACAGATTTTACAAATATCACACAGTTTGTGTTCATAAATCATTTGGTCCGTATTCAGGCAGTAGGAAATACTACACAAGTTATATTATTCTAGAGACCGTCTGAGGGATATGGGACTTTTAGTTGACGACGACTGGATCTCATTGATATAAAGCAACACAACCATTTTTTTTCTATTTTCAAAAAAGAGATAAATCTGGGCTTTTGGATGATTAAACATTCTATAAGACCGTTATTGCTTGAGTGACTTCTTCAAAGCCCTGGATTTTAAAACAATATGTAACATCAATGTGCTGGTAGAGCTGACATTAGTGGAATGTTCAATTAAAGGGCAATAAATACACAAAAAAAGGAGGAGGAATCTGTGTTAACGGAAATTCCCCCCCCAAAGATTTTTATAAAATTTTGATTATTTACTGGGTTCTGTATACACTCACACGCCACTCTCCCCCGGACATAAAATTAAAGCTAGTATCATAGGCGTATGCCATCAACCATCCCAAAATCCCATCAGAAACACTGGCCATGTGCAGGATTAAATAGAGGCTTTCTTGACTGTGTATATCACATTCACCCACATCATCAGGAGGGAGCAAGAAGCAAGCATAACCCATGGCAACACTACACAAAAAGAGATAGGAAGGAAATAGCAGCAGCTTATGATCCAAGCTGGTGTTGGCCCTTTAAATACAAAAGTGCCATGAATCTGTTTCATAAGCTGCAAGGCCAGTGATATTTGCAGACCTCTAACAAGATGAAAGTGTTGCTCTATGTATAAGATTGTTGATGAACCCTGTAAACCTGGTGTGCCTTAAAGACAGATTCTCTGAGCAGCTCTATTATTACAGCTCCCATGATGGCCTAAATGGTTCCACCATGAACATTCCGGCTTGGAACACAGCACATGCAGACATTAACTTGTGTGCTGGGGGCTGGCACCATGTTCTAGGCTGCCTAATGTCAATTCTGTGCAAAAATTACATCTGTTGTCAGCGCACACAGGATGCTGCAACACTTGTAACAATCGTCTCGCATGCAGGATTACATGCATGTAGCGCATCTGCTAGGACAAGCCTTCTCTCCCATCCCTCGCTCCAAACTCCTATTTTTGTATTCCCTTTAAAAAAAGATTTAGAAATTTCCCGGCTCGGAGGGCATGCATGCGCTCTGAGCCTGTAAAATGGTCCAATTAAATGCTACTTCATGAAAATCATTTGATCTGGACTGAATGAGGACCTTGGCGAAGTTGGATGGAGGCGTGGGTGCAGGATGCTGAATTCCAAGGAAGTTTATTATTATTTTACCGCTTTCTAATAAGAGGGCATGGGGGGAGAGGGGGGGCTATGCACCACTGGAATTGTAATTCTACAATTGATTAGAAGAGGGAGTCCAACAGGTAGACCCCCACTCAAAAGTACTATAAAAACAAGGAATAAAATCATGAGAGGGGCATTGTGATTGCACATAGCAAGGTAGGGTCTGCAATCTAATTTATGTAGACTGTAGCTTATATTGATATTACTGATTTGTTTTATACGTATGGTTATATACAATATGTAGTATTACAGATCATAAGGTGAAACTAAAAGTCAGGATAGATAGCAGTGATAGCTCTCTATGTATTGAACACATTTTTTTCCTCAAGGAACATATGTGCGTTTTCTAAAACAGGTTTCCATAAATAGTGACCCTACACCAGGTTACAGAAACCAGCTAAATACAAAGTGATTAAAGAGTAAAATTAAATATTAATTTAAATACAGGAAAATGAACAGAATGAATTTGGCAGTGAAGCGAATAGTTCTCGAAAGAACAGCAGATTCATACATTCAGACAAGTATTTTGGGCAGCATTAATTAATGTACAGATCGAATATACACCGAATAATACGTCATTCAGAAATGGGCAAATCACATGGATGTGCGCACTGTGTTGGCTTCACAAAGCTGAGACAATTTAGGCCTCAATTCAATATTTTTGTATAGGTTTTTCAAATAATTTTAAATTAATATAAAATATTTTAATTAAGTGATATATTTTTATATATCCTTTTTGATATTTTAATAATTGAAGAAAAAATAATAATTTTAAAACTTTATCCAAAAATATTAAATTGAGGGCTTCAATTGCTAAAAGCAGAGGAACACAGCAAGCAGGAGCAGTTTCTATTCATATCAGCCCAACATGTTCATATTTTGCAGAGTATATAACAATATAAAAGTTGCTTAGACAACAGCTGAAAGAATTTAAACGGACCGTGTATTCCTGGCTTAAACACACACACATTCCGTTATGACTAGTAAACAAGATTAATTTTGATAAAATATATCCCACTGTTTTTTTTCGTTTTTTTTAAATGATCAAATATTAAATAATTAAAAAAATTGCATTTGACTTTGCACCCTTAAAAAGAGATAGTGCAGTTTTTTCCGTGTTCGAACACTGGCGTTTTCTAGAATAGCACTATAAAATGATGTTAGCAAAGTAGACATGTTCCCATTCCGAGGAATGTATAGAGAAGAATTCAGTCAATGAAAATGGCACAAAGCCTTCACACACACATGGTTCTTATGAAATGTGGGTATGGAAATTGTAAAACAAACATCTATGGGACAATCGCTTCAACAGATAAAAAGAGCAATACAATATATATTAGACACCTGACAACTACTTTTATCAAGTCAAATTTTAAAAATTCCTATAAAAATTAACTGCAGCTAAAATGCAGCTGTTGGAGTTGGTTAGGCATAGGTTTCCTAAGGATGGTAGGTACGGTTGTAGAATACCAGAAACAGTGCAATCTATTAGCTGTGCTGGCTTAAGAGTGGTTTCCCAGAGGTAATATGTGCAGACATTACAGAAATCTAGATTATCAATTCTGCTGTGCCTGCAGCCATGAATTGCGCTACATATTTCTGCATTTAGCTTGCCTATACGTGGCTTCATCAACATCGGTGGAACCGTTGGTTCAATTACGGTCAACAAGCACTCCTTCCTCCAGCAACATCAAGTCAAGTGCAGAGTCCCAGGCTTGGCGTCTGTGTATGCGCCGGAGCCTCAAGATATACAGTATGATAGAGAGCAGCACCACCAAAATACAGACAAAAAACAGGTAGTGGTTATAGACAAAGGAAATCCGAAACCAGGTCACGTGTGCAGGCCGCGAATTCTCCTGGCGAATATCCCTACAAAAACAAAAAAGGCATGGTTTCACTTACTGCAAGTGTAAGCAAGACACAGAAAAAGGCAACACGGTACATGTGAGTCGGTATATTTTATATTAATTTATAAAGCACTATTGCATGATGGATACATACTAAGCACATAACTCGATAGTGGGTGGCCATGCAGGTACTGCTCTCCCCTTCCCCCATTACATACTTATCTGGAGAGAGGAAAAATGAAATTGGTACCCTGGTGGCACAGATCTGTTACCTGCTCCATTATATTACAGAGAGCTCCACAATATGAGATGTCATTTAGCCTGATATCTGTATAACAAGGAGCATGTAAGAGATCTGCTATATCTCTTGGTAAACACAGTGTCACTGGGAGTGATATCAAAAAGAAAAAATGTGTTGTGCACATAAATATTAAACATCATCTGTATTCCTTTCTGACTAGAGGCAGGGCCTCTGAAATAGCCACCTGCAATGTCCCATCCCTGCTGCATATATCCGGCTACAATGTGTGCCATACTCATGGAACAGGCAAAAACTGAGATATGAAGGGGGCGAACCAGTACTTGTAGGGTGCAGTAAACCATTTAAGGGAGGGATTTAACTTTCAAGTCTAACAGGAGGATACCTGTTCATGACAGTCCCTGAGACCACAACATACTTTTAAAACAGTAAAACCTGTATTTTTTGGTATTAAGATCCTAAGCCAGGCAGCTGGCTGAATAGCAAAGTATAAATGCAATTTCCCATTACTTTCTAGGTGTGTAGTGGAAATGTAATCACTTACAGCTGCCGTGTAGGAGAGATGTATTTACCCTATGATATGCGGATGTTGCACACAAAGATGTCTTCCGTTAAGTGAAGTAAAACGTTGTCCCTAGTTGTTACCTGAGAGGAAGGAATCTTGTTTTGTACAGCATTGCTCCTAAAGTCCACTGGACTTCTTTTTCATACACCAGCTGGGCGGTCTTAAGATTTGGATAATCAAGAGGAAAATGAAATCCATCGTGGACAACCTTGTACACCCATGCAGACTTAAAGCATTGATATCTGGCAAAATAAAAATGAATAATGCTTAAAGATAAAAACCAAATACAAACTAATGTTACTTATGGAATTTGGAAGCACCGAAATGACCAAAAGTATCGGACCAGTATGCCGCAATGAAATCTGGTTTCAGGTCATCCTAAATTATTGTCTTTTTTTTGTAGAATTAAAAGTCAATGTATTATATATTTATATTCCTAAATGCATAACTAGATGACTTCTCAGTCTCCTATTTTACCAGGATAGTTTCTGAATGAACAATACTTGGAATTTAACATATAAAGCTTACTTTAGTCTATGTTTGTCGGCATGAGAGGAATACAGATGGTTGTTGAATCTTTCTGTTAATGTTTTCCAAGGCATGCTACAATAATCCTAAAATAAATAAATAAATGACAGAATCAGAAAGAAGTTTAAATGTATAGATAATTTCTTACAAGAATATTTTTGTGTAACAAACCTTTGCAGCTTTAGCAAACTTGCGACTGTTGTACAAGCCCCCAATACGCAATACGTCCTCTGTGCTGTAATACAATTCGGAAAAGCCATAGAATTCGCTGTTTAAGAAATCAATAGCAGGCTGGTACACTCCATTCAGGTAGGCTTGGGAATCATTGGACTGTAACAAAAGAGGATCCACCAGTTGTTTGCAGCTGTCCCAGTCTCCTTTCCCAGCGATGTGAAGGTCCAGGTCCTGTCTGTGAATCTTGTCAGTGAGTCCAACAGGCAAACAGGGATCCAAATAAGGGGTGCTGGGATTTAAACCTAGCTGTTGCTTATGCAGTCTAAGAAGGCAAGAACACAAAACTGGTAAATGAAGAGGAACTGTAACGAAGATACATATAGACATATACAGTTGTAAGCAAAATGATTAAATCTCCAATAACAAACCTGGTTTATTGTCAAAATCTACGGACTTTCAACTGTTTGAAATGAACAAATCAAACAAAAGCTATTGAAATAGCTCAACACAATGAATGCTTCAAGTGGTTTCCCTAGATTTAACTGAAAATGCAACTTATAATGACTTCTACAGTCACAAAATTATTAAACCCCCTGAATAGAATCCTTCACAACAGCACTATATATGCAAAACAGGTGTTGTCTCAAACACACATCCAGCAACTAATTAAGGGCTTCATAAGTCGCACCAGGTGTGCTTGAGCTGGAACACTTGAAATACCTGAACTTGCTAGGGGTTTGTTGAGTGTCACGTGTGACTGCATGTTAGAAATAAGTCAAAAGAATGGTCAACAAAGTTAAGAGAAGAGTTCATCGCCCCCTTTAGAAACAAGGAACAGGATACACAAAGATAACGAAGGCACTGAATGTTCCTAGAAACACTGCTGGAAAAATAGTGCTCAAGTTCAAAGTTGAATGAACTGTCGTTACACTAGCTGTACGAGGTAGAAAAAGGACTCTATCAATGACTGCAACCAGATTTATGAGAAGGCAGCTTGTGAAAAACCCTTGAGTGACTGCAAAACACCTGCAACAAGACTTGGTGGCAACAGGCACTGAGGTGTCAGTGAACACAGTAAGGCATACTAAACGCAGTAGGTTTCCATGCCAGCACTACAAGTCATCAAGACACCACTACTGAACCAAAAGCACAAGATCATAAAGATAAGCCATAGAAGTTTTGGAATTCCGTTCTGTGGAGCAATGAAAGAAAACTGGACATTTATGACCCAATGGATCCGAGGTATATCTGGAGGAAGAAGAATGAAGCATACACTGAAAAGAACACTCTGCCTACAGTTAAGCATGGTGGTGGCTCTGTGATGCTCTGGGGCTGCTTTGTCTCCTCTTGCACTGGAAACCTGCGGCGTGTGGAAGGCACGATGGATTCATTGAATTATCAGGAAATAGTAGGAAAAAACATCATGCCATCTGTGAGGAAGCTAAAGCTTAGGCATCATTGGTCCTTCCAGATATGCATCACGTTTACAGCAGTTTATAACAGCAAAAGGTTCCTCTTCTAAGTACTAAAGATGCTTGCCATAAGGGGTGGAATAATTTGGAGACTGGAGAAGTCATAAGTTGCATTTTCAGTTGAATTTTGGGAAACCACTTGAAGCATTCATTGTGTTGAGCTATTTCAATGGCTTTTGTTTGATTTGTTCATAGCAAACAGCTGAAAGTCTGTAAATTTTGACAACAATCATTTTGACTACAACTGTAAACACATAAACAGAAATCAGAAGAAATATTCCTAAGTACAATACCTACATATTTATATGATAAACAAAACAAAAAAATGTTTTGCTGCACTGATCACTACACAGTACTTACCGGTTTTGTGTTACAGTACTATTGAACACAGTGTCTTCATAACGCTGTCGTGCAAAATTTCCCCCAAAACCCATGAACGTGGTGACATACACACGATAGACATGCTCTGTGTGTTGCAAGTCGCAGCCCAAGTTGAATTCTGCCAGCATTGCTTTTGCAGCTTCTTCCTAAAATATAAGGTTAAATGTCAATGAAGAATAGAACAAAATAGTTTTTTTCCTGCTACAGCTTGTGATGATGTCATACAAAACTATAAAATAAACTGGGGAAAGGGGGCCTGACAACCAAGATGGCCAGACGTGTATCTTGCTAGCTCCTGCTAAACTGAACCTAAACGGTTGAAATAACTTGGCTAATCCAGCGGGACGCTGGGTAGCACGTGGCGTAGAGTGTGGAGGTGTTGGAGCGACTTTTGCATCGAGTTTTGGAGCCATTCTGGAAATTTTTTGCAGTTGTTTTGGGACTTTTTGGGTGCATTTCTCAAGCGGTGGAAAGGTAGGGAGCTGAGCTTCGTTGTTTGCATGCCTTTTACTGTGTGTTCTGCATTGTGGGTTGGTTCCCATGCCAGCTCATTTTGGCTTTTTTTCTGACCTATGGGAAAACCGCGTTTCAGGTTACAAATTTTTTGCAATAAGAAACGTCCTGGAGAACGCATTACATACGTAAACCGAGGTACCACTGTATATATGTGTACTGCAGTAAGTTAATGACAAGTTCATACCCTCTTGATATATACTTTAACATACAATGTGCAGTGTCATCTAATGCTAACAACTGTATTCCTATGTTTCTTGAACAAGTTCGCAACAGCTGTTGTGGTAAACGTACAAACGTACATGTCTAACCTATACACGAGTAAAAAAAATTAATTAAAAAACACAACAAAATATTAAAATAAACTGGAAGGCTGTAAATTGTCAAACCCTCATCTTAGCAACACATCTTGTTGGTTCACCTGTGAGCAACTTTCCGAGAGCATAGGATGATTTGTCCAAATAATGAGACCGTGATAAGACACATTTGTACTTATGAAGGCAATCCTGTACGCCTGCTATTCTGGTCAGGCATGAATATGTTCTGAAAAAGATTCTTCTGAGTCAGTGGTTCTGAAACACCAGCAATCCATCCTTTAGGAATTGCCGTACTGCCCTTTCATGATGATGTCAATATCACCTAAGTTGTTGGTGGCCCTTGAATCAGGCCAGTGCTAGACTATTTTGCGCCCTAGGAATGACCAGCTACCAGTACCGGTCTGACAAAAAGCTATTTGTTGCTCTCAGCATGCAGCTTCCTGTCAGACCGGGTAAAGGATACAGAAGATCCCCTAAAGTGATCCGCTTGGCCATGCTACATGGAGTGACTGGGAGGAAGGGGGCAGCGCTGTGCGCGCCCCCCTTCTGCTTTTCACCCGAATATTGCATCACCCAGCTGGTGCGACCTTGAATATAGGTTGAATAAGCACTGCTATGAGACTCTGAAGGCCCAGCTGGTACAAGAATCCAATTGCCCTCTGTTGGTGTAAGAGATCTGTAGAAATTGCAGCCTGATAACAAGTTCAGGGTTCACAGATATGCCAGACTAGAATTTGAGAATGTGCTGGATAGTCTAATAAAAATAAATAAATAATTGAATGATTGTATAAAGTTCTGCAGATGGTGAGTTCTGAGGACAGGTTCGAAGTACTGGCAGGTTTACACCTTACAAATGAATCTTTAAATACAGGCACAGAAAAGAAAGAGTTTGGAAGAAACTGCAAATACCAAAAAAATAAATTAAGCTCTTACATTTTCTGCAGAAGGGAAACGCATTGTTTTTGGAACCTCATACGCAATTTGAAGAGATCCACCACCCATGTCTATAATGCCAACTGTGCGCTTGCGAATGATGGACTCTTCTTGTGTGCCAACAGTCACGGAAACAACATTGTCTTCCTCTAAAGAGACACAAATTAAGCAGGTTATTAGAATCAGTGACTAAGCAGTAACAGAGCAATATTCATTATGCTAATGTCATTTATTAGCATAAAACTGTAAGGGATGGGGTAACTTTATTTAATAACAAATAAAAAAGGGAGACTAAAGCAATGAACATGTAATAGACACCATTTTTTTTTTTTAATTAAACAAATAAAACCTTAGTGGTATAAGGTAATACACCAGTATTTGATCAGCTCTCTGAACCCCATAAGTAAGTAGGTTTTAAAGAATCTCTCATCATATAGTGAGAAGGTGCAAAATTCAGGATTATTGACAGATCCAGTAGCACTCAAATTATCTGCTGCAAACCTACACTTTGAATATTAAGGGTTCTCTTGAGTGATCAAAAACCTGAAATTTAGCTGTAAAAAAAATTAGAGGAACTGCCACTTCCTGCTATTTATAATGTGTATAATTATCATGGTCACAATACATAAACGTGTCTAGTTTAAGAGCAAACAGCACTTTTACAAATTTAGGAATGTCCTGCTAGCTGTCAGTACGGAGTGCTTCCTGATTCACAACACTATAATGAGTGAGAACTTCCACAGGGATGCATTAGTCTAATGTTTCCCTATGAGAAGCATTGTCTTGAGTGATAGCAGGATTTGATACATTTGTGTCAATTGCCATTCATGCATCATTTTCAGTGGAAGAGCGTCTCCACTAAGTAGCAGAAAAACAGGAGCCGACGCTGAAGAAAATAGTAAACTTTATTATGTTGGGGGAGGGCACCTAGTATGTAAAGATGAAAAGGAAATGTTAAAATTGAATATTGTTTTTTAATGTTGGAGTGTTCCTTTAACACATCTGTTTTTGTAGTCTGAAAATTTAGAAATCCACACTGCTCTATCCTAGAACCAAGTGTCTCAATATTTACTCCCTGTCAATCATTGGTGTAAGCTCTATCCCAGCATTTTCCAAACTATGTGCCACAGCACCGCATCGGTGCACACAGGGGGGCCATGGAATTTTCCCCTGGTGTTATGCTCAACAGGGGCCTGGTCAGGTGCCGCGGTCCTTTAATGTCGGGCGGTTGGGAGGAAATTACATCATCCCAGCATCCTGCAAGGAGGCAGCAGGGGAGGAGGAAACCGCAGCGTGAGGGGAGAGGAGCACAAAGAGCTCCAGACCTCTCACTCCCACCAGCAGGACTCCAAGCCACCCTCCTGGCACATAAGGTAAGCTAACAGGAGGGTGGCTGGAGATATTTAAAAAAAAAACAAATCACTTGTGTGTGTATGTGTGTGAGTGTGTGTATGTCATGGTGTACATCTCTGTGTGTTTCTGTGTCTTTGTGCGTGCACACATCTGTGTATCTGCATCTGTGTGTCAAGGTGTGTGTTTTTATGTCAGTGTGTATCTGTGTCATGGTGTGGGAATGTGTCAATGTTTGTGTGTGTGTGTGTGTCAGGGTGCATGTGTGTATATGTGTCGGTGTATTTATATGCATCTGTGTGTTAATGTGCATGAATATCTGTGTAAGTTGGTATGTATCTATGTCAAACACCAGCACAACATACAAGTACACCCCTGCAATCTAACACAAATATTACATACAAACACACCCCTCGTGAATCAGGAAGCACTCCGTACTGACAGCTAGCAGGGCATTGCTAAATTTGTAAAAGTGCTGTTTGCTCTTAAACTAGGCACGTTTATGTATTGTGACCATGATAATTATACACATTATAAATAGCAGGAAGTGGCAGTTCCTCTTATTTTTCTTACAGCTAAATTTCAGGTTTTTGATCACTTGAGAGAACCCTTAATATTCACAGTGTAGGTTTGCAGCAGATCATTTGAGTGCTACTTGACCTGTCGATAATCCTGAATTTTGCACCTTCTCATTATATGATGAGAGATTCTTTAAAACCTACTTACTTATGGGGTTCAGAGAGCTGATCAAATACTGGTGTATTACCTTATACCACTAAGGTTTTATTTGTTTAATTTAAAAAAAGAACATTACATGCAGACACACCCCTGTATTAAAAACACAATAACTACTATACAAGCACCCCTTCAGACACCACAGTACATGCGGCAGCGCTGTAGAGATATGCATCCTAGAAATTTTTACTTGGTGTGCCTTGGAAAAATACTGAAATATTAAGGGCGCCTTGAATCTAAAAAGTTTGGGAACCACTGCACAAAATTAGAGAATAGAAACAATGTTTATTTTTTCACCTCCAAACTAACGTGTTCTCTGGCTGAACTGGATTGTAATGACAAATGCCACATTTTAATAAATATTCAGAGAAAATAGCATAGAATGAAGAACGGCTAACACAAGTGATTTTTAGAGAAGTAACAGTTCGTCCTCCGTTAATCCTTTATATCACATGAACAAATAAAAATATTGATATTTCTTTTTTACGTCATGCTCTCACATTTAGTAGTTTATTTACTAAACAGCTCATTCACGTGAATTGAAAACTAAGTAATGCAAGTCAAAATAGCCAAAATGTGTCTATAACAGAATTGAAGATTTTGTTTTCAAAATCTTTAATTCAGTTTTCAATTCCTTACAATTGAAAAGTTTAAAAGTTTAGTATAAAAGAGAAAGGAAAAAAAAAAAAAACCCTTAAATCTGAATTCTGACTACTGAAATAAAGGGAATACAATAGTAATATATTCAAACAGAGAGAAGGATCAATGTTAATTATATAGTAATTTTTTTTAAAACCTTAAATCTGAATTCTGACTACTGAAATAGAGGGAATACAATAGTAATATATTCAAACAGAGAGAAGGATCAATGTTAATTATATAGTAATTTTTTTTAACTTGCTACTCACCCTCAATAACGTGATCAAAACGGCCCAGGACAAAGTTAATACTGATCCATGCATAAACACCTAAAATATAAGAAAAAACAGTACATATTTTAAGAGCAAACACATTCTAAGATATTTATATAGCTGCATCCATGGTGTTCAACATTCTATCAAATTATAGCCTTAAATACCTTCCTGTTTCCCCGAGATGACCTCTGCATGTGCCTCTGAGAAAAGGAAGTCGAACTGCTGGGGTACATTCTTCACCAGGTCTTGGAGTATAGCATTCTGCTGGCTGCAAAACATTACAAATACAAGGTAACCCACTGAGAGGCATCCAGCAAACCACAATCAATCTGTATTTCTTAACGGCTACAAAGTGAAAACTTCATGTGCAAAAGTAGAAATTGTGAAGAAAGGTGCTGCCTCTCTCAATTCCAAATGCCACGTATATATGGAATAAAAAATGTCTCTGGTGCAATTACAACCACTTAGAAGAGGTATAAAAGGGAGAAGCTCAGAGGTGGGATTATAGCTCTTGAGAAAGTCCACTGTTTGGATGAAATTCAAACGAATGTCAAGTGAATTTCAGGCGAAACGTACTCAAAGTTAATTCTAGAGAGAATTACCAGCGAATTTCAGCTGATCCAGATTACCCAGGACATTCTAACTCCCTTTTTATGAACTTTAGTAGAAGTCATTTTCTGTATATGCGAACGGAAAGATCTACTGGGCCTACAACCTAGATTATATCAGGGGCAATGGATTTTTATTTTGCGCAGTCCATTTGTGAGTGCCTGTCTTGTTATGTACTAAAGGTGCTTTTGTAAATGTTGTTTTCTCTCAATTTACATACACACACACACACACACACACACACACACACACACACACACACACACACACACACATAAAGAAAAAGGAAGAATTTCTTGCACTCACGCTATAATATCCCTTGTGTGCCGGGTGCTAAGTCAGGGCTTGGTTATCCAGGTATCCAAAGAGGTAGCAGCCCTCACGGAATTTAAAGGTTCTAGTCTTTATTAGTTTATATTAAAAAAATCTTGACCAACATTTCAGTCCACTAAACAGGACCTGCCTCAGGATCAATACCTGCCGGGTCGATTGATCGATTTCTGTATGTAATCTATTGATTAATAAAACACCATTTTCACCTATTTGAAGACCTGTGAGTGCATCCTTGAATTCGTTTCTTTCTATTTTTTGGATGGCAGTGGATTAGCACCTAGGCAAGATTTTTTGTTATAACTTTGAAAGGAGAGTGCCAAGCAAATATATATATATATGCGCACACACACACATACACCTACAACTAAGCTGTTGGCTTAAAGCCACATCAGGGGGTGTAACATTAGAATCCTGAAACGTTGGATCAGCAGTACACCCTCTGATGTAGCTTTAAGCCAGTCAACAGCTTAGTTGTATTCTCCCTTATTACCCCTAGAGCACCAAGGTTTGAAATTAGACTCTAGGTCTAATTAGACCGTATGTTACGTGGGAATCTACCTTTTTTAAACCGATGTACTCATCATTTACATTGGACAATTGAGAGACTCTAATCTCCCGACCGAAATACTACCACTATTTTAATATTAAATGGATAGGATCATTTATGGGTAATACATTTTAGGCAACACAAATAAAGCCTGCTGGTTTACCAATTGGATAATTTATACACCTATCCTTCACTATCAAGTGTTCACTTCCTCTTTAAGTGTTATATGTTGCACTCACCTTTTATCAGCCTATCTACTTACTAGTACCACAGAGGAGAAATTCCTTATTTTATTTATTCTATGTTCTGTTTCGTGCCGAGAGTGAGTAGGTACCATTCATACTGACCACCTCTGTGGGGAATATTTCTCATACAGGAGATATTAGTAATTTCTTCTATTTATTCAAAAATAACTAATAGCCTGAGTCGCAAGGATCCAAATCAAAGGGGCACCGTGAGCAACGTCAAGAGAATCAGTTCTCCCTTCATTTTGTGAGTTTTCCTCTAAAAGGGACACTATAGTCACCAGAACCACTACTGTGGTGTCTGCATCATGTCCCTGAAACCTTAGCACTGTAAACACTGCTTTTTCAGAAAAGAGGCAGTGTTTACATTGCTGGCTACTTATACTTCTAGGGGCAGTCACTCAAACAGCCACCAGTGGTGCTTCCTGTGGTGTTCAGCGTCTCCATGCTTTGCGTGGAGATGCAGAACTTTCCCCAAAGAGGTGCACTGATTCAATGTATCTCTATGAGGAGATGCTGCTTGGCACAGTGTGGCGTTTTGCTGGGCAAGCGCATTAGCCTGAGAAAGCATTGGATTGGCTGAAATCATCAAAACTGATGATCTCAGGCACAGAGGTGGGACCAAACAGGGCCTACCATGGCAAGACTGGCACGATGTGGAAAAAAAAATTAAGTAAACTCACCTTTTCACTTCACAGACAGGGGAGCCGGGGAGATAAAACTGCCTTCACTGCCACACCAACATTACATGTTTTCATGCTTGTATTCCTGACACTATAGTGTTCCATTAAACATGTCAACAAGGAAGGAATGGGAACTACTTGGCAACAGGGCATTTGGCTACAGATAAGAGCTCATAAATCTGCCCAGTAATGTGTTTTGTATCAAAGTGATGGATAAATGTGGCATGGTACATTCCCCATGAGGCTCACAGAGTCACACAGGAAATACAGTTCATAAACATTTATAGAACTTCCAGAGCAAAAAATAAAATTAAAAAAAAAGGGTGCGTGGCATAGCCATTGGTGGTGAATTCCAGAGCTACATTTTCACCGAGTGGAAATTTTTAGTCCAGCTATAGACTCAAACAGAAGCATCGGTCTCTATAAAAGATAAAAACACAGACAAAGACACAAACCAGAAACGAGGACAGGAAATCTCTGTAAGTTCTCACCTCTCAGGCAGGACTCTCATGCCAGCTGTACACAGGATATATAGGGGGGTTTCTTTGTGTTTAGCCTTTGGGATATAGGAAGCAGCAAAACTTAACAGTGGGTTCATGTAATCACTTGCTTTTTCTGGAGTTAAAGCCATTGCAGAGATACCTGTGGGAAGAAACAGAAATGACCTGTTAAAGAACTGGACGAATTACCTAGAAAACTTACAGACATTATGCTGCTTCTAATAATGTGTCTTTATTCAATAAAAGCAAAATTAGAAAGCTGACAAATTCCTAAATGGTCACTAGGGGGCAGTATATCACTGAAAAATTCTCTGACTGGCAATTCACAACAAATTAAAATGAGTCACTATCTGACAAATGACTATTTCACAGTAAAGAGCAAGACATCAGTAAAGAATTCTGGAGAATTAGCAGAAAACAAATCCATAGATAAATGAGATTACAAAAGTTGAAATTATTACCACTTGTGTTTAAAAAAAAACAAAAACATTTAAAACATTTTTTTTCCATTTTTAGGCAGCTAAAGGTAAGCCACGTTGCCCCATGCCAAACAAAGTTGCCAGCAGTGACAATATTTAACTTTTCCGAGTCTTGCCTTAAAACCTCTTTTTTTATAACAGATCGTCGTTTGTTTCATGTTAGCCCTCCACAATTGGTAATTTATACATTTGCTGGAAAATTCACTAACGTGGTATACATCCCATTAGATCAACTTCTGCAGCTGCTAAGTCCACAATAATCAGTAAATATGGACTCATCGATAACACACACGATTACTTACCGGGTTTGATCTTCTTCACCACTGGTTTACTGTTGCGATCTCGCATTTGTTTAATGTCGAGAAGATCATGAGGATTCCCATTATGTGGGGGCCAGAAGTACACGAAGACCCGAGAGCCACTGCTGCCACAATCAATGACGATTCCATAGTTTAACTGAGTGTCCTTTGTGTCTGTAGCTTCTAGGTCCACTATTTCATCCAAGTGCCTATCAGATGGATCAGCAAGAGATCAAAGTGTTGGAAATGATTTGGGAAAATATTTTGTTTTTTTACAAACAATTATTGAAGAGTCATCATCATGGGCCATCTTAGGGTATGCAGACAATGAGGACACATTTAGTATCAATAAAAAAATTAAAACAGAATTTGTATTTATAGCCTGAGAAATCACAAAGATAGAGTTCCAAATAATAACACTGATTTGGGTGGATTCCAAAATACAGATACAGTGTAACCCTTTAGTTCCATAGAATTACAGCATCAAATTAACTCAAAAGATTTGGGCAATGAAGAGCCCTGATATAGAAGTCGATGTTTGTTATAGCATTCATTCATTACACAGTACATGCTATATGGTTTGTCATGCACCCAATGAATGGTGCCAATTGTTGAAGTCATTAACGCGGATTTGTCACTTTTTAGTATTTCATAAAGAGTCTTTATGAAATACTGATTAAGACTGTGTTTGGATTTCAGTGAAATTAATTTATCTTATGGTAAAGGCTGGGGTTGACAATAAGGCAGAGCACCGCTGTCAACCTTTTTTCCAATCCCAGCAGCCGTTATTCACAGCTGTGGAAGTTTGTCAGTGTTTTACTCTTGTGCATGCGCAAGAATACAGCACTGCCGTGGCTCCTGGCAACTAACGCACCAGAAGCCAAAGAGGACCTAGAACATGAAGATGGCAGCAGACGGGAAGGACTGCTTCAGGCTAATAAAAGCTTACCTCCACTGAACCAAGTGGCCACTGGACCCTTAACGCATTTGTTCATTTCGGGGTCTTTGTACGTAAAGAAATTTGACAGATCCACTTTAAGTTAATATAGGTTTTGTTTATAAAAAAAACAAAAAAAAACAAAACACATTATATCACTTATTGCCTGCTGGTGTAAAATGAGCAACATCGCTTTCTGAATATTTTGTAAATATCAGTTCCATATTGAACAACCAAAGCGTGAATAAATAAAATGAATTTAAAGAGGAATGATCACTTATTGAATAGTGACAGTTTCTCAATATCACACCCTAATAAATGTTGTTAAAAGATTTAATATGGTATAAAGCCCAGTGGAGGCTCGTATGAGACATGCACTTTGATATAAATTTTGTTTGGTCAAAATTTGGATTGGAAAAAATTTGGCAAATATTTTTGGAATGAAATTTGGTGACCTACGGCTGCATCTTAAAGCAGTTCAACAGACAGCTGACTAATCTGGTACCGTAATGTGGAATTGCTATATCTAAGGGTACCAAAGTAGGGTGCTGTTTAGTTGATAGCCCCCTTATTTGGTATCCGTAAGGCAATCCTACATAAGGATACGAAGAAATTAGGAAACTAAATGAGTGAAAGACCACAATTAAGAAAAGTCCTTTTCAGTCAGACCTCTGACAAGTAAGTCCAACTTACCACGAGACTTGTGTATGAATTTTTCCACTTCTATTTAGAATTAATTCTAATTACAAGGAGGAAGCAGGGAGCTCGGTCCTTGTAAGTATTCGAATAAATAAAGAACAAAATTGAATAAGAAACAAGCAATCCAGTCTTCGTTTATTGTTTTACATTCGTCAATTTGTCATACGGAAGTATGGCAAAATTGTTTGAAATTCAGAGGAATGCGTACTCATCTGAAAACGAATGCCCAAGTCTACTAACACCCAAAGCTCCATCCATATCAATTCCATGATGCTCAGGGCATGTTCATGAGCTCTTGGGCATAAGCTAAGAGTGCAAGAGCTATTCGTGCAGCAAGGATGCATGCACCACATGGAGCCCACACACAGCACAATGACGGTCAAATGTATCTGCATCCTATGCCCTTACGGTACACCGACAGATGATGCACATAAAAAAAACAAATACTGGGTTGTGCATAATTCACAAAGTTGACCGTTTTAATTTCAAACCTTTGTCATAAAACAGCATTGAACTCTAGTTTCTATTTCGGATGAAGGCACGAAGCAGATCACATGATTACAGATCAGGGATATATTTTTGCTTTGTTTAAACAAAATACTGTCATTCGCAAATAACACCACATTCCACTATGTTCAAACAAACATTCTACCAGACACAACCTTTTAAACAAGAACATATCAAATGATCATAATCTTATTGAGTGAGTAATGGCCATTAATGCACACAAGTAACAGTAATAAGAATGCCAAACACCCAGCAGGGAATACTAATCGAGAGGTGATTATATTGTGCTTACATCTACACTGTGTCTGTCTAACCGTAAAAGCTCATCTATTATGTTTAATGATTCTATTACCAACAGTACCGCTTACAGTATTTGGGTTCTGCTTAGTGTGCAGAAAATAAAATGGAGCCACCGGACAACTAAGTCAACCCTGAGCTAACAGACTACTCTTGCTATTAAAATAAGCATAATACGATTAGAATTCCACAGTACAATGTGATTATCCCAACCAGAGCATCATGTTCCCTGCTCATAACAGCTCTATCTCTCTGGGGTGTTATGTTAGGAGCAAGAACCAATTTTAAACCAATTTCACCACCATTCCACAGTGACCAAACTGGAATTTGGGCTGCCTATACCTAGCTCAAAAGTGAAACCTCAATCGAGTTACATTGTTAGGACTTGTTTTTGCAAACGAAAAAAAGAGAGACCGCAGAGCAGTGGTATTCTGCATGGCTGAGCAGTCTATGTCAAATCGAATTACACAAGAACCCATCTGTTGTTTGAAAATGCAGTCTTTTCTCTGTATATGTCACCAAGTCTGAGGGTCTGTTCTTACATCATCTCTTTCCTTCGTTCCAACCACTGAGGCCACCGAAAGATGGGTGGTCTTTGTTATACGCAGTGGCCTTAATCCTTTAGCTAGCAGAACACATTGTTAAAAGCATTACTCACAGAGTTGGTTAATGAGGATATTAACACCACACAACCAAATCTCACCCATCTTACACTGTTCTTAGAAGCAGTGCATTGGTATCTTGTTTAATTGTAACCTAACTTATGTTTGGACTATTTCATGCCATATCCTGTTATGGCTACCACTGCTGTCACTTATTCCAAAACATTGTTTGAAGCAACAGTCACTATCATTCTTATAGAGAATTAAAATTTGTTGACACAGACCCAAATAGCATAAAATGGTATTAGCTTGGTGATCCATTCTTTAATACTAGCATTACTTCACTGACTCATTCTTCAATGGTTATGTAATATATCAAAAACATTAATTCTGTAAAACACTTTCTGATCACCAGTGTACAAGGAAGGCAGTGCTGTAACAATAAATATACTTCACACTCAAATTAAGTTTTCGTTGATGCCTAGATGTCTAGCCTGTAGTGTTTGATGACAGTATGGAAAGACGACGAGGTGGCAGATCTTTTGGCCCATGAAGTTGTAATGGCTCTAGTAGAATGCGTCTTAAAGGGACACTATAGTCACCAAAATAACTTTGGCTTAAAGAAATGTTTTTGTGTGTACAGGTCATGCCTCCGAAGTTACACTGCTCAATTCACTCCCATTTAGGAGCTAAATCACTTTTGTTTCTGTCTCTGCAGCCCTAGCCACACTTCCCCTAGTTGTGACTGACACAGCCTGCATGAAAACAAAATGGCTTAGTTTTCAATCAGATGTTATCTTACTTTAAAAGTTTGTATCCCTTGTGTGTAATTACATGCAGGGGCTCGCAAGCTATTAACACAGCAGGAGTTAGAAAATTCTAAATTAAGCAAACTTTTCAAAAAAGGAAATGTAAGTATTAGATGACTCTTTACAGGAAGTGTTTAGTAAGGCTGTGTAAGTCACGTGCAGGGAGGTATGCCTAGGGATGCACGAACAAAGTGATTTAACTCCAAAATGGCAGAGAATTGAGCAGTGAGACTGCAGAGGCATGATCTATACACCAAACCTGCTTCATTAAGCTAAAGTTGTTTCTGTGACTATAGTGTCCCTTTAGTTTTGCAGGGAAAACGGCACCTTGGGGACAATAAGCCATTCAAATGGGCTCATTAATCCATGGAAGACCTGGAAACTGGAAGACCTTTAGAGCGTCTTTAGAAGTTGATGAAAAGATGGTTTGATCTACGCCACTCCATTGTCCTGACTGGATAGATTGACAATGCTCTCTTTACATCCAAGCAAAGCTAATGAGATTCCTTGGCTGAAGATGGATTCTGACAGAAGGTTGGCAACACTATCGCTTGATTTAGGTTGGTTTTACTTAAAACTTTAGGACGAAACGATGGTTTGGGAATGAGGATGACCTCATCTTGATGGAACACCATGATTTCTGATGCTGCGGAAAGTGCAAGAATCGTTTTCCACTGTTTTGGATGAGGTAACAGCAACTAGAAATGCTACGGTTAGGGTAAGAAGTTTTGGTGACCGTTCTTCCAGATGTTCAAATGACTCCGTGCATAAAGCATTTAAAACTAAAGATAAATCCCAAGATGCAATATGTGAATGTTCTGGAGGACGAGTTACCATGCTGCTTTGCATAACCTTTCAATAAGTGCTTAAGATGCAAACTATTGTATGAAGAAAAAACAAAGTGCAGAGATGAGGACTTGCGAAGCGGAAGGAACAAGACCCATTTTGAAAGCTTTTTGCAGAAATTCTAGAATAAGCAGAAGGAGTATTGAATGAGTCTAGATTTTTCTGATGACACCATGCCAGGAATGTATTCAAATATGCAAGTATATTTTTAAGGTGTTTTTTCCGGTAGCTTGTAAGAGAATGTTGATAAAATGTTCCTTAATAACTTTTTCTAAAAGGATCAACCTTGTAGCTTCCATGCCCTCAGTTTAAAGATATTCAGAGTTTCTATTGATATGTCCTTGTTTTCTGGCACCTGTAGAGTCACCGCTAATTCCTAGGACAATGTCATTGTTAGATGTAGAAAGAGGGGGAACGAGCTGTGATTTGGCCAGAATGGCATGATTGCTATGACAGGACTGGTCTACTTGGATTTTTTGCAGGACCTTTGGAGGAAAGATATACACCATTTGAAATGTCCAATTCACAGAGAAGCTGTCTAGAATATCCAGATTGTCCTGTTTGTATTGGAAGCAGAATTGTGGCACTTTTTGATTGAGTCTCTTGGCCATGATTTATACAGTTTTGTTTTTTTGTATATTCTGGTCAATATAAAAACATTTTCTGGGTAATGATCTTGGGAGGCTGCCCAATTTGACTTAATAGAGAAGTATAATTTATACTTGGTACTCACTTCACATATATTTACACTGTGGTGGTGATATATTGTTTATATTATATATATATATATATATATTTTTTAAAGTCTTTATTTTATTTGGATCTTAGCAAATCAACAATAACAAATTTCTTCACATTCCTTAAAGGTATGTTTAGTTACAGTGTTCACGTGATATCAAAAGCATGAAATAAAGGTGTAAATACAACAGGAAACCTAAGAAACCCATATATCAACAATTAACAAAAAGAAGAGAAAAAAAATAAGAAAAGAAAAGTGGGGTGGCCACCCACCGAGAATGCTAAGACTTTCTGCCATCTAGTTAAGTCTTGAAGGGATACATATTCTTCCCAGGGCACCCACTCTGTAGTGAAGGTATTTGGAGCCGTGAACTTATCCATTAAGACGTTGTCAGCATTTTTATGCTGGATTTTGGCTAAAGTAGAGACACCCAGCTCCCAGAGCTATTCTGAATGCAAATGTCATCTTAATGATTAGTTTTTAGTATTGTGGTGGAAAGTTGTCAATGGGCTTGGACAGAAGGAAGACCCATGAATCAAGATCAAACGGTCAATGAAATATTTGAGACAGTAAGCCACAGACTCCCTCATAATATGGAGTTAACCAAGGACACCATGCACATGGAAATCTTTCCAGCTGCCTCCCACATCTCCTACCAGTCACCTTCTCCTACCCCAACTCCCAAGTCCTCCTCCCAAAGCTTGGTGTATGTTAATTTACCCATAATCTTTGAATTAGAGAAAATTGCAGTATATAGTAGCAAAATAAGTCCATGGCTATACAATATTTTAAAAAAGGTAGGCCCTCTGACAGCAGCCAATGTAATATGCTCTTGTTTGGCATAGTCGATAATCAAAATAGAACGTAAGAAATCGTTTGTCTTAATGCAGAGGGATCATGTTATATCCTTGAATGGTGTTAATGAGAAATCACTATAAAGGGGATACAGACATTGAAACTCCAACTTTTCAAAGGCAGCAAAATTCCTACCCACCATAACCGGGGGAACAACTTTTTATTTCTCATGTAATTGGCAAAGGGTTACTCAAGAGTACATATTTCTCCCTTACACTATCCCATAAAATTATAGAGTGGATAATTGCTGGGAGATCTGTCCGAATCAGGGCAGTTGGCGGCTTATCCAGCCAAAAGGTAAAATGGAGGCAAGTCTGCTCCCATGAGCCCCGATTCTAAGTCCGCCCAGCACTTCTCTCCTGGAGGGCTGTGCCAAAGGACATTTTTGCATTAATTGTGCGGCGAGCATACATAGGTGAGGTCTTAGTCCCCTATGAGACCTAGGGTGGTACATTACCTTCCTTACAATCCTTTGGCATTTACCTCCCCATAATAACTTATTTATACCAGATTGTAGTTTGTCTAATTCCCCCTTTGGCACTTCCACTGGTAAAGCCTGCAAAAAAACAAACCAAAAGTTGCCTTGGTAGTAAATTCATTTTGATTACAAGTATCCTACCGATCCAAGAGTACGATTGTGCCTCTCACTTTTCCAGATCGATTTTAAGGGTCCTATATAGCCGCCCATAATTAATCTAACCGAATTGATCATGGTTTGCAGTAATTTAAATGCCTAGATATCAAAATCTTAAATCCATTTTTGTCCTCAACATACAGAACCGGGACATGGAAAGGCATAATTCAGGATTTATTAAAGTTGACTCTATAACCAGAAAAGGTCTCCACACTGCAGGATCACCTCAAGCAGGGGAGGGATCTGAAGGGGTCCAGAAAAGTTAATAGAATGTAATCAGCGTATGTTGATACTTTATAACTAGTTTCCACTCCAGTTAACCCCTTAATATCTGTGTTTGTCCTAATAAGATGTAAGAGGGGCTCAAGGGTTAGTGCAAAGAGAAATGGGGACAGGGGACACTCATGCCTAGTTCCACTGTACAAAATAATCTGGGCTTGACGTGTAAAGGGTTCGTATGAAAGTGATCAACTCCCTAGGAAAAAAAAACAAACAGTGATGTAGCAAACCAAATAAATATGGCCACTATACCCTATCGAACACCTTTTCCGAGTCCAAAGATAGGACCAGAGAAAGCACCCTAGACGTTACTGCTAACACCTCATCCTATGTATCCTCAGCGCATCTTTAGATTCATTGGACAAACTTGGCAATTAAAGGGTAGCAAAGAACTTCATCAATGTCGCTGCATATTGAGGATTAGCTTTTGTCCTACAGTTTAGAGTAAAAGGTAGGGCATGGTTGTACAGCTTAGAGTAAAAGGTAGTGAGAGCCTCTAAAATGGCTTCAGGAGCAGTGACCATCATATCATCCGCTGTCCAAAGTGCTGAAACATGTTGGAGCTTATGCTTTGGTTTAAGACCCCTGGCTAGCCTTTAGAAAATATTTTAGACCAATTCAACTGACGCCCTTCGGCCCTCCAGATATTGTGGACTACATCTACCTTAATGTTTTCCCAGCATTATGGATGTAAGAGCATTATGGGAGATGTAGTCCAAAACATCTGGACGGCCGAAGGTTCCCCACCCCTGCTCTACGTCATCCAATAATAAAGTCTTAATCATGTTGCTTACCCATTGCAGCTGGTCTGAAATTGCATTATTCTAATGTGCATTTGAAAGCTTTATAAGGGTCTTATGAGCAGACCATACCATGTTCAAAGACACTGCTGGAGAGGAGTTTCCTATTGCGGGAGTGGAGGCCACAACAGTTCTAAATTGCTATTTCAAAGTATATAATTTAAAAGTCCAAGATGATGATGATGATGATGATGATGATGATGATGATGATGATGGACTGTGGGGCAAAGCTAATTGTAGTGTCAGCATTTTCAGACTAGGTGATGGAGTTAATCTCTGTATTTCGCTAAGAAATTTTGAGTTAACTAGGAAATAATCTATCCTGGAGTATGTATCGTAATGAACAGACTAGAAAATTAGATCCTCGATTGAAATGTTAGAAACTTGTTAAGGAGTACCTTCCCTTTCAAAGTTTAAAGAAAACAAGGTTCACCCTCTGAACAAAGTCACAGTGCCTCTTTTTCCCCTTCTTGTGTGTGTTCTCTTTTTCAGAACAGTATTTTTTTTTGGTATCCTTTGAGGCCATGTGTACACATGGAGAAAAATAAAATCAAAGAACTAGAGGAAAAATACAATACAAAAACAGTGCCACTTAATGTAATTTAGGAGAGGTCAATGCATTATAGAACACTCAGACTACCTAGGATTTTGGATGGATTTTCATAGCACCCCTTGCGACATCTTCCACGTAGAGGTGGCTCTATGTCAGTTATCAAACCCAAAGGCATCCTGTTCAGAAACGTCTCTTATCAGTAGACAGCTGCTCCTTCACATAGGTTCCCCAGCAGACATCTATTCCCAGGTTTGGATACCTTAGGTAAGACCTTAGGTATACCTCTAAGATTTCGGGTAATTGGATAGCCAACGCTCGTAGGAACCTCTGCATGTCAGAGGATTGTTGCAAAATTATGGTTTTGGCAAACATCAAAATTTTACAAGTGTATCCCCAGGTAAAACTGACATAATGCTCTCTGCTATTGACCTCCAGACTCTCCTTTTTTGTAAGGTGGTAGGGCATAGGTCCTGATACATCTGTACCAGCAGCCCTTGATATTTGAGAGAAGTAGAATGTCTCTGTCAGAGAACCAGTTCCTTTGTCTGGTAGTAGTGAAATTTGATGATGATATCGCGGAGATGTTCCCGAGTCGCTCTGTGCGCCCATAGAGCCTTATGGACATGGTCCAATATCAAGAGTGGTTCAGGGATTTCAGGTGCTATAGGCTGCAGAAGCTGCAAAACAAGCTCCTGCAAGTCAGCATCCCTTGCCTGCTCCAGTAGTCCTCTCAGGCGCAGTTGTTTCAGCAAGACCATTTGGAGAGATCCACTATGCCTGGCTCTAGCTCAAGAACCATTGCCTGCAGTCACCACTTCATTATGAGCATCTACTACTTTCTCCACTCTGTTTTCTATCTCTGCTCTGCTTTTCTCTGCCTCAGGGCCCTGATCTCCAAATTTGAGAACTGCTGAACTTCCCAGGCGCCATCTTGGCTAGCAGATCGGAGCCCATGTACTGGAGTGAAGGTTGTTGCCACCAAGGATTCTTTACTCTTAGCCTTCTTTATATGCGGCAGTTTGCTGCTCATAAGGTTCCTGCGTCTAACCAATACTAACAGGATTCTGTCACGGCCACAATTTTATGCTGTTTGTGCTTTTTACAAGGTGATCAGAGCAGAGCCTCTTAATCACACCACCATTCCTCTCTTTATCCAAGTCATGCCACCCACTTAGGGCTTTTAAGCCGTGTTCTGAGATGCAGCACTCTGTGTCCAGATCGTCTAAATTCCTGGTCCAGCAACACAGATTTTTTCCTTGTAGTGACCTGATATGGGCATTGGCCCATTTCAGTGCTGGAATGGTGGAAGTGCTCAACCCCAGAATGCTCATTGCCTGCCTGATGGAACAAAGCAGGTATTTTGGAATGCTGGAAATAGCCAGATTTGTGGCCTTTTGTGATCTGGAAGCAGAAAGCGTAACTTTTTTGAATCTATTTTGAGTCCAAGAAGACATGTTTGATGCATGAAGAATAGACTTTTCCCAGTTGATGAGCCAACCATGTTCTTCGAGTGTAGCCAGAGTAATTTTCAGATAATCCTTTAGCTAGAAAAAGGTTTCTGCCTTGATGAATCAATCGTCCAGAACCGAGTCTATAAAGATTTATTTTCCTCACAAAAGTGAGGCAACCGGAACAAGAATCTTTGTGAAGAACCTTGGGGTGGGTTAGTGAGGTCAAAGGGAAGAGCCACAAATTGAAAATGTAAAACTTTTTTGCAATTTCTTATGGAAATTCTTAGAATTTTTGGATTCCTGAGCCATAGGAATGTGGAGATACGCATCCTTTAGATCTAAAGTTGCCATAAAATCTTCTGCTTGCAACATAAAAAACTGATTTTGTATTAGTGAAGAATGGTACTTCGAATCAAAGGGTTGTTTCCCATTTTTCTTCAAAATGCCTCAGTAATCCACCATAAAAAATTACAATGAAGATTCTGGAGTTTCTGCAATCAGCAACAGAATTCTGTCTATTTTGCCTTTTTGCACACTCTTCGTATATTGGGGGACTCCTTAAACAGCTTAACCTTCATGGGTCGCAAAACAAAGAAGCAAAGGATGGACAAGCCCAGTGTGGGGCTCAAAATAAGATATTTGTGGCGGTAGCAAATGACGAAGCTGGGCCAAAGTCTCTGGTGGCTGCTTTAACTTCTCGGATGACCTATCCTTTGAGGCAGAAAAGGAGAGCCTACCTTTACCGCAGCAGAACCCGGCAGGCCCAGACTCTTCCCCAGTGACAAAGTTTATAGTGCAGGAACTACAAAAAAAATATCTTGCACAACTGATCTATGATCCGCAGTGACCTGCAGGGTTCTTCAAACAAGAACATACAGCAAACAGTGTCGCTCTAACAAGCAGTGCAGGAGCTATGACAGCAAAATCAAACATACAAATGCCGCTTTGCAGCCTAAGAAGATACCAGATGCCGGGACAACATGAAGGTGTGGGGAGTCTCGGAGGACATCCTGGAGGCTGAGCTGTTGCACTTTCTAAGGTGCTTGCTGGTGGCCTTGCTGCCATCACGACAGGCCAAGGTATTAATGCTGGATGGACTCTTCTGTGTTCCCAGACCAGCCAGAGCATGGATTACTGCTCCAAGGGACCTAGTGGTCCACTTCAAGAATGAGACTGACAAGGCAGCAGTCTTAATTGCCCTCGGGGTTATCTCCCCTTACATTGCAAGGTTAAAACGACAGAACCATTATACCCAGACCACTTTATTTAGATGAAGTGGTCTGTGTGGCTTTAGTGTCCCTTTAAAATTATACTGATGGCTCTCCCACTGCAGTGTTTAGCTGATAAAGTGATGTTTCCTACAACAGGATGTAGAAAAACAAATAATAAAATGTTACACATGCAAAGCATTATTGTTATTATGACTCTGCAGAATTATATTTTTCCATGATTATTTCCCTTGATGAAGAAAAAAAATATATCTTTTATTTATTTTTTTCTCATGTCACGTGCATTATAACCTGTAACCAAAAACACATACAGTTAATATGTTTTATACCGATGTAACGTACAGACATATGCTACAATGTGTCCTTCCGGCAAATGTTAAAAACGAAACACACAAAAATGATGTTGAGCAAAGATATTGAATGTCCAGTGTTGACAGTTTACAGTCTGCAGGATTTGTGTATTCTATCAGCATAAGCTTAAACTGCATCAACGCTTGGGTTTCATCTGGAAGATTCATACATGGAGACAACTGAAATTTCCATGCAGATTAAAAAAAACAAGTTTAAAAATATTGTACCAGGAGTGCGGATAAACTTATACCCTTAATGGTTCGGAGGAGAGAACATTACCTTGCGTTAAAACAAGTCGCACGCCTCTCTGGTACACAGAGCTTTAACATCTCTATGAATGCTTTGCTTTGATGTTTGCACCATGAAATTGCAGACTTACAGATTCACTGATCTGAAATCTAATGAGTTATTTGTTTTCACTGGCTGATTACCAAGAGACTTTAATCATGTGTAATGTTTTAAGATTCCGCTCAGATCTCCTGAGCTTTCGGCAATCGCAGCTGCTGAGTTTAAGGCTGCTTTAACAAGTCTCAAGGAAGGCAGCATCTGGAAGTTTAAACGGCTGACCCTGTCGGCAGCTGCGGAGCTCACAAGTGGGCAGTGTGAACGCAGACACCTGGCACGCTGGAATCTTGTCTAATTAAAGCACAGAACGGCATGATAACACTGCTCAGCTGGAAAGTGACATTGGAGAATAATCAAGAATTCTAGAATATTAACCTCTGCTTGATAACAATAGAAATATGTTTCCAGAACACAGGTCGGGATTATTCACGAAAATGAGATTTTCACATTAAAAACAACTCAAATGAGAGCATACCCGCCTTGAATTTGAAATTCACTTTGAATCCTATGTTTAGAGAATAACCCTGTGTGTATCACGCTTATTTGTACAAATTAAGCACTTGTCATCCAAACAGGAATATAAAATATACAGATAAAATAAAGCTTTGTTTGTATTGGAGTTTATACAATGTCTAGTTACAATATACCTTATGTAAGTTATACCATTATGCATATAGAGGAAATAAATACATTTGTTTCTTATATTACATATATGTGGCTATTTAACAGTTTGTATCTCTTTGTGTGACCAGTTCATAACCTCCATATCGAAAATACTGAACAAAAACTATCATGTTTCTTTTTTCCTAGTTTGTTGCAAAATTGGAAGTGCTTCAAACTTTTTTTTGCCTTCTTTTAGATTAACAGCAAAAAAAACAGATGTGAGGAAGGCTGAACTTGATGGACACATGTCTCTTTTCAGCCTATGTAACTATGTTTGGGAAAAAAAAAAAATCTACTGTTTAGATAGAGAAGATTTTCCTAGTACGACATGAAATACAAGGATAAATACCTCTTGTTCCTTCAAAAAAAAAAAAATGGTACTCAATTCAGTCCTCAAATTACGCAAATGTTCCAGGTTTTGTTAGTTAGCCATTAGAACTGAACTGGGGAAATGTCTAAATCCAGAATTGTTGGAGTACCTTGAGAACTGGGATAACTGCTCTATATCCCATTTGCCCAGGTCTTTTAGAAGGAAATGAAGATTTTAAAAAAACAAAACAAAAAAAAGGTTTTTACTTCCCATGGGCAATGTTGGCTTAAAATGTGAAAGTGCCTGTAATCCTGACAGTTTTAGGAACATAAGGTTCCAAAGTACATATAGCAGATGCTGAGCTTCTAACTATTCCGGTTTTCTAGCTACCTTTGTCTGACATTTACAAACTTCCCACAGAGCAGCAAGATAAAACCACCACATCATTCTGCGTATAAATCTTACAAAACAGGCTAAGTGAGATCAGCAGATGTAACAAGGAATTCATTGTATTTGATCTGAGCAGATCAGAAGAAATAACAGCATCGTTGTGGAAAAACGGTCAACAAGATTTGTTCATTTGAAAAAGACAACAAAAATGAAACCTTTTAGCTCTATTTTGCCATTTGTTATTCCTATTTTTAAATTATAAAATGTATCTATGAGGTATTAAAGCATGTGTTAACTCTGCAACAGAGAGGAACACATTTCTCAATTAGAGGGGGGCCATGTTTTGCAGTTTACCCAAAACAATGTTGGAATATTTTGCAGAAAACAATTTAGGGCAGGGGACGGCAAACCTTATCAGCGTCTCCTCCAGAACTACAAAGACTATTCTGCCTAAGCTGTAGGTTGAATATGCATCATAAGAGTTGGAACTGCACAAAAGCAGGAGGTCTAAGTCTTGACTATCCCTGCTTCAGTGATTTAGATCCTTTTCAAAGTCCTCAAAGTTGGATAAATAATGAAAAAACGTGTGAAGGTTTGGCGTACCAAAGTCATAACTCAAAGAAGAAGAAACAGAAAAAAAAAACATTTGACTAACCTCCTAAACTGGCGAACATTAACTTCTCTCGAATTCCAAAGCTGAAGATTTGCCAGAATTACCACAATCAGTATAAACACCACAATTAAAATATTCAGTAAAACCACACGTTGACGGGAAAACTGGGTTACTGATGGCAGGCTGCAGTGCCATGAGCCAGGAAACAGGCAGGAAAAACTAATTCTGAAAGAAAAGAAAAACACAGAATAAAACTTCTATGAAGATACAGGCAGGTTTTCCTTCTGCCCCAGTGAGCTTATGACATACACTAATAGCATAACTGCGTACCTTTAGTCAATTCTCATTGTTCTGAAAGGTAAAGAAACTTTTTTTTTTCCCTCTTTAGAGCTTTTAAAAGTTATTTTTCCTTAAAGGACCACTATAGTGCCAGGAAAACATACTCGTTTTCCTGGCACTATAGTGCCCCCACCCGCAGGGTCCCCCTCCGGCTGGAGTCTGGGGAGAGGAAAGGGTTAAATCTTACCTTTCTCCAGTGCCGGGCGGGGAGCTCTCCTCCTCCTCTCCGCCTCCGATCCTCCCTTTCGGCTGAATGCGCACGCGCGGCAAGAGCTGCGCGCGCATTCAGCCGGTCTCATAGGAAAGCATTTACAATGCTTTCCTATGGACGCAAGCGCCTCTAGCGGCTGTCAATGAGACAGCCACTAGAGGCTTTGGAGGCCGGATTAACCCATTTATAAACATAGCAGTTTCTCTGAAACTGCTATGTTTATTAAAAAAAAAAAAAAGGGGTTAATCCTAGAGGGACCTGGCACCCAGACCACTTCATTAAGTTGAAGTGGTCTGGGTGCCTAGAGTGGTCCTTTAATGTTATATTTGCCTTTATTTCAGGTCTACTGAAATGCAGAATTCCCTCACCCAGCTTCCTTCTGTGCTCAGTGTGCAAAGCCAACCCAAGAACCCTCTCCCTTGCCAGGCTGCTCTGCTTTCAGAATGATAACGTTACCGGTTTTCTAAGAGTGCACAGGGAAGCCTGGCAGTTTTCTGTTACAAGGATCACTAAGTGATCTGGTTCTTACTTTCTTCTGTGTCCAGTGGAAGAAAGTATCACATGGATCAATTTGAAATCTTTGCAACAGAAAAATGCCCACCTGTACACTGCTGCGTGCCCATTGGTCACAGGGGACATCATTCATCTGTGTAGCCAGCTATAGGGAAAGTGATCTTGGGTCAGATAACAACTTATTCCAACTGAAGATCACTCAGAATGCCTGGGAAAAAAAACTGCATACAATATGTCAGTATACAATATACACTGTATACAATATGTCAGCATACAATATGTCAGTATACAATATACACTGCATACAATATGTCAGTATACAATATACACTGTATACAATATGTCAGCATACAATATGTCAGTATACAATATACACTGCATACAATATGTCAGCATACAATATACACTGTATACAATATGTCAGCATACAATATGTCAGTATACAATATACACTGCATACAATATGTCAGCATACAATATACACTGCATACAATATGTCAGCATACAATATACACTGTATACAATATGTCAGCATACAATATGTCAGCATACAATATACACTGCATACAATATGTCAGCATACAATATGTCACCATACAATATACACTGTATACAATATGTCAGTATACAATATACACTGCATACAATATACCAGCATACAATATGTCAGTATACAATATACACTGCATACAATATGTCAGTATACAATATACACTGCATACAATATACACAGCATACAATATGTCACCATACAATATACACTGCATACAATATGTCAGTATACAATATACACTGCATACAATATACACAGCATACAATATGTCACCATACAATATACACTGCATACAATATGTCACCATACAATATACACTGCATACAATATGTCACCATACAATATACACTGCATACAATATGTCAGTATACAATATACACTGTATACAATATGTCAGTATACAATATACACTGCATACAATATGTCAGCATACAATATTGAAGCCAAACCAAGCAACATAACAGTAACACAATCTTTTGAAATGGGGGGGAGGGGAATGTTTTTAATGTTTGATTTTTTTTGTTTTTTAGATTTGACAGTTTTGCTTTAAAATGATTTTACATGACATTAAGCATCAGTTGCATAATTAATCATCTGCTTCACAATGACACATGACAATTCAAGGGGGTGGGATATATGTATGTTAAAATGTCCATCTACAACAGAGCTAGATATGACAGTGACACCCCAAGCACCATAAACACTACAGCTCATTGTAGTGGTTATTGTTGATAGAAAATTTGGGTGAAATAACGCTGTTCTCATTTAACCCTCGACAGGAATCAGGGGTGACATTCTTATAATGAACACATGGAAGGGAAGTCAGGCATTTGGTTTGCTACTTCTGGGAAAATAGAACATTTTGTCCAATTATTCTTATTTATAAGTTTGGACAATGCCTCATGTATACCCCCTGGTTGGACATTACATGGAGTTATTTAAACATTTACAAAGTAGTGTCTTTTATAATGTTCACTAAGATGTGAATTGTCAGGAAATCAATGGGAAATTCAAAATGTAGGCCAAGAGAGCCAATTGGGAATCATAGCTAAATTGAACATATGTTAAATGGGAAATATTTGTTCTAAGCCTGTATCAAGTCATCTACATAAAGCATTTTTGTAAAAAAAATAAATAAATAAAAATTATTCTCTTTCCCAGGGAACAATTCGTCCCATGGTTTGTCGGGAGGATGTGAATTGCATTGTCCAAAATATGCAGAATGAATTTACTACCAGAAGAAAGCAGATAATTATCTGCAGCAGGTTTTATGCTATTTCTTCCATGACCAATTAATTTTCTATGGCTGCATGTGATCTCAATATGACGCCATAATTATCTCATGCCACGTGGCAAACATAGAAGCCTGACAGTACTGATTATCACCTATAGCTTGCCAAATAACTATAGCGTAAGATACAAAAAGGCTTATTCACTAAAGTGAGCATTCAAAGAGATTTTCACATTTCAGGGCAAAGTAGCTGAGCTGGAAGCATAGACGACAAAGAGTATTTCCAGAATCGGCTATTTTGGCCTTAAATTTTTAAATTCACTTTGAATTCTCAATTTAGTAAATAACCCTGTAACAGTTGACCAGAGTCAGCAAATGCTATTTTACATTACTTCTATTTAGGGTTATGAGATTAAAGGATACCTTTTGGAATAAGCTGTTCACACATACTATCAATTAAAATTGGACTTTAAGCTATTACCTGGCCATAGACACCTTTCTCTGTCAGTTGCTCTTTGGGTCTGAGATCCACATGTCACCTTTTTCTCAGTTTGCCCCGGGGAGGTGATGTCATGAAGTTAAGCATTGCCGCCTCCTCCTCCGACAGTTGCTGTAACAAAATGAAAAAACATATAAGCACTACCCCTATGAAATAGCGTTCATTTAACTATTTTTTCCAGCATGCACTTTGCAAGACTGGCGTGGCAGATCAGTTAAATATTAAAGATCAGTTCCAGCGTAATTGAACACCTAGCATTGGACAGAGATAATAAAAACCAAAGACAGAATTTCTTTTACTATTACTGCAAATAGAATAGTTTTGCTTAATTTCTAATCAGCATGATTCTAGTTATAATGAGACAACTCTGATACATAACACAGCAACTTTATGATGATTTGGCTGGCAAAGTATCATCGAATTTATTCTACAACAGTCGTGGATCTACCTTTTGGCCATCACTATTTTAGAGTATGGTGCGTATCAACAGAGATTCGGTCAATATTAGTTTGTGAGATTAAACAATAAACACAAAATTGATCATCTCAACAAATGAAAATATTCCAGCTTTAACCATCCGAGGGTTTTCCAAATTGTATAATAAACGGAAATGAAAGCACACATATAGTATTTAATAAACAACGCGAAGCTTATACCAGATCCACTTCAGAATGAATAAAATTTATAAAAACAGGCCGAGTAACACACGTAGGTTTATTAAATAATTTAAGCACATTAAATGTGAAATGAATTGCTAAATTTTAGCAAACATTGCCAAATTGTGCTATAAGCAGATTCAAACATTTTTACTTTTTTTTTTATTTTTTTTTTAACCACTGATCAGCTATTTTAGCCTACATGCTGCCATTTGGCTTTAATTTCTTAAAATTCAACGTCTAGCTGAATAATCCCTAACAGATCTATTCAGCAAACCCAAAACTGTATTGAACTGAAATCAGAATAAAAAAATAAAAAATAAAAAAAATGTGGCTAAAACAGCGGACCAGGAAAAAATAAATAAAAATAAAAATTCTCCAATTCAGCTAGAGTCACCGGTGTTTAATTTACTTAAATGAAAAACTATAGTGAAATCTAAAATCCAAATAAGAAAACTGTATCTAAAACAGCTACACAGTATCTATAGCTGAGCTGGAGACTGTTTGCAGGTCAGCTGTTTTACCCTCATTCAGTTTCAATTCATTTAAATTCAGAGTTTAGCAGATATGCCACACATTGTGCCAGCTATCAGGCAATGCAGATGCCCAGTAAAACACTGGACCTATTATACCCTGTAATGGTAACTTGGAGAGGTTATTACTAATATTGGTATCTGCACTATGAATATCTTCATCCAGGAAGTTGCCTATAATCTCTGCCCTATTAACCCCATCACTGCAAACATGCATTATTTTAACCCCCCCTCCCCCATGCTCTAATTGCCATATTATATACATTGTGTAACTATGCCATTCTAAAACACTGCCACGTGAACTGCACACACAAAGCAGCACCTCTCACACTCACCACCCGGAAGTTGCCAGTCAATTCAGCTTTGCCACTACTGACACGTCATCACCCCCCTTTGTCAACAACTTTATTGAAACGTGAACACGGTGACAACCCATGTGAGCTGTCTAGTGCAGCTACAGCAAGTGTTGTTTGGGGAGCAATGTGTGAGACTGGGAGAGAGGGATCTGCAGGAAAGGGATAGAGGCCAATGTAAAACTGCAACACCCATGAGGCTGGCTTAGCATAGTGGGTGTTGTTGGGTGATGGTTGGTGTTGTTGTTTTTTGGCCATTCCATATTCAGTGATGAAATAACAAGAATAAGTAATAATTAGGTAATATGCTTTGAGAGCTGCATGGGGTTTATTTACTAAACTCTAAGCTTTTTGCACATTAAAGGACCTCTGCAAGCACCATAACCACTTGGCTCACTGTAGTGGTTATGGTATGGGAAAACAAGGGGCTGGCTGCACTCACCTGAACATGCTTAAATGGGGTGCTGCTGGGGGCCAATAAGTACAGTAAAAATGAAAATCCAGCGCACTCCCTTATCTACTAAACGGCTACTTTGGTGCTGACAGATTTTGCTAGTTTTATTAAAAACACCTAATCTAGGCAAAAAATTATGGGGGTTCTGTTACATTATAGGATCATACATTGCATAAGCCTGCCACAACGTCAATGTACCCCATCTTTTTTAGTGGTTATGGTACAGGGAAGGCCAAGTAAGTGAGGAAGTTGCCCCCTGGGGCACTAGTACACAGGTGGTAGTTGGCTGTTGCCGTAGAGCACAATGCTAAACTATATTATGTAACTTTACTATGGCTATTATTATTATTCCAGGACTCGCAGTAATAGCATAATACACTGCCGAGATTTATATTAACAATATTTCCATCACATTAAAAATGGTTGTACATACAGCTAAAAACACCAGAGCAAAAGTAATATGGTCACCAGCAGCATGCACATCAGGTCAACCATGGTCGCGTGCTACTTGCTCCTGTAATGACGCAACAGTGTCTGTTCAGATACCAGTTTTGCATAAGTTTGAATGCAGCGTAATTTTCACTATTTCGCAGTCATTTTAGTTCTTTTTATATAGTTATTAGCGTTCCTAACACACTGCCAATGCACCAATGAAGCAAAATTACATTGTTAGACTTTGAGTTGTTCCTGTCCTGTTCCCAATATTCCCGACCCTGCTAGCTTATTGACTACAAATTATTCCTATATAGTTTATGTGGACCTGGCTATGTTACTAACGAAGCGTTATTTCCTGTACCAGACCCGACTTCCCGACCTTGTATTTACCTACTGATTTTCATTTTTATGTCGTCTTCCTTGTCTGAACTAGGATAGATTTACTGATATTTTCTATTTCTAGTCTAAGCATTAAAGGGACACTATAGGCACCCAGCTATAGGCACCCAGATAACTTCAGCTCATTGCAGTGGTCTGGGTGCATATTCCTATATCCCTTAACCCTGCAAAGCTAATATATATTTTTTATAAACTTCAATAATTAGCTGTGGGGTAACTCCACCTCTAGTAGCTGTCTACAAGACAACCACTAGAGGGACTTCCAGGACATTAGGCGAGTAGACCCGAATCCCCATAGCAAAGCATTGCATAATACTTTCCTATGGGGAATCCTAAAACGAGCGCCGCCATTGCCTCGCATGCGCATTAGGTCTCCCCCGCCGGCTGACGTCACCTAGGATTAAGGGAGACGGACCCATGGGCGTAGGAAGCCCCAAAAATCTGGGGGGATAAAATTTTTACTTGCCGGGTATATTCTTATTCCGTAAACTAGGAGTTGTTTATCCCATTGTACAGCGCTACGGAATTTGCAGTCGCTATATAAATGATTAAATAATAACTTTAAAGGGTCACTACAGGGAAGGGATTTTACTTACCTGGATACAGCGCCGGGATCCTCCTGATGCCGCGCCCCCTATTTTGTCAAAATGACTTAATAGGAGGGTGCGAGCAGGGAGCAATAAAACGCTTCTATTCAGAAGCGTCATTGCTCTCTGGTGCGCATGCGCAGCTTTGCCGCACATGCACAGATACTTCATAGGGCGGCATTCATGTCTCGACTAGGAAGCACCTCTAGTGGCCATCTGAGTGTCCACTAGAGGTATTCCTCATCAGTAATGTAAATACTGCCTTTTTACGAAATGCAAAGACATGCTATAGACACCAGAACTACTACGTTTAGCTGTTGTGGTTCTGGTGACTATAGTGTCCCTTGAATATAGAGAGGAAAAAAGAATCATCACAAATGTAAGAAATAAAATGTCTGTATCATTATTCTAAAATTTATTTTAAAAAAATTAAAAAAATATGCACATTCCTAGCTTAATTTTTAGCACGACATATGACACAAACATTTTGTACTTTGCAGATTACTTTTTATATTTTTTTATACATATACAGATTGTGTAATACTGCCCCTGACTTAGGGTGACCACATTTCCTAACTGCCATTCAGTGACACTGTCAAAAGTGCATTCCATACATTTTACTACCCGTCTCTATCCCTTCCATTTATATTAGAACCCCACTACCCCTTCCATGAATATTAGAACCACCCCTACCCCTCCCATGAATATTAGAACCACCCCTACCCCTTCCATGCACAAAAGAACCCCACCTACCCTTTCCATGCATATTAACCCCCCGACCCCTTCCATGCATATTAGTACCCCCCTAGCCCCTTCCATGCATTTTAGTACCCACTAACCCCTTCCATGCATATTAGAACCCACCCAACCCCTTCCATTCATATTAGTACTCCCCTAACCCCTTCCAATAATTTTTCTACCTCCCCCCTCCTCCCATCCATATTAGTAGCCCCCCTAAACCCTTCCAATTATTTTTCTACCTACCCCTCTCCCCATCCATATTAGTAGCCCCCCTAAGCCCTTCCAATTATTTTTCTACCTTTGTCCCCCCTTTTACCTGACATAGCAGGGGGACCTCTGGACGTCTGGCAGGCACAGTGTCAGATTGGGCGCCGGGTAGTCACGTGATACTCGGCCAGGGCCGGTGCAAGGATTTTTGCCGACCTAGGCAAAAGTAAAGTTTGCCGCCCCCCCATGTGACATCACAATGCACCACCCATATCATCTGCCATGGTAACTAACGCCAGTGCTGGAGTGCCGCCGTGTTTACATTTAAAGGCCTGTAGGGACAGGCTATAGACACCAGAACCACTACATTAAGCTGCAGTGGTTCTGGGGACTATAGTGTTTCTTTAATGTGAGGTAAATTAGAGATTAGTGCCACGAATAATATACTAGATTGCCTACTTACAACCAGATGAGGATGATGATGGGCTCTAGCTGCAGTCTGGCTCCACGGGTCTGGTGTAGAACAAGCTCTTTGGAGGCTGTTTGTAACTGTGGTCACAAAAATCAATGTTCTGGGAGAACGGGAAGCAGCACCATTTTTTGGGGGCCCTTTACACAGCTCAAGGTCTGGGTCCCAGGGTCCACCTTCATGTTCCACCAATGAGTTTGTTCACATGGGGTGGAGTGTGTAGGGGATGTCTTGATATCTGTGTAAGGAATGCATTGTGTGAATCTGTTTTTGTATGTGTAAGGGCTGCAAGGTGTGTTTCTGTGTATGTACGGGATGCAGTGTGTGCGTCTGTAAGGGGTGCATTGAGTGTGTGTACGGGGTGCATTTAGTGTGTGTAAGGAATGCATTGTGTGTTTCTGTGTGTGTAAGGTTTGCATGATTGTGCAATTGTGTGTGTGTGTGTGTGTGTGATGGATGTCAATCTCCCTCCCTTGTCACACTCTTTCTCCCCCTCTCTCCCTCCCTTGTCACTCTCTTTCTCTCCCTTCCCCCTCCCTTGTCACTCCCTTTCTCCCCCTCCCTCCCTTGTCACTCTTTCTCCCTCCCTCGTCACTCTCTTTCTCCTCCTTCCCTCCCTTGTCACTTTTTCCCTCCTCCTCCTTTTCACTCTCTTTTCTCCTCCTCCTCCTTGTCCTTTTCTCCCCTCTTTTTTTTCTCCCCTCCCTTGTTAGTCTCTTTCTCCCCATCCGTCCCTTGTCACTCTCTTTCTCCCCCCTCCCTCCCTTGTCACTCTCTTTCTCCCTCCCTCCCTTGTCACTCTCTTTCTCCCCCTCCCTCCCTGTATCATGGTCCGCGGGTACAGGGAGCTTTTGTTTCTTGTTCCCAGCCGGACTAACAGGAAGTGCACACTGAGTGTGCACTTCCTGTTAGTCCGGCCGGGTACAGGAGACAGATGCTCCCTGTACCCGCGGACCAATAGAGGGCTCGGACACGCTACAGAGAGGGAGTGACAGGAGGGAGCGCTGAGCGCTTCCTTCCTGTCAGCCCCTCTCCTCAGGCTGCGCCCGGGCGTTGTGGTCCGCCCTCATGGACGCACCGCCCGGGCATAGCTGCAGCCACCTGAGGCTCTCTACAGAGCGCTCGGGCGGCTGCAGCATGGGGGGGTCGGCGGAGCTGGGGGGGATTTCCCCATAACCTGTACCCCCCGCATGATTTGATGGGGGGGATCCGTCCCCCCAGACCCCCCGGTTCCTACGCCCATGGACAGACCTGAGCCAGCACAGAGGGATATCTACGCCGGACTAAGGTAAGTGACAGAAGGCGTTTTTAACTTTAAGTACATAAGAAAGTCCAAATTCCTCTAAGTTAGTTAGTAACAGGGGAATTAACAAAACGCCTAATGCGTTTCATGACTCGTGGCCATGGGTCACTTCATCACAACAAGAGGACATAGTCTCAAATTAGAGGGACAAAGGTTTAAAAATAATATCAGGAAGTATTACTTTACTGAGAGGGTAGTGGATGCATGGAATAGCCTTCCAGCTGAAGTGGTAGAGGTTAACACAGTAAAGGAGTTTAAGCATGCGTGGGATAGGCATAAGGCTATCCTAACTATAAGATAAGGCCAGGGACTAATGAAAGTATTTAGAAAATTGGGCAGACTAGATGGGCTGAATGGTTCTTATCTGCCGTCACATTCTATGTTTCTATGAGAGGCTGGAGTTACTTAAGTTCATCTTGTTATTTATAGAAAAACAAAAACAGAGCAGCAATATTTATAAAATTTAAATAAATAGTCTCCATGGTCATCTATGTAATAGATGTGGATATTTATCTTATTTTTGCACTATTAGGGACATGAGCTCCTTTAAATTTAATAAATACTGCAGCTACATTTTTTGCATATTAATATGAGATGAAGTTAGCGAACTTTAGCCTCTGACGAACTGACCCGTGAGTCATGAAACGCGTTAGGCAGAGTTCTGATCAAGTGATTGACGGGCGAAGCTTTTGTGTGAGCCCTATCTCAATTTACATGTGGTGAAACGCAGGAGATCGAGTGCTGAAACGCACAACGATCCCAAATAGAGGATTTTGCATGCCCTCCATCCCCTTCTGAAGCTCTAGCTGACACGGAGGGAGGATTTTAGTCTTTCCTTATAGGGACTGCATTCCCTGACACGCGATCTTGATTTCCCACTCTTGTGAGTGCTTTTAATCTTATTATTAATAATTGATGCTGTTACAGAGAACACTATGTTCTTTTTTATTTCATTTATAGATACCTGGCATAGGGGTGAGCTGCTTAACTGATTAAATATCCACTGCCTTATATGATTAAAAGTGGAATTCTTCATCTTTGGAATTAAATGTACCTTTGTATTATATCATTCACACTTTGTTCTATATCGTTTAGCAAAAGGTGCCTTCGTTTTTCATACAGCGTATATCCATTTTGTAGCATTGAAGCACAGTTTGCTAAACTATTGTCGTTACCCCTGTTACTAACTAACTGCTAGAGGACTTGGGACTTTGTTATGTACATTCCATTGGTGACTACTATCCTTTAATATTTTTGCATAACTTAGAACAGAACACTTGGATAAATCTCCTCTAACATGCACATTTATGATCCTTAAACTCCTTTTTCCCAAGAATAATGAAAACCTTTTTTTGTAAAAATGTCTATCTTCAGTTATGCTAAATTAGTCTGAACGTGTGAGAAGAAATTGGTGATTATCTGATCATTTATTCACGTTCAACATTTCTGCAACTGATTGCATATATATATATATATATATATATATAAAAAATATAAACAAGGTGCACTCACAGGTCTTCTTAAATGCGTGATAAGTTTATTCCAGCGTGCAAATTATTAATGCCACAATTTGATGATGATCAACGTTTCGACCCATACAAGGGTCTTTTTCTGGGCACCCAGGCAAGAATATTTTGACAGTTCACAAAGGGTGAGTGCCAAGTTTACATTTTTGTTTTATATATATATATATATATATATATATACATATAGGAGGGATCAACCGATTATCCTTTCCACCCATTGTTAAAGCCCATATTCGGCATATTTCTGATAATCAGTATCGGCCTTGTAATTTACCAATCTTAAAATAACAAACTCACCTCTCCCAGTCACTTTCACCATCTTCTGCATCCGAAGACTTCAGCCACCAGCCAAAGATTAATCTACTGTATGTAGTGTGCTGGCTGCCTGAGAGTGATACCACACTCCTACCAGTAACAGCACTGTACATGGTGGGATTTCAGCTTGTACTGACTTTCTGAAAGTGCTTAGAGTGTGAATGCTGTCATCTAATGCCACATTTGTGTAGACATTGTGTTGCTTTTTCAAAACTTTAAATGTATCAGCACTGGTTCTCCGCAATCGGCCCAAAAGGTGACCTGCATCAGCTCTGGAAAAAATATATTGGTTGATCCCTAATATATATAATTTCACACTTAATTAATAGTGAACAATAATTGTTTTTTTCTTTCAGCGCTACATTCCTTGTTCCTTTCTGTGAGATATTGGCTCTGAGATTAACCTTTGTCAATTTCTGTGAAATTGTGCAAATAAGGATGTGGAGTTAATTAACCAGCAAAGTGGACCTATCTAGTTACTTCTGAGTAAACCTAAATTCCATATAAGTAAAAAAAAAAATAAGAATAAGAAGAAATAAAAAAACATGCCTAGTATAATTCAATAACATTACTATGACTATGGTTAAAACATATATAAAGCCGTATCCAATTAAAGGACCACTATAGTGCCAGGAAAACATACTCGTTTTCCTGGCACTATAGTGCCCTGAGGGTGCCCCCACCCTCAGGGACCTCCTCCCGCCGGGCTCTGGAGAGAGGAAGGGGTTAAACACTTACCTTTCTCCAGCGCCGGGCGGGGAGCTGTACTCCTCCTCTCCTCCTTGCTCGCGCCGTCATCGGCTGAATGCGCATGCGCTGCAGGAGCAGCGCGCGCATTCAGCCGGTCGCATAGGAAAGCATTTGCAATGCTTTCCTATGGACGCTTGCGTGCTCTCACTGTGATTTTCACAGTGAGAAGCACGCAAGCGCCTCTAGCGACTGTCAATGAGACAGCCACTAGAGGCTCTGGAGGCTGGATTAACCCTCAGTATAAACATAGCAGTTTCTCTGAAACTGCTATGTTTATTAAAAAAAGGGTTAATCCTAGAGGGATCAGGCACCCAGACCACTTAATTAAGCTGAAGTGGTCTGGGTGCCTAGAGTGGTCCTTTAATGCACCCCTGTCATCAAAAAAATTTTTAATGAGTATTTTATAAAGTTAAAATCTTTATGAAAATACTTGAATTCACTGCATTGAAAAACTGTTATTCAGGTCCCCCTCAGGTACATTCAAATTTTTTACTTTTTCCCAGCGCTGAGGTTCCCTTGATTTTGATTACATCTCCGACTCCCATGATGTCCTGTGATATGCAGTACAATGCTCCTCATAGAGTAGCATTGGGGACCTTATGCACATGCGTGCATTCAAACACATTGAACATTGAATCAATGCTTTCCTATGTGGCTTCCGAATCATGTGAATGAATTTTACGTGGTCAGTGCAACGGAAGCACCTCTAGTGGCCGTCTGACAGAAACTAGTGATGGACCTAACCCTGCAATGTAAACATTGCAATTTCTAAAACACTGCAATGTTTTACTGGTTAAAAGGACAGGGACACTGCACCCAGACCACTTCATTAAGATCACGGCCGTCTTTAAAGCGGGGCAAACGGGGCAGCTGCCCCGGGCCCACTTGCTCCTGGGGGGCCCAAAGCAGCTACCCCGTGGGCCCCGCTGTCCGCTACCCCCTGGGCCCGCCGGTGCTGCGGCTGCACCGGGAGCCCCCACACTAAGAGGCCCCGGTTGTCACTTTGGCCCCCTTGTTTTACTGCAGCAGGCTGGGAGGAAGTGACTGCCGTGAGTCACTTCCTCCCAGATAGAATGAAGCCGCGCGGGAGGAAGGAGGAGGAGGCCGTCAGGAGGGAGCTGGAGTGCAGGAGCCTCACACTCCCAACGACCTCAGCCTGCCGCTGGACCCCAGGGAACCCATAAGGTAGGGCTGGAGGGTGGCTTTATAAATGTAAACTTTGCATGTGTGTGTGTCAGTATTTGTGTGAGTCAGTATGTCTGTGTGTGTCTTAGTATGTGTGTGAGTATGTATGTCAGGGTTTCTGTGTGTGTCTTAGTATGTGTGTGAGTTTGTCTGTCAGGGTATTTGTGTGTCAGGGTGTCTGTGTGTGTCAGTAAATCTGTGTGTGTGAGTATGTGTGTCTTAGTATGTCTGTGTGTGTCAGTATGTCTGTCAGGGCTTATGTGTGTGTGTCAGTATGTCTGTGCGTGTCAGTTTGTCTGTCTGTGCATGTCAGTTTGTCTGTGTGTGTCAGTATGTCTGTCTTTGTGTGTCAGTATGTCTGTCTGTGCGTTTCAGTTTGTCTGTGAGTGTGCATGTCAGTTTGTCTGTCAATGTGTAAAAATGTAAACGTTGCATGTGTGTGTCAGTATTTGTGTGTGTCTTAGTATGTCTGTGTGTATCTAAGTATGTGTGTGTGAGTATGTCTGTCAGGGTGTCTGTGTGCGTCTGTGTGTGTATCAGTATGTCTGTCAGTGTGTGTCACTGTCAGTGTGTCATTATGTCTGTCAGTATGTATATCTGTGTATCTGTATTTAGTATATCTGTTTCTCTATGTGGTCTGTGTGTCTTTGCATGTGTCTCAGGTTTTGTATATGCGTGTCTGTATGTGTGTCAGTGTGTGTATCTGTAAGTTATCATTGTATGTATTTGTGTATCTGTACGTTGTCAGTGTGTGTACCTGCGTTTGTATATCTGTGTGTGTGCATCTGTATGTAGTCAGTGTTTTTATCTGTGTATCTGCATGTGTGTCAGTATATGTATCAGTGTGTCTGAGTATTCATATGTGTCAGTGTTTGTATATTTGTCTCCGTATGTGTGTCAGGTTGTGTATCTGTGTGTCTGTATGTGTTAGTGTGTGTATCTGTGTCAGTCTGTATCTGCTTGTGTGTTAGTGTGAGTGTCAGTGTTTATATCTATGTATCTGCATGTGTTTCAGTGTGTATTTGTGTATCACAGTGTGTGTGTGTGGCAGTGTATGTGTACATGTACGTACATCTCATCATTCAAATCGCCAACACTACACACAAGTACACCCCTGCATTCAACCTTCAACACTACATACAAACACAGTCCTGCATTGAAACGTCAACAATACATACAAATACATCTTTGTGTTAAACACCAAAAATATATATAAACACACCCAGCATTAAAAAAAAATACACAGATGCATGCTTGCATTCAAACACCAACACCACCTACAAACACACCCCTACATTTACACAAACACACTCCATACAAAAACATGCTTCCATTCAAACAAACAAACACAACTCAGTGCTAAATACAACTCTGCAAGCATGGGAAAATGGTTCCGTTACTGCGTTGGGAAGTGGAGATCGTGATTGCATGCCAGGGAGTTAGGGTCAGGGGGCCCTATCAAATGCTTGCCCCGGGCCCAATCATTATTAAAGACGGCCCTGATTAAGATGAAGCAGTGTGGGTGACTATATCTTCCCCTTAAGATAAAAGATTCTTGCGGGGAACAAGGTATAAGTATAGCTCCCTTCTGCTGCACTGTCTCCAGGCCACCGATTTAATAAGCTTTCCAATGATTCAATACGGTCAGACAAACATTCCAAATTACTTATCTACAGAAGTATCTATTAAAGTTTATGGGAATCTTTGTCAGTAAATCATTTGGAATGTTTTTCTAACAATATTCACCATCGAGGATCTTTACAAAATATGCATAGACCCCCCTAAAGCTATCAGTCACATTAAATAAAATGTTTAAAAAACAGAATATCTGATACAATATGAATATTAAAGGAAGACTAAAAGTACCATAACCACTACAGCTGGTTTTGCGTAGGAACAGCTGCAATCTTTGCGTAGGAACAGCTGCAATCTGTGGAAGAAGAGATAGCCAAGGTCTGCATGGTTGCAGTCCGCAAATACTTCAGAGATGTGGGGAAAAAGTGAGAGCAACACTGGAGAGGTCAACCAAAGGGGAGAGGTGCAGAGACACATATAGCAGATTGGGGAGGTGCAGGGAGAGGGGCACGTGAGGTGGGCATGGCAAGACATATGCAACAAACGCAATGGGGGCATGGAAAACAAAGACTTAGACAGGGACTCTGGCTGGAGTCTGTATGTGCAGTGTTTCAAAAATACAGAGTTTAATCTCCACCTCCAGCAACATCAAAGGGGTGTAATTTCCTGGCTGGTTTATGTCAATCCTCTGCGTTTTCCTGGGCACAGAATTGCATTCATTGGCTGAGATAAGTCAACAGGGAAAAGACAGAAGTCGTCACCAGCCACTAATCGGCGCTCGAAACGGAACCTGGTAAGAAGGTAAACTGCAGTGGTTGTGATGCATTGAGTAACCCTTTAAAGATCAAAACTGCTGGCAAGTTGACCTTCATATCTCAAACATCTGCTGTCCAATGATTTATGGAAAATGTCCAGCACTCTTTACGGTGGTAGTAGAAGGATTAGGTATTGGTGACTTTTGTGGTTTTAGCCACTTCCTGGTTTGATAAGTTTTCACTGAAGTGGCTCAGATACTGAAAGTTATTATATATTTTTTTTTTAATCTTTATTTTTGATGTGCATGTTAATAATAAAGATTACATAATAGACACTAGAAAGTCAGCAATGTAGTTACATCACATTTAAAAAAAAAAAATAACAGCATGCAGGTTGAGTAAAACGTTAGGGTAGTAAGTAAACAGGCTTTATGCACTGAGATTATCACTATACAGTAAATAGTAAGTGACTGTAGAGGATATTAAACAGCTTAGCTACAAGTAAAACCTCTTAGGAGCCTCCTGCAACAGGCTAAAAAATTAAAGCCCGAAAAGGAGATATAATATAAACAAAATAACTCTTTAAGAAGCGAGATAAGTAGAAGTACTGCTGGGGTATCTTGCCAGAAATAGGTAGTCCTTGAATTCAGTCTATGCTTTGCAAGAAACCGAACATAAACCCTCCATGCAAGCCCCAGTGTGTGGCCCAAGAGCCCACTCGAGTAGTGGTGTTTGGTCACTGTGTGGCAATCGGGCAAGTCCCGGGTGGTCAGCAGAGATCCCCCCGATGGTCTCAAGGCGTGATTGGGGATACAGTTCCATACCGTTTACTGCTGGCCCCATGATGGTTCTTGATCTGTATCTTCGCGCCATTCGGGCCCGAGCATGATAGAGTCCACTCTCCTTTCGCACAGCTGCAATCCATGGTCTCACATCTCTTGGTACAGCGTGTCCCAAGCGCACCTTCAGCCTTGCCCAAAAGGACTTGAAACGTTCACTCAAGCGGTGCAAGACATCGTAGGTACCTCCATAGGGATTGGAGGAACATGTGATGTCCTCCAGCCAGTGTGTGCTCGGGTGCTTGTTGCTTATTTAGCAGTAATGCTGAGGGGAAAATGGGGCACCAATCTGAAGCACAGGGCAGGAGCGGAGATCGGACGCTTCTCCACTCTCACGGACTCACTAGGCTGCCATGCCAGCTCTCAGCGCTGCAGCAGTGTGCATACCTGAAGACATAACCCAATCAGTTCAGGAGCACCACAATGGCACATAGATGGGGACACAATCTGTTAGAATATCTGCTCGCAGTATGCATCAGTCTGGCATGACAGTCTGGCCCTGCCAACCGTGAAAAATAGTTTTTATTATTTTTTTAACGTTTTAATGCCTTAAAATTACAATAATAAGAAAATGTTTTTTTTCTTACATCTTCTTATATTAAAGTGACTCTGTCACCTTCAGGAATCGTTATATACATTTGCTGACTCCAAAGGTGACATGTATTCAAAAGGCCATCACATCATTAGCATTGAAGTAAAAAGCTTTCTTTATTGAAGCAACCCGGCACAGGACACAATAAAAACAGGACAGCGTTTCAGCCATTATGGCCTTAATCATAAGCCCCTGTTTTTTTTTTGTTCTTTCCTTATGTTCCCTGTATCCTAGTACTTATACTCACACACATCCACCCCCCCTTACTATTTATTTATTCTTTTTCCTGGTGGTGTGAGTCCGAATATCTTGGTGCACCCATTTTCTTTGCCAATGCCCAGACTGGCTGCATTTCCCACAGGACCACCGGGAGGGGGGGCAGAGAGGGGACGGAATTAAACACACAGAGAGACTGGGGGTATGACACACATCAGGAGGGACTGGTGGAATGAGATACATGAATGAAGGTGCTGAGGGGAATGAGACACATGGGGACGCTGGGGGAATAAGACACAAGGGGACACTGGGGGAATGAGAAACATGAATGGAGTTGCTGGGGGTAATGAGACGCATGGGAGCTAGAGGAATGACACACATAGGGGAACGGGAAAATGAAACACTGGCGGAATGACCCACATGGGGATGTTGGGGGAATGAGATACATGAATGGAGGTGCTGGGGGAATGAGATACATGAATGGAGGTGCTGGGAGAATGATACATGAATGGAGGTGCTGGGGGAATGAGATACATGAATGGAGGTGCTGGTGGGAATGAGACACATGAATGGAGGTGCTGGGGGGAATGAGACACATGGAGGATTGGTGGAATGACCCACATGGGGATGTTGGGGGAATGAGATACATGATGAATGTGCTGGGGGAATGAGATACATGAATGGAGGTGCTGGTGGGAATGAGACACATGAATGGAGGTGCTGGGGGGAATGAGACACATGGAGGATTGGTGGAATGACCCACATGGGGATGTTGGGGGAATGAGATACATGAATGGAGGTGCTGGGGGAATGAGATACATGAATGGAGGTGCTGGAGGGAATGAGACACATGGGAGCTAGAGGAATGACACACATAGGGGACCCTGGGGGAATGAGACATATCAATGGAGGTGCTGGAGGAATGAGACATGTGAGGGGCTGGGAGGGGTGATGAGACACATGGGGACACTAATGGAATGAGACAGATGAATGAAGGTGTTGGGAGGGAATGAGACATAATTAAATATTGTTTTGCATCATGCTTAGACATGTTTGTCTAACCGGTTTATTATAAAACAATGAGTCTGCCTCAATACTCAAACTGCTGCATTAGTGACATGTGTACTTTTGCCATGACTACTTTTTTCTGTACTGTTTTCCACTGTTATACAAAAAAAAACCAGAAATCAAGAGATCAAAATTAATAAGCCTCAATAAAAAAAAAAAGACAAAATATTTTTTTAATTGATTTTTTTTCTCACTTATTAATTTAGCTCTCTTGATTTCTGTTTTTTTTTTTTTGGTATAATTAATAAATTATATTAATAAAAATTATCATTTAAATATTTGGCTCTGTTGAATACTTCAATAAATGTAATTGTAGCTCTTGAATATTTCTAAATTCTAACATGAGGCTCTTACAGGCATGAAGTTTGGCCATCCTGCTATATTCTAAAATATTTAAAATGTGCTCCTTGTCCTAATCCTTTTTGATTAACACTTGGACTAATGGACCAACACTTTTACTCTTACCCTTTTGCTATCAGTGTACTTACAAAACATTTAGTGGTTGGTCTTGATCTCTTTGGCTAGGAGCTTTTCATTTTCTAGCGTAGCCCATCTAATTGTCCTTTTGGCATGCATATATTTGCAGTATGATGCTATCGACTCATCTGATTTAACTGTTTTGAATAAACATTTCTTGTTCATTAAGAAAACATATAAAGGTGTGCTGTGTGTGTCTTTAACCCCTTAAGGACCAAACTTCTGGAATAAAAGGGAATCATGACATGTCACACATGTCATGTGTCCTTAAGGGGTTAAGACTTGCTATTTCTGTGTATGTTTAATTTTCTTGTTTATTACTTGACTGACCTTTTCACTATGCAACATTAATTTTGCTTCTTTTATATTTGTTTCCCAAATATTATGTATTGCGAAATATACTTTTGTAGAATTTGTTTAAAGACGTTCCATTTATCCTGTATTTTTTGCCAGTGAATAGTTTCTGCTAGTTAATTTGTTGTACAGATGCCCTTTCCCCTTTTCCCTAACTTGAATATTTCAAAATAGGTCAACATTATTAGTTATGAAAAGATCCAGACAAGCATCTAGACAATATGAATTCGGACGAATTTCGGGCAATTCGGACATTCGGGTACTTCCGAATGTCTGAATTTCCGAAGTGCCGAATTGCCGAGGTCTCGAAGTTCCGAAATGACCGAATTTCCGAAGTCTCAAAGTGCGGGTACTTCCGAATGTCTGAATTTCCGAAGTGCCGAGGTCTCGAAGTTCCGAAATGACCGAATTTCCGAAGTCTCAAAGTGCCGAAGTACAGTATTGCCTAGGTACTAATATACTTACCCAGTGAAAGAAGAAGAATGTTACATTGTATACAATTTTAAATAAAAAGTATACAAACATAGCCAGGATTCAGCTGTAAGCATTTGCAACACTTACAACAATCAAGTAACATACATTCATATAAAATGTAAGTTACTTAGCCTGTCAATGTAATGACAGGAATTAATAAGTAGATAACTCCCTAATTCCCATGGTATTAGGGAGCTATCTACTAAAAAACGGAAAGACCTAAATTGGTCTTTCAGACAAATTTACTAATACTAAGTAAAGATTACTTAGTATTAGTAAATTATGCCCCTACTCGCTATACCTCGAGCCTGTGGCTGCTGTTAAAAAAAAAAAAAAATGTCCCCCCTCCCGCGAGTGGGGGCTTTTAAACTAAAGGAGGGACCTATTGCCCCCCCCGGCCCCCACCCCTGAGTGGCGGGTGGGCTCCCTAATGTAAAATAATGGTGGGAACCTATTGT